TTTAAGAGGTTTTAAAGACCTCAAACAGTGCGGTTTTAACATATTAGCCGCACTATTCGAGATAATGCCGTATATTCTAAGTGAAACATTACAGAAAAGTATTTTTTCAACTCAACTCATATTCTCTGATTCTTTTTCATATATATGGTATATTTATTTATTATCAAATTAATTCTTCTACATCATTTTAAAATCGAAATATGACCAATTTATGAATATTTTAATTTGATCTTTGATCAGACTTTCAAATAAGAAGAGATCTGATCAAAGTACACTCTGTATTTTCAGTGGTTTAAGTATGAATATGAAATTTAATAAACTAAATGAAATTACATGTATACAATACAATTATGAAGTATGACTTTTTACATTGTTTTCCGTTTTCTTATCACTCGACATGAAAATTTTGAGTATCGCCGTGGTAGGTAACTCGATGAGCAAGCAGATCACAGTTCCTATTATGTATGAGACCAGAATATCACCGAAAACCCAACGAATCTGTGAACAAGTTGAGTAAATGATTTATTTACTTCTATAAGTTCGTCTTTGTCTCAACGTTACCAAAACTTGTTCAGTTAAGAAACTCAGGTCCCTGCTTATGCCTCGATTTATCCTCATGATGTGCACGTGCGATAAATACACGCAGAATGAAAGTCTTCCAAGTATATGAAAAGGCTTCCAGCTGATGAAACTACGCATGGGACCTACAACAAGTAGTTAATTATCAGCTGATAATAAATCATTATAATACTTAAATACCTCCGTATCCTAAGAAGAACCCTAATATCATTATTAAGATGGAAAGCCCAAAGCTCACCCTGAAAAAGGCTTGATAGAGAGAAGCGTTTAATCTGTAAAAAAATGCGGGAATTAATAAGAATAATGTTAAAAATTTTAGTTTTAGTTGAACCTTGATGTTTCAAATCCATCTTTGTAAAAAGGTGCTGCTGACAAAATCGTGGCGATTGGAATGATGTAACTGAAGAAGAACCAAATTTTATAGAAGTGAATGTAGTTACGTCTGCTTGAAATATCCTGTTTCTTATATTTATAAAAGTAATAACCGCTTGCTAATCCTGCAATGTAACATGGAATTTGGTGGTGAGTTGCTATATTCATGCTAAGCCATTGCTCCAACTTTAGGAACATCGTGTATAACGTTCTGAAAATCAACCCTTAATAAAATATTTGAACTAATCAATTGTAAATGCGTATTTACTCTGGATAACTTCTGAACACTATGTCGTAGGCGTTGTAATAATGTTGAATGAAAGTCGTGGATATTCCCAGTACGAAAATCGATACAAAGATTTTCTTCGCATACTCCGGTTTATTTATGACCGCCATCATCGTCAATAAACCAAAAACAAAGAGCTGTGTGTCCGCTGCCAAATACCACGATTGTTGCAAACACTGAAATAATTCTTCAATAAACTACTCGTACTTTTATGAAATAAATTGTCGTGACTTACCATCTCCTCTGGTTTGTACATATTATTGATAAACAACATGTTTAGTAGCCAATTCTTCCTGCAATTTGTGTACTCATAATCAATAATCAAGTTAAAAAAGGGTCCTCTTCCCATGTGTCTCAACAGCGTTGAAGAGAAACCGATCATCATGATTAAAATCGGGTATAACCTAAAGAAATTACAGAATTATTCTAACTATTGATGAATATGCGACACCAGATGAAAGCATATACAAATCATTATGAAACATACCTTGCAATTCGAATTATAATGGCGTTGACAATATCTAAGAAAGAAAATTTCCTATTTTCGAAAATCTGGCAAATGTTATAGCTCAAGAGAAACGCTGATATAATAAACGAAGTTTGCATGATTAAACTTCCATTGCTTAGAAACATATTTGCGGGTTTCAAAGTTGTCTAAATATTGAACAAAAAAAAAAACAGTAAAACGTGATTAACATCTCAATTCGCACATAAATACATTTTCGACAAACTGCGGATTGGCCAATGGTCCTAAGAATTCTAGCATGCAAGTGTGCGTCATTATCACGAAGAACATATTGAAAACGCGAATTCCTTGGATGGGAGATAAAGCTAGTCCATCCTCACTTGTTATCTCGCTGCCCAATCGCTCCAAGTTCTTCGTCAACGAGAAAGCCGTTAACAATTTTCTTACTGAAAAATCGGATCAATAATAATCACATATTACATTTTATTGTTTTCACTTACCTTTGGAGCTGCTGGTAATCCGTTCGTATTCTTCGGGGTTTTTGTACCTTGCGCGAACTTCGAATGTGGTTCCTATGGTTACCAAAGCAAGGAACGTCAGCAGAGTGTATCTAAATCAAAAAATATATTTTCAATAATATATCGAATGCAAACAGGATGTAATTAACGTACATGTAGGCAATATCCAATGAATCAATTTCGTAAACCGGTTGATCATTTTGGCAATTGATTTCGATGACTTCGCCTTTTAAGCCCAAATGATTATACTTTTGCGAGTAACAATCCGAAATGCCTTTCCACAATTCCTCAGTTCCGTTTCCCAATCCGTAATTTGCTTTTGGTATGTTCGGACATGTTTCTTGTACGCAAATCCCATGTCTTAACCGATCGTGTCTGTAGAACCTGGGCACAGTTATCACTTCCTAACAACAAATACGCTTATATAATAATATCGAGCAAATTGCATCATTTATTTGCTTCACTTCAATAATATTCCAGGTTTTTGATATATTTCTTTCATCTCTCGGACCGAGCTGAACTGTCATGTAGCAATATAGTGAATCGGCTTTCAGAGTTATACATCCATCGAAATCATCCAGATGGAACAGAGGTGGCATGTAATTATAGTCTAGTGCTAAAAAGAAAAAGTTTAATTAATAATTTTACAAACATGCATATAAATTGTGTTTTAAATTGTTCCACTTAATCACTTTTCAAATTTTAAATTACGAAAAGTTAGCATGTACATCTCTACTTCTCATAGTGCAACTGTTAGTTCAAATTCGTTATAAATGTTTGAAAATTTCAAGACAAATCTCGGATTGTTTGAAACCGGACTAATCGAGGACTTTAAAACCGCTTAAAAATAAACAGCCCTAATTCTCATCGTACAACTTCTGTTAGTTCGAATTCATTATAGAAGGGTTTGAATATTTCTAAACAAATCTCGGACTGTTTGAAACCGGACTAATCGAGGACTTTAAAATCGCATAAAAATAAACAGCTCTAATTCTCATGTACAACTTCTTTTAGTTTGAATTCGTTATAGAAGGGTTTGAATATTTCTAAACAAATCTCGGACTGTTTGAAACCGAACTAATCGAGGACTTTAAAACCGCATAAAAATATACAGTCTCTTGTAACTCAATTAAAATTTAGTTTGTTTTGTTTTTATAGTCGGAATAATGTAGTGAATAATTCGGCGTTCAAATGTATTTACTTTCGTAGTTGAACTTACCTTTAATATTAGGAAACACTTTAATTGGTCCAATTGAATGAACTGGAAGTGCGCATAGTGTAAAAAGCAGAAATAAATCGAACATTTTGGATTCTCTGCCAATTTTGTAAATTTCACTCTACGTGAAAATATTTAAAAAATATTTTATTAACTAATATTTAAATAATTGTACTCGATATTGATTATAGAAAACTTTGCATATTATAAAACTTTAAGTGCAACGCGCAATTGTAACAATATCCAATAAAGATATAATAACAGCACATATATAGACAATATATTAGAAAAGAAGGGGGATAATTATAATTAACGTCTTCTTAGTACAACGTTTAAAATAATTGTATAATTATTGTTCGTATCATCTGCTACATCATATATAAAACAGTAAAAATGACTCGGTTATCAAACATAATTCATTCGAAAACCGAATTATTTGAAAACAACAAGAATTATCAATAGCCCTTTGTTATAGTTGATCATTTCTTTTGTTTTATAATAATTATGAATTTCAAATGTTTTTTTTTCGTTAAAGCGCTAAACAAATAGTGTATTTTCTTATGAATTTAGTAAAAAAAAAAATAGTATAACACATACTATTTGAGAAATGTTTGTTTAAAAATTGAGATTTCATAATTTTGTATTTCAATAATTTAATTGGGTAACTTATAATATCAATTCTAATTAAGAATGTATGTTGGTCAATGATTTTATGGAAATATGAAGCAATTAAAAACATCTGCGTATTTTTGAAAATATTATTGTAAAATCAGGTTTTAAACGTAAATAAATGTATTTACAGGTGCCAATAGGACGATTAAATTATGCCTATAATTGATTTCAACTTGGAGCTGACATTCTACTAATTGCTGTTATTGAATAAATATTACGCAAAACAACGTAAACTATGATGTGACAGAGCGGAAAGATCGCGGTAAACTATTTGGTCACATATTGTGACCAATAAATATGTTTAAATAAAAACATTCATAACATTAACATAAAAAATATATTGAATATTCCTAAATTATTAATAAACACCGAATGATAGATTAAAATGGAAATGAATAATTTAAATGTAATCGAATTACAATTCATAGAATGTTAACGAATTCAAAAAATAAACGAAAATGATATGTCCATTATTCATTGATCTTGAAATACATAAAATTAATGTTAAGATTATATTTCATATATCTAGTTTGTTCGGAATGTAATTTCGTTTTTTCATGGGTGGAAAAAACATTAATATTTACTTCATTTGAAACAATCCTCATTCAATATCACAACAAGTATTTTTCAATGAGATTTTATGAGCCACTATGCATTAAAAAAAATATTAAAATTGTTAAAGAAAATAAACGGTTCTTTTTATCTCCAAACGGTCTTAGACTACTGTCAATAATAAAAAGAGGACATTGGACTTTTTAATGTAAAAAAAATGATTAAAATAAAGACATGTATATACAGGAATAATCAAATTTATTAAATATTAATTTCAGTTATATAAAAAAAGAAAATATGGTGTGAAACAAGTGTAAAAAGTTAGACAATTACAAAAATCTATTGGTTTTTAGCTTTGCCTTCGGTTTTCTTCTCGGTGGATAATAGCACTTTCTGAATTGCTGACGCCGGTAATTCTATAAGCAAACAGACGATTGTTGCCATCAAAAAGCATATCGTGATATCACCAAAAACCCATCGAATCTACAAAAAATAAAAAATAATTAAATCGTACATAAATCTTCACGCTTAAATTTACCAGTGATCTGTGAGTGACGTGATGCAACGTTCTCGTTACACCAATATTCATCCTCAGAATATGCAGATGCATTAAGTACACACCGAAGGTAAGTCTACCTAAGACATGGAAGGGTCTCCAATTAATGAAATTTAACATTGGACCTACAAAATAAAACAGAGATCAACAAATTGTTTGTTCTTAATTGGGAATAATTACGTCCTTGTCCGAAGATGAACATAATTATAGCTATAAGAATGGGCAGACCGAAACTCAATCTGAAAAAAGCATTGTACAGAGCTGAATTCAACCTGAAGAGAATATGTTATAAGTTTTCGATGATAATTATAGAATTTTAGCACCTGGTAGTAGAGAAACCGTCTTCGTAGAATGGCGCCGCGCTGAGTATCGTTCCAATAGGTGCGACCCATGAGTAAATGAACCAAATCGTGTACCAAAACTGTAATAAAAAGATTATTAACATTCGTTCTTAGATATGTAAAATCATATTGTATTACGTTATTCAAAGCAATTTTAACCTTCTCTTTCTTCCATTTGTGAATGTAAAAGCCCGTCGCTAATCCCATAACATAACAGGGTATTTGATTGTGAGTGGCTATGTACAAGGAATGCCAAAATGGTAAATTCAAAAACAGGTTGTACAAATATCTAAGAACAGGAAATATGAAGAAACTTATATATTAATAAACAGTATTTGCTTACTCTGGATAGCTTCGAAAGACTATGTCGTACGCATTGTAATAGTGTTGAGCGAAGGTTACCAAAATCCCGGTGACAAAGAGGGATATAAATATTGTATTCGCTTTCCGCGGATTATTGATGACCACCATCATTACGAACAGTCCAAAGACGAAGAGTTGAGTATCGGCCGATAAATACCAAGAATGCGTCATGCACTGCAAAGACACATTGTTGATATTATTATAAAAGTAAAATATTGAAACATCATCATACAATATTCTCCGTATTATATAAATTGTTAATAAACAAAACGTTCAGCAACCAATTTTCTCTGCAATTTCGAAATTCGGAATCTACGATACGATGGAAGAACGGTCCATTTCCCGAATGTCTTAACCAAGTCGCCGCGAAACCTAACATCGCCAAATGTATAGGATATAATCTGAAATACAACATAAAAATGAATTTATGTAATAATTAATTAACAAATATCGAACCTTAATAATCGATTAACTATGCCCATAAATATGACAGATACATTCATCTTCATATTTTCAAATATCTGACAGAGGTGAAAACTCAAGAGCAAAGCGGAAATCATGAATGAAGTTTGCATGATCAGATTTCCGTTGCTCAAAAACATATTCAACGGATCTAGAGTAACCTGCAATACAAAAATAAAACTGTTCGAAACGCTTGAACAAACCCAAAAAAAAACTTAACATTTTCCGCATATTGTGGATTCGCTATCGGTCCAACGAATAGTAACACACAGCTGTGACACATGACAACGAAGAATATATTGAAAACGCGAATGCCTTGGATGGGCGCTAATGCTAATCCATCCTCACTTGTAATCTCACTGCCTAATCGCTCCAAGTTTTTCGTCAACGAGAAAGCCATTAACAATTTCCTTACTTCAAAATTGGATCAATAATAATCAAATATTAAAATTTATTGTTTTCATTTACCTTTGGAGCTGCTGGTAATTCGTTGGTATTCTTCGGGGCTTTTGTACCTTGCGCAAACTTCGAATGTGGTTCCTATTGTTACCAAAACTAGCAACGTCAGGAGAACGTATATGTAAGCCATATCCAGCGAATCAATTTCGTAAACCGGTTGATCATTTTGACAATTGATTTCGATGACTTCACTTCTCAATCCTAAATGCTCATACTTTTGCGAGTAACAATCCGAAATTCCTTTCAACAATCCTGATGTACCATTTCCCAATCCGTAATTGGCTTTCGATATGTTCGGACACGTTTCTTGCACGCAAATCCCATGTCTTAACCGATCGTGTCTGTAGAACCTAGGCACAGTTATCACTTCCTAACAACAAATATGCTTATAATAATATTGAGAAAATGAAAATTTTTGCTATACTTCAATAATTTTCCAGGTTTTCGATATATTTTCTTCGTCATTTGGAGCGAGCTGAACTGTTGCGTAACAATATAGTGAATCGGTTTTCAGAGTTAAACATCTATCAAAATCATCCAAATGGAATAGAGGTGGCATAGACATATATTCCAGTTCTAAAATGAAGTTAAATGTATCAATAGTAAATTGATTTTATAAGGTTTTTTTGGCTTAAAAGTAGAAATTACAAACGTTTACAAGATAAAGAAATTTACTTAAAATGAATCAGTATAGAAATTTTTATGCACATACAAACGGAAACATACTAAATAAAACAATTTAAGATTTTGACAAGACAATAAACTGGTCAACATTTTTTTCGTAGTGTCAAAATTAACAGTAATTAATTTAGTGACACCTGTCAGTATATAATTTTAGAAACACCAATATTATCAATAATTTATTAAGATTTATTCGATTTACCTGTGACATTTGGAAATACTTTGATTGGTTCCATGGAGTAAACTGAAGCTGCACAAAATGCAAATAACAGTAGAAGGTGCAACATTTCTGATTGCACCAGTAGTTATGATTTTTATTAATAATATTATTGTATACAAAAATTGTATGTTCCTTTTGATTGCGATAATATTTGCATATTTTGAATTGAAAATTACACTTTTTTCTGTAATTTCTTAATTTCAAACTTTTTTTAAAAGAGTGAATATAGTGCACAACTTTGAGATGAACTAACTGGAAGAGACTGCCACTATGGATTGAGGTTGTATTTAGGAAAAAAAAAACGTATTTAAAAACACAATTAGTTTCCACACCGACCAAAATTAAATATATCTATATACAATCAGATCAAAGATGAAAATGGTACGCTGATAAAATAATCTTCAAGATACAACAGATTGTAATTTTATCAATGACTATAAATAAGAATCCTATTTATAGTCTGTTTTTCCGTGTCTTGTTTTTTGCTTTGACGCATAATGACTGACGTCATTTTGCGTCTCATTAAAAAATGAATGCACCAAACGCTGATTTACATAATGAAGAATATGTAACCAAAGCAAATCAATTTTATGTTTTTATTCTAATAAAAAAAAATTCTAATAATAATAATCTTTATTAGTCACAATTGTAACCAAAGGGCTATCAACCTAAGTCTTTCCGCCAATATATATTTCTAAATTTATTGGTTTTTAGCTTTGCTTTCGGTTTTCTTCTTGGTAGATAAAATCTCTTTCTGAATCGCTGATGCCGGCAATTCTAGAAGCAAACAAACGATTGTGCCCATCAAGAAAGATATTGTGATATCACCAAAAACCCATCGAACCTACAAAAAAATATTTAAATTCTATATAAATCTTCACGCTTAAATTCACCAGTGATCTGTGAGTGACGTGATGCAACGTTCTCGTTACACCAATATTCATCCTCTGGATATGCATATGCGTTAAATACACAGCGAAGGTAAGTCTGCCTAAGACATGGAAAGGTCTCCAATTAACGAAATTTAACATTGGACCTACAAAATAAAACAGAGATCAACAAATTGTTTGTTCTTAATTGGGAATAATTACGTCCTTGTCCGAAGATGAACATGATTATACCTATAAGAATGGGCAGACCGAAACTCAATCTGAAAAAAGCATTGTACAGAGCTGCATTCAACCTAAAGAGAATATGTTATAAGTTTTCGATGATAATTATAGAACTTTAGCACCTGGTAGTAGAGAAACCATCTTCGTAGAATGGCGCCGCGCTGAGTATCGTTCCAATAGGAGCGACCCATGAGTAAATGAACCAAATCGTGTACCAAAACTGGTATACAAAGATTACTAACATTTGTTCTGAGATATATAAATTTGTATTATATTACCTTATTTAAAGTAATTTTAACCTTCTCTTTCCTCCATTTGTGAATGTAAAAGCCCGTCGCTAATCCCATAACGTAACATGATATGTGATGGTGAGTGGCTATGTACAAAGAATGCCAAAATGGTAAATTTAAAAACAGGTTGTACAAATATCTAAAAACAGGAAATATGAAAACGCATATATATTGATAAACAGTATTTGCTTACTCCGGATAGCTTCGAAAGACTATGTCGTACGCATTGTAATAGTGTTGAGCGAAGGTTACCAAAATCCCGGTAACAAAAAGGGATACAAATATTGTATTTGCTTTCCGCGGATTATTGATGACCACCATCATTACGAACAGTCCAAAGACGAAGAGTTGAGTATCGGCCGATAAATACCATGTATGCGTCATGCACTGCAAAAGCACATGTTGACATTATTATAAAAATTAATTCTTGAAACATCATCATACAATATTCTGCGTATTATATAAATTGTTAATAAATAAAACGCTCAGCAACCAATTTTCTCTGCAATTTCGAAATTCGGAATCTACGATACGATGGAAGAACGGTCCATTTCCCGAATGTCTTAACCAAGTCGCCGCGAAACCTAACATCGCCAAATGTATAGGATATAATCTGAAATACAACATAAAAATGGATGAATTGATGAAGAATAATGAAGAGTATATTACGTAGTGTATTAAGGTATTTAACTGAACCCTTTGCGGACGGAGGTTTCTGAAGGTCGAATGCATTTTTCATACGTAAAGGATAGAACGGATATATCCGCCGCTTGTCCGCAACTTGTATAAGAAATTTACATCATGATGACTAACACAAATTGTCACAATGTAAAGTTACAATAAGTTTTATGACAAAAGTATATTAACAATATTAACAACCAAACCAAAGTAGCAAAATATTTATAATTTTCATATCTGTATAAAATACAGTCATATCTCGATTAACTAATAGGGTGCGTTAATTTTGACAGTAATAATTGTTAATTTCACTTCTGGTTTCTTTTAATATTCCCCAATTACAATCAAAAATATATTTCGATAATCGAAATTCAAAATTAAACAAGAAATAGCGTACCTTAATAGTCGATTAAGTATTCCCGTAAATATGACAGATACATTCATCTTCTTATTCTCGAACATCTGACAGAGGTGAAAACTCAAGAGCAAAGCGGAAATCATGAATGAAGTTTGCATGATCAGATTTCCGTTGCTCAAAAACATATTCAACGGATCTAGAGTAACCTGCAATACAAAAATAAAACTGTTCGAAACTCGTGAACAAACCTAAAAAAACTTAACATTTTCTGCATATTGTGGATTGGCTATCGGTCCAACGAATAGTAACACACAGCTGTGAACCATGACAACGAAGAACATATTGAAAACGCGAATGCCTTGGATAGGAGCTAACGCTAATCCATCCTCACTTGTAATCTCGCTGCCCAATCGCTCCAAGTTCTTCGTCAACGAAAAAGCCGTTAACAATTTCCTTACTTGAAAATCGAATCAATAATAATCACATATTGCAATTTATTGTTTTCATTTACCTTTGGAGCTTCTGGTAATTCGTTGATATTCTTCGGGGCTTTTGTACCTTGCCCAAACTTCGAATGTGGTTCCTGTTGTTACCAAAGCTAGCAACGTCAAGAGAACGTATCTACGTCAAAAAAATATGTTTTCAATAATATATTGGATGCAAACATGATGTAATTAACATACATGTAAGCCATATCCAGCGAATCAATTTCGTAAACCGGTTGATCATTTTGACAATACATTTCGATGACTTCACCTTTTAAGCCCAAATCCTCATACTTTTGCGAGTAACAATCCGAAATTCCTTTCCACAATTCCTTCGTGCCGTTTCCCAAACCGTAATTTGCTTTCGGAATGTTCGGACATGTTTCCTGAACACAAATCCCATGTCTTAACAGATCATGTCTGTAGAACCTAGGCACAGTTATCACTTCCTAACAAGAAATATGCTTGCAATAATAATATCGAGAAAATGAAACTGTTTGCTTTACTTCAATAACTTTCCAGGTTTTCGATACATTTTCTTCATCATTTGGAGCGAGCTGAACTGTTGCGTAACAATATAGTGGATCGGTTGCCAGAGTTAAACATCCATCAAAATCGTCCAAATGGAATAGTGTTGGCATAGACATATATTCTAGTTCTAAAATGAAGTTAAATGTATCAATGGAAAATTGATTTTAGAAAGTTTTTTGGTTGGTCTTTCAAATTACATACGTTTACAAGATAAAGAAATCTAAGATACAAATTAACATAAAATGACTCAGTATAGAAAGTTTCATGCACTTACAAACGGAAACATAGTAAATCAAAGAAAATGTATCATAGAATGTAAGATTTTGACAAGACATTAAACATTTTTCGAACTGCCAAAATTAACTGTAATTATTTTAGTGACACCTGTCAGTATATAATTATTATCTCTGACACGTATAAAAACACTTTTATAAAAATCGACCATCATTTCTAAACCTATTTGCCACGTAATCCAACATTGTCCTACGATCAATTTGTTTATAACAAAGAAAATTACTCTTCAACGCAAGTTGACAGCTGTGATTTCGCGACTCAACATTGAATTATATTATTATGTAAGTGATGATGTATATCAATATACTGAAAATGATTGTATATAGTACAAATATTTCATATTTGCTGCCTATTTTTTGCTTATTTTTGTGCATAAAAGTATGGGAAAACGCCCAATACCTCATATAATTCAAATTTAAAGTCAATTTAAAATCATTCGATTTACCTGTGACATTTGGAAAAACTTTCATTGGTTCCATGGAGTAAACTGAAGCTGCACAAAATGCAGATAACAGTAGAAGTTGCAACATTTCTGATTGCACCAGAAGTTGATATTTTTAATAATAATATTATTGTATACAAAAAAAAAATGTTCCTTTTGATTGCATTAATATTTGGATATTTTGAATTGAAAATTACACTTTCTTCTCTAATTTCTTAATGTCAAACTTTTTATAAAAGAGTACACAATTTTGATATGAACTAAGTGGAACAGACTTCCTCTATGGATTGAGATTGTATTTAATAAAGAAACGTATTTAAAAATATTACAATGTCGCAATTAGTTTCCAAATATATATACTGAGATCAAAGAAGAAAACGATACGCTGATAAAATAATCTTCAAGATACAACAGATTGTAATTTAATCAATGATTATAAATAATAATCCTATAATAAATAGTCTGTTTTTTGCTTTGACACATCGTGACAAACGTCATTTTGCGTCTCATTAAAAAATGAATGCAACAAAATTTTAGATTGTAATCCATATGTTGAGAAACGCTGATTTACATAATGAAGAATATGTAACCAAAGCAAATCAATTTTATGTTTTTGTTCTAATAAAAAAATATATTTCTAATAAATTTATTGGTTTTTAGCTTTGCTTTCGGTTTTCTTCTCGGTTGATAAGAGCACTTTCTGAATCGCTGACGCTGGTAATTCTATAAATAAACAGACGATTGTGGCCATCAAAAAAGATATTGTGATATCACCAAACACCCATCGAATCTAGAAAAAAATAAAATAATTAAATACTGCATAAAACTTCACGCTTAAATTCACCAATGATCTGTCACTGACGTGATGCAAAGTTCTCGTTACACCAATATTCATCCTCAGAATATGCAGATGTATCAAGTACACAGCGAAGGTAAGTCTGCCTAAGACATGGAAAGGTCTCCAATTAATGAAATCTAACAATGGACCTACAAAATAAAAGAGATCACAAAATTGATTGATTTTTCTTTATTGGGAATAGGTGTTATTACGGCCTTGTCCGAAGATGAAGACGATTATAACTATAAGAATGGGCAGACCGAAACTGAATCTGGAAAAAGCATTGTACAGAGCTGCATTCAACCTGAAGAGATTATGTTATAAGTTTTCGATGATAATTATAGAATTTTAGCACCTGGTAGTAGAGAAACCGTCTTCGTAGAATGGCGCCGCGCTGAGTATCGTTCCAATAGGTGCGACCCATGAGTAAATGAACCAAATCGTGTACCAAAACTGTAATACAAAGATTATTAACATTCGTTCTTAGATATGTAAAATTATATTATATTACCTTATTCAAAGTAATTTTAACCTTCTCTTTCCTCCATTTGTGAATGTAAAAGCCCGCCGCTAATCCCATAACGTAACAGGGTATTTGATGGTGAGTGGCTATGTAAAAGGAATGCCAAAATGGTAAATTCAAAAACAGGTTGTACATCAATCTAAAAACAAGAAATATGAAGTAACTTATATATTGATAAACAGTATTTGCTTACTCTGGATAGCTTCGAAAGACTATGTCGTACGCATTGTAATAGTGTTGAGCGAAGGTTACCAAAATCCCGGCAACAAACAGGGATACAAATGTTGTATTCGCTTTCCGCGGATTATTAATGACCACCATCATTACGAACAGTCCCAAGACGAAGAGTTGAGTATCGGCGGATAAATACCATGTATGCGGCATGCACTGCAAATACACATTGTTGATATTATTATAAAAATAAAATATTGAAACATCATCATACAATATTCTCCGTATCATATAAATTGTTAATAAATAAAACGTTCAATAACCAATTTTCTCTGCAATTTCGAAATTCGGAATCTACAATACGATGGAAGAACGGTCCATTTCCCGAATGCCTTAACCACGTCGCCGCGAAACCTAACATCGCCAACTGTATTGGATATAATCTGAAATAAAAATGAATTAATAAAGATTGATGAATTAATGTAAAATAATGATGAATAATGAAGAGTATTGTATGGTCAATTACTAAATTGGACATCTATCGTACCTTAACCATTTGCGGGACGACATTTTTGAAGATCACATATTCCAAGTTACTATGTCTTAATTATGTGGTGGCGTATTTCGATGAAATAAGTTGCGTGTCTGCATAACTAACGTGAAAGCTTTTAAAGTCTAAAAAGACCACTGTGTTATAACAATGGCGTTACATGCGTAAAGAATAAGACGGATATATCCGCCGCTCGTTCGCAACTTAATGTACGTTATGGTGAGCAACGCAAATTGTCTCAACGTAAAGTTGACTTATACAATAAGTATTATGTCAAAGTTACAGTTATCTAGTTCTTCAGTGATATCTCGATTAATGAATAGGATGTGTTAATTTTGAGTAACAGTTGTTTCCCGCACTTCCGTTTTCTTTCAATATTCCTCAATTACGAAACAAAAATATAATTGGATTATCTAAATTCGGCAACTGTCCTATACAATAATTAAACAAGAAATAGCGTACCTTAATAGTCGATTAACTATGCCCATAAATATGACAGATGCATTCATCTTCTTATTCTCGAACATCTGACAGAGGTGAAAACTCAAGAGCAAAGCGGAAATCATGAATGAAGTTTGCATGATCAGACCTCCGTTGCTCAAAAACATATTCAACGGTTCCAGAGTTACCTGCAATTCAAAAACAATGCTGTTAAGAAGACGTGAAGAAACACACATAAAAAGAACTTAACATTTTCCGCATATTGTGGATTGTCTATAGGTCCCATGAACAGTATCATGCAGGTGTGACACATAACAACGAAGAACATATTGAAAACGCGAATTCCTTGGATGGGAGCTAACGCTAGTCCATCCTCACTTGTAATCTCGCTGCCTAATCGCTCCAAGTTCTTCGTCAACGAGAAAGCCGTCAACAATTTTCTTACTGAAAATTGGATTTATTATAATAAACATTTATTATTTGTATTCTTACCTTTAGAGCTGTTGGTAATCTGTTGATATTCTTCTGGGCTTCTATACCTAGCGGGTGCTTCAAATACAGTTCCAATAATCACCAATCCAAGTAACGTAAGCATGATGTACCTAATACAAATTGAAATTGATTTTATTAATTATTAATTGAATAAAGCGAACTTACATGTAAATTATATCCGGAGAATCTATTTCGTAAAAAGGTTGATCATTTTGGCAATTTATTTCAGTTACTTCGCCTCTCAAGCCCAAATGCTCATACTTTTGCGAGTAACAATCCGAAATTCCTTTCCACAATTCTGATGTACCATTTCTTAAGCCGTAACTGGCTTTCGGTATGTTCGGACATGTTTCCTGCACGCAAATCCCATGTCTTAACCAATCGTGTCTGAAGAACCTGGGCACAGTTATCACTTCCTAACAACAAATACACTTAAAATAATAATATCGAGAAAATCGCAACATTTTTGCATTACTTCAATAATTTTCCAGGTTTTCGATACATTTTCTTCGTCATTTGGAGCGAGCTGAACTGTTGCGTAACAATACAGTGAATCGCTTTTCAGAGTTAAACATCCATCGAAATCATCCAGATGGAACAGAGGTGGCATAGAATTATATTCCAGAACTAAAAAGAAATTAATTTTGTAATAATAATTATATATAAAAAATATATATTAAATCATGTATAATTAATGTAATAATTTTGGCTATCAACGAAAGCGTTTATGGCTTTATAACTGATAATCAAAAGAAGTTAGAGAAAGAAATCTAACTTACAATGATTAAATTTAGAATTTAGTTCATAATAAAAAAAGTAACAAAAGTTAAATGTGAAAATGTTATTAATTATTTTGGTGACATCTTTGATAAAAAATCAACAAGCCAAGATCGGTTGTATGCTCTTACCTAGCGTTTATAAACTACTTCGCTACGCGATTTAATATATTTGTTTATAGTTGTCCTACTACCAAATTGTTTATAACATAAAATTAACATTTTGACGTAAGTGACAGCTGTCATTTCGCATCTCAATATTAGGTGTTAATTATATTAGTGATGATGTATTTCATATTTGCTGCCTATTTTGGTTTAAACCGATGTTTTTCTCATTTCATCAAACTATTTTCTTCGTTTCCCGTTCAATTGATGCGATAATTTAACTAGAAAATAGAACAAATTAAAATTGCTCGATCTGTAAATTATTTATTGCAATATCAATCATCTTTTCTATAATAACTTCATTTAATGACATTGCAATTAATGTCTCAAGTATAAAATGTAAGTGTACGTGCTTATTATGCAATTATCTTGTACAATTATTTAAAAAAAAAAATGTCACCTGGTGTTAATTATTCATTACATTTAATTTAGTTACAAAGTTTATTGACAATTCTAAATGAAATTTGTATAAATAGTAAAATGTGTAGTAAACAGGAACTTCTCGTTGATTCATATATCGAATAGAAATTTAATTGATTATAAATTACGAGTTGTAACTTTTTTTCTGTTAACCATTTATAATTTCCAAAGAAATGTTGAGTTACATAATTAAGACAATAATTATCTTAATTAATTAATTTGAAGATCTTCAACAACAACAGAACAATTAAACATTATCTTTCGTTCATAACTTACATAAGAATTTTTAATGAATGTACGTTTTTCTTATTATTTTACATTTTTCTTTATGCAAATACGTTTTCATCACGCAATGTTCTTGATACAACATTCATTCAACGTATTCATAAATATCTCTAGAAAACCTTCGACAGAATATAACATCAATAAATTAGATAAATCGATCAAATTATCACAATTCAACACTTTTTCTTATAGAAAAAAAAAATAGTGAATTATAGATTTAAACAATGAATGTTTGGAAGCCTCTCCATCTATGTTTGTTTTGGTGCAAGTTTATACAAATTTAAAAGATATGGAGAGAAACGAGCCTCGAATAATAAATAAATTTGACATAGTTCAAGATTTTTTTTTTGCTTGTCGTTTGATCTTGCCTCCTTCGTAATTTACTTACTTAATCCGTTATGTATACTTCAATTTCTTCAACATTTCTCTTTTTATTCTGACCTTACTCGTATATCTTAATCTACTTTTAAAAAAAAATAAAGTTTTAGATATAAATTTTGTATTTTTTTTTAAATGAGCTATTTTACTATATAACTTAATTTTTATTTGAGAATGTATTAAATAGAAATATTTGTGAAATTTTTATAATTTGTTGTTTTCATCAGCCACTAATTATATTAACAACAAATACAAGTCATATTTGTTATATTGAATACTTAAATTTACGAATTTCATTGAGAATATTATAAGTAAACATAATGATTTTTAAATAAAAGTAAGGAAATGCGTAAAATTTTTCAATCTTTGTGTAAAGTCCAATGTTAACATGTATTATATCTATAATTTCTTAAGAGCTATTACAACGTATGACTAGTACACTTCATTTATTGCTATCTCATTGAATTTAAATTAAAAGTGAATTTCAAATTATTCGATTTACCTGTGATATTTGGAAATATTTTGATTGGTTCCAAGGAGCAAACCGAGGCTGCACAAAATGCAGATAACAGTAGAATGTGCAACATTTCCGTTTACACCAGAAGTTGTTATTTTTATTCCTTTTGATTGCATTAATATTCAGATATTGTGAATTGAAAAATACACTTGTTTCTCTTAATTTCTTATGTACACAGTTTTATAAAAGAGTGAATATAGTGCACAACTTTGATATGAACTAACTGGAACAGACTGCCACTATGGATTGAGGTTGTATTTAAAAAAAGAAACGAAATATAAAAAGAAAACTCGAATTACAATGTCACAATTAGTTTCCGTAACGACCAAAAAAAATATATTTTCACTCCGATCAACGATCAAAACGATGAGCTGATAAAATAATCTTCAATTGAATTGAGGATAACATTTCAGAAGTTCCCGTAAGAGTTCGAATTCTTCGTTACAAAGTTTCATGATTTGGCCAATAGAATTTAAAACAGTCTCATAATGCAAATCTAAGATAAACTAATCTGTATCAAAGATGAAACATATTCGTTCAAGGCGCTTTTATTAAAACGTTAATAGTTCTTGAAAAGAAGTGCTTAAATGGAGTTTGGCTGCAAAACATGAAGTAGAAATGAGTTAATTCAGGATAAATCTAGAAAACCTAATTAGCAACTAAGTAAAAAAATATGAATATAAATATAATAATAAATTGAAGAAGTTCCTGCCAAAAAATGTAAACAAGCATAGCTTTAAATGTTAATGATCCTAATTTAAGAAAAAGTTTCATTGTTAAGTGAAATGCACATAGAGGGCCGATAACAACAATTGAGCTGTAACATAACAAAATAGGTCTATCTTGGATGCCGTTGTTACGGCAACGAGAAAAGTATTGCCATTGCCCTAAATATTTCCAAGGATGGTTACAGATGTCACGGTTTCTTTCTGCTATTGCGTAACGCACGTATTTGTATTTTTCTTGATTCGTGCATTTATCTAAATGTAATCGTTTTAACTAGAAAATGGTAACTCTATAATAAAATTGGAATTGAGACATTGCTCAAAAGGGTCTAAATCTGTGGTTCAATCCTTCTAAGCCCAACAATTCTGGATAATACAAACAAAATAAAGTAAGACGAACCTTTTTACAAGGAAGAATCGACAAAGATTTTTTTTCTAAAAATTGTGTGAAAGTGACTGTTCTTCGAATAATGTGATTTCAGTTTGGCAGAAATAGGTGTCAATTAGAAGAAAATATTCATATATACTCAAATAAAAAATGACGAGAATCACCAAATAAACTAAATTGATACAATTATATCTTTTTGTTTAATTTATGTTGTATTAACACTAATTTTTTTTATTAATAAATTTCATCACTCCGCTCTGCGAACGCTTTGCGACATTTAACATTTTTCACAGACAACGCAATTTGTTTGTAAAATAATTATTTCTACTAATTATTGAACTACTTATTTAATAGAAGATAAATATTCAAGTACAGTGTAAAGTTCAAAGTTAGCATGCACCTATGAACTAACATCCTAATCTGTTGTCCCGTTATATAGAAAATATGCCTCAAAGTCAATTATATCTTCAGAATTATCTATCAGAATTTGACTTACCTGTAATATTTGTTAACACTTTTATTGGTCCTACAGAGTTAACAGACGCTGCACAAAATGCAGATATCAGAAGAAGGTGCAACATTTCAAAAAAATGCGCCCGCACTAAGAATTCTATTAGTAGTTTTTAAACACAATACTTTATTGTAATTAAATAATGTATTGAAACGTAATATTTCTTCTAGACGACAAATTTAATAATTTGATTGAGAATTGAACAATTATACCAAATACTCATTTATGAATGAAGCTACAAAAGTGTAGTGCGTAACTTAGATATGTACTAACTGGAGTAAGTAGACTACAAGATGAGAGGTATATATAAAGCAACAATTATATAATGTAAATTAATAAGAAGGCAAAAGAAGCAAAGTTCATTATATTTAATTATTTTTTAATCCATTGCTGAATCATCGTGATTTAAAAATGTTAAGACTTTGAATGTTTTAATAAAATTCAAAATTACCGCGGATTACCGCTTGTAACATTCTGTATATGAATATCCGGATTACCAATAGAAATATGTGCGTAACCAACTTTACAAACTTTTACACGTCAAATGACGTCATATATGTCAATGTACGTCAATTTCAATCCGGTTTTTGGTGCTAATAACAACAAATATTGCAAGTACCAATTAGGGGTAGAAATATTGCAGTAACAACAAAAAAGAAAATCAAATATTCACTTATGTTTTAATTTTAAAATGGATCAAGAAAATTCTGTAATTTACGGATTAGAGTTCCAAGTATACAAAAAAAAAACATCATTCTGGTATGTTAAATAACTTTTCAATGTGTTTCAGGCAAGGGTATTGACTCCCCAGTGGGCTGAAACTGAAAAGATTAGATTCTTCATTGGCACGCAATCATTGAAGCAAGCCAAGAATCAAGTACACCTAGTAGAATTTGATGAGGAAAACTCCACATTGAAAAATTTAGTCTACTATCATTCCTTTGGGGAAATCTGGAAGTTAAACTCCAGTCCAATACATGCCAATTTACTGTCCAGCTGCTACAATGCTGTTGACAATGAAAATATCACCTGCACTAAGCAGACATCAATATTGAAAGTTCCAGAAGCGGGTGATGTTGATCAGATTGAATCGTTGGAGGTGCAGAATAATTTTCAAATAGCTGATGGGGAGGATATTATCACCAATGAATTTCATCCGAGTGATGAGAACAAGTGTATAACAGTCATGGGAAATCAGGTATTATTAAAGATATATTTGATTTAACTTTAAACAAAAATGATTGTTTTTGTAGGTGGACTTGTGGGATATATCTGAAATGAATGCTAAAAATGTACTGTCCATGAATATGGAGAATAAAAGTAACTCGAAATATATAGCAGGGAAATGGAATCCTCACCAAAATTGTAATCAAGTAAATATGTGTAATCCTATTAGATATTTCACCAAAGTATGTGTAATCAACAGTTCACCACAGCAACTGAGACTCATTTGAAAACTTATGACATTCGATCAGGACAATTGGCTTGGCACATTGATAGCTGCCATGCCCAGCTTTTGAGAGATTTGGATTTTAATTTGAACAAGCAATACCATCTAGCTACGTGCGGCGATGATGGATGCATCAAGATTTGGGATTTCAGACAAACGAATCAGCCAGTGTATTCCAGAAGCGATCATTCCCATTGGTAATTTTCTGATATATCGTTGCTGCATTCGTTAACATGTAAGATTTAAAGGGTTTGGTGCGTGAGGTTCAATCCATTCCATGATCAACTTCTGTTGTCTGCTAGCTCGGATGCGAGGGTGTTAATCTCGTGTGCAGCGAGTGTTAGTTCAGAAATTGCAAATGATACTAACATCTCGGATTACAGCGCCGACTTAACCGAATCGAAGCAAGTGTAAGTTTTGTAATCATATCTTTTATGTTAAATTACATTAAGATTGTTGCAGACTGCAGGATGGTCCCTTGCAATGGTCTGAACATGAAGATAGCGTGTATTGCGCAGAATGGTCACATGCAGAACCATGGGTCTTTGCGTCGTTGTCTTACGACGGAAGATTGTTGATTTCCAGAGTAAAAAAATCATTGAAATATCAAATTATGCTTTAAATTAACTCGAAATTCGTATACAATGTAATTAAGTCTAATCGAAACATCTGAGAATAAACGTGTTATTTATTAAATTGTTTAATTATTCCAAAATCTATAAAAATACTATTGGGATGGGTCTTAATTAAAATGCTACATAGCCACAAGATATAAAATATATTTCCATAACAATTTGTAAAAATCTTACATCAAAAAAATCTTGCGGCTTATAAATAATGACTTTTTTATGCAAGTATTACTTTTTTTTATGTTTTTTTTTTTAAATATATATATATAATTCACTCATTCACATTCACAATTTGTTTCGAAAGTTTGTACTGGATATGACTCACTGCCTATGCCTACAAAAAGAAAACCGAATTATCCCTTCAATGTACAAGCACTAAAATGTTCAATCTGCCCCCGAGCCCAGACCACTTTCCTTCACATTATACAACCTACTTATATATATATATTTATATAAATAATTTATAAATAGATTTCGGACTATAAATAAACTTAAACATATAAAGAACTCAACATTTTGTAGGAAACCTACAGGCACCTTTTGCAAACTCACCTAAATAGCAAACAAACAAACAAAAAAGTACCGTTCGTAAAGACAAGGATCCAGAGACACTGTTGATTATAAAATCAAGAGATTACTTTCGAATAAGGTTTGTTTTTTCCAGCTGCAGCATCTAAACTTTATTTATTTAAATATTCAATGCTCTTCTTTTTTTATTGTTTTTTTTGTTTATATAATTATATCATATCGCCCGGTCTAAATCATTATTTTTTTTTTGTTTAAATAAAAATTACTGATTAACATAAAATTCACACAACAAATGCAACAGAAAGAAAAAAAATATATAGAGGAAACAAAAAAAAATGTATACAATATAAATGTTACATTTAAAAAAAAAAAGAATACAAAGTAAGATTAAAATTTGTTACAATAATATAATCTTCTCTGCCTCATCATCTTATATATTATCACAATATTTTCTTATTTTTTTTTATCAACTTTTTTTTTCTCTATAAATAAATTACAAACTAATAATTTACATCATGTTTTTTTTTTTAATTATTACTTTTCAATATTATTAATATCTTATTATTATTTTTTTCAGATGAACTGCGCAGATGTCAGAAATTAGTTTTTGTTTTAGAAGTTTCACAGATTCGATATTGCACCCATCGATTGATTGTTTGATTGATACACGAACGTTCACGACACTTCGAGAACTTTGATTGGTTGAGGGGAGGGGCTTTGCTAATAAGTTCAGGGCAGATGTCAAATCTGCCCAATGAAGAGACGTTTGGAAAAAGAGAACGAATATGAGAATAGGAACACAACTAAAAATCGTAAAAAAAATATATGTATGTACAATTCCCATTTAAAAAAAATCAAACGATAGATGACTCAATCATAATGTCAATAAAGAAAACGTTTTTGTTTTGCAGTTTTCGCACACTTTAAACACATTTTTTTCTCTTCGCAGATGCGCACAACCCCAAATCGCGTTTTCAATTCCGCTCATCTCTGAGACAAAAAAAGAATTATTATCACAAATACTTATGAATTTGGGGGATGTGTACAAAGTTGCATTATTTTCGTTTTCTATATTTATAATGACTATACAAATTTAGTAGATACATATATACAGTTTTAAAAAAAATGGCCTTGAAATACTCTTAGTAATGTGACAATAAAAAAATTGAATTAAAATTGAATTTATAAAGGAAACTACAAATTAAAATGACTCCCAACAGAAAAGAAAAGAATTTAAAGAAAAGCAATGATTACAACTTAATGTTAGTGTTTTTTTTTCTTCTACCGATTAAAATTTTTAATACTATTTATAGATATTTACAGTTCAATCAATTATGTATGTGTGTATATATATATATGCGTGTATGAGTATTATATAAAGTGTAGGATTATTTTTCTTTAAAAAAATGAACTATTGTTATTTCAAGGCAATTCGATACAACTGTACTTAAAACAACATAAGTAATTGGTAACCTACTTGCAACTATGCTTAAATTAAAAACAAAATTAAAAAATAATGTATGAAAGCTGTTATTGCATAATACACAAACTTGCTCCGCGCGGGAAGTTATTCTTTTTATCTGGAAAAAAAATTATTTTAAAAAAATTCTTAAAAAATCGACCGTTCACATCATAAGTAACAAATATTTTCATCTTTTTCTCATTTTTTTTTTCTCTGGTTTTCATTATTTTCTCTATTTTTTTTTTTGGCGATATCTATGTTATATGGCAGTCCTAGCGTTTCGCTAGTTTGTGTATAAGATGTTTGAGTAAAAGTAGTTACATATCCGTAGTCTTTTTCAAACGCACCCTCACTCTTTAGTCTCTATCCTGTTGTAGTGGTGTGAGGAGTTGTACTTGTTCGTTGACTTCTTCGCGCTTCTTCGGATGCTTTGCGTCGAGGTTATGTGGGGCGTTTCATTGTTGGGGTTGGGCCTCGAGTATTTCCGCCGCGTGTACGTCGTTGTACGAACGTCGGACGGCCTGTGGCTGCTGATCGGCGCGTGCGTTTCCCGCCGTATCATTTCCGTGGGGTTGGGTAATGCTTCACCTGTGGGCGACTCTGAATCCTGATTCAACAATACATCACAAAACATTATTATTATTACATGAAACATCGTCGATGCAAATTACCTCTGATGATCCTCGGCTGTCAACGCTGCCCGTCGAACCCGCCCTCGATAACGAACACTTGCCCCTCGGTGGCGAAATGCAGTTTTTCGTGTGCGTGTTTTGAATCGACCCAAACTGGGACTTCATCCAATGTCTATAACGAATCACATCATCGGTCACTTTCAATAATTTGTATAAAATTGAAGATTTGTTGCAATCGACATTCGACATCTGTGGATTCACTGCGAACGATAATGTGTGGTACGCATGGTCGAATGTTCTTTTCACCTAAAAACATAACAAGTAACAAAGTTGTCTTTCATTTTCAACATAACATAAAATACATAATTCAACAACAACAAAAAATCTATTTAAGCATATAAAAAATGTGGACGTTTAATTATAATCACCCATATCTAAACTTTGTATTCGAAGTTAGCACAATTTTAAAATTTAAATGCCAATTTTAATCATTTCATATTATTATGTAATATTTTGTATTTATGTAATTTAACCACTTTTATGCTTATAGTTAAAGTAAATTAATTTCGTGATCAAAGGATTCAGTAAAAAAACCATATACACCAAATGATTGTTTAACACATATCCTGTTGTGTTGTGTAATAGTTATCTTTATAGTGGGTCAGTTGACAAAGATCAGTTTATCGTTGAATAGGCGAAACAAATAATGTATCGATATCTTCGATTTTATTCTTTAACCTGCATTCAACAAATTTGTCCTAGCATCATAAAACTGTTTTGAGAATCATTTCATTATAGGAGCATTAATTAGATTGTTTCGCAATATTGTGTTTCTGCAAATTATTTACGTAATATTTGGGTGGAATGAGATTTTAATTTGTTTATTTATGATGACGTACCTGCAGAACTCCATAGCTGCTACGACCTATGTCGTTAGTGGGTAAAAGTGGATCTTCTATGCAGAGCAGACTGGGCCTGTGTCCGTCCGTCATGTCCTTTTGCATTTCCTCCTTGGTGATGTAGCGGCCGTCGTCGCGAATACGGATGCCCGTCGACACGTAATTGAACTTCCGACCATACAGCTCGAGGAATTCGATGAGCAAAACGCCCAGGTTGGGGTTCTTGTCAACGTCGTCGGGACGGGGGTGCAGCTGCAGGAAGCTTATGCACATGAGGATCAAGCTATAGCTGGATATGCCACCGGTGAACACCTCGTTGAGCTCCCTCTCCAAAAGGAACTGCTTCAGCACGTATACCAGCTTCGGAAGCACCGGATACCGCTGCATGAACGTCGCTATCAGCTCCGCTGATTTGATACCGTTGCTCATGTTGAACGATATGTCCACTTTCACATCCGTCCTCTTATCAGTTAATTTCACTATTGGCACAGACGCCTTGTCCAGCACTTTTATGTTTTGCTCGTCCACAATACCCTTGTCGAGGAACTTTTTCTCTAACGTCCTCAACGGAAGATCTGCCCATTTACCTATAAAAATCAAACATCAGTTAAACTAATCCATAGTAAATAATTAAACAATGACATAAACAAGCCAATAATTATACCTGATTGATCAATTTGAAAATATTAATTAATAACAAACATTAATACCACGAATTTCACTTTACCAAAATTTTCTTTTAATATAATTAGCGTTCATCCTGGAGAAAGTCATTCACCTTCTCGTTTATTATTAAAATAAATAAGCCCACTTTTCACTACCGGGAAGAGTCGACCTTCTATTTTCTATCATATTTCACTTTTCATCATCCGCAATCACCAGACCAAAATCTTGCTAATAGTCAATCATTTCCACTTTCACTTATTTCGAACAGATTACCATCGACAAGTGTTTCCATGGTAACAAATAGTGAATTAATAAGATTACCATTTACGAAAAGGAAATAAAGGGTAGACGGAAATTCTTTCGCTGGTCATTGGCACGAAGAGAAACAATAAATTGCTCGAGGCAAGACACACGAGATTTACATCCGCATTATAAACAACGCAAATTGAAAGCATTTCTCTTAGTTGAGAGGAACGTGTTTAAGTTGAGAGATCGGGATGCGCTCTTCTCGGTCATTGGCATAAGGAGAGTATCGAATTGAAGAAAAAAAAAAGAGAGAATCGTAAATATACGTAGTAACTGTTCAAAATAAAAAGTGGACCATTATGTAATTAAAATTATGATGAACCGCTCGGATCATTCGAGCGCATCGCGGCGAAACGGGGAGCCGTGTTAGGTGGCTATCTGTATAAATACACCTATAGTCCTGTCTGAGCTCACCAAACCGTATCATTTGAACTAAATCTGAAAAGTAAAAAAGAATACAACGTTAACAGTATAACTCACCTATAACTACAAGATCTATATCACTGGTGGGTAAGTAAAGGCCGGTGCGGTATGAACCAAAAACTTGTACTTTCGCCTCCGGCCATAGGTTTGTAATAATCGTTTTGATTTGGGCTATCACCTCTCCTCTTACTGTGTGTTCCACATGCGTGGGCGACATATATTCGTAAAAATGTTCGATTTCTTGATGCAACCTGCAAAATATATTTATATTAGAAAAAAAACAAAAAAAAAACATTAACATCATTTAAACAAATTTTGCATTCTATTCAATAAGAAAATGTGAAATTATCAGCTAAGTTGCGTGAAAGAATGTTTCATAAAATATCTAACTAAAACGTATTTACTACAAGATAACTCGGTAATCAACGTTTTATGAATCTGATTTACTTGTTTTTGACGAAGTCGTAAATCCTCGTTTATGGTAAAGTTTTTTTTAAAAAACTTTACTTATTCATTTAAACTGATTAGTTAAATAATTAAACTTAGCAGAGCAGTGCGACCGTAAATTAAAGAGTTGATTTTTATCAACTCGTTAATTAGCGCTTCTCTCTAACATCATTACAATATTACCGGTGTAATGATAATAATACAATCGTCCTTTCTTTCCCGTGCTTTTCTTAACACAACAACGAGCGTCTAAACATTTAATATAATGCAATTAGACTAATTAAAGTGTTCGGTGCGATGAGTAAATTCGTTAAGGGAGACTAACTGTGCGCACCAATTAAAATCGCCTCTCGAATGAGCATCGAACCCATTGTGCTCCAATGAGACTTTTCCAAAAGCACAGCAATTGAAAACAACACTAAAAAAATCTATCTCGTCGCATTACGAGAGTACAATATAATATAGTTAAGCAAGAAAATATAGTCGCGATATATTTAGGATACATGTGCGGTATCTGCACACACATACACCGCATTTCACTATTCTAAAACCCGATGGCCTTCTTTGAACGGCATTGACACTCGATCTAATACGTAATTTATTCAGGACACGTTCAATGCAAAAATGCGTATTAATTAAAGTTGATTTGGCAATAAAACTCATACGTTCTGATCTCAATAACATATCGATTCTTCTAAAATCATGTCCATTACACATTACACATTTTAAAATATTACAAACGTTAAATTCGATAATTTCAACATTAATCTCCAAACAGCAATTAATGATACGCAATTGGTGATAGATCAAAGTGTTGGTCGATAATTGCGAGCGTCTCTTATCTCTTTTTTCGAAACATTCAACCAGTAAATAATTATTTTTGTTTTGTTTGCTTCGTTCGAGCGAAAACAGTCCAAATTTTATTTGCAAACGTAAAATTTCGGTGTAAGCAAACCTAAAGTTCATTTCTTTTTCTATTTGTATAAGGTATAATTGAAATACTCGCTGCAAATGGGATAGTATCGCGAAGAATTCAAAATTTATTCAAACCTTATTTTAAAAAAAATACCTATAAAATACATTCAAGGTGTTTTTTTTTTATTAAATCTTGTATATCCGGTTCTGGAAAACACAGAAGGCCGGCTAATTTCTCATTTTGTACAAATGTAACTATGCTAATCTGTTGTATGCACAACACCTTCCCTATTATTCTTATTAATTGTTTGACTTTTAAAATAAAAATATTTGCATTTATAGAATACTATTATGACGCGCGACTATTTTTCTGCTTATTTTATACTTTCAAAGCAGAAGCCGTACGATTATTCAGTTTGTAAGTGTAGTTAAGTAAGAAGGTGGCAATTTTTTTATCATAATACAGGACATTAATGTTCACTTGGCTTCTCATCTCAAAACGCATTTCTGTAAGAAATAATATGCGAATTAGACTTTGCTTGATCAATATTTTATTGTCCTCGCAACCCTTTCATTTCCAAAAGCATCAAATTAAATCAATAAAGTTTTATTGCAAAGTTTCAACAAAGCAACCATTTCTTTAACATAATTTACTCTCATGTCTACAATAAAATATCAATTGAATCTTGGTAACTAGTTGTAAATTCATGGCAACTGGTGAAAAGTCTCAACATTTGGTTTACTGCTAATAAATCAATTTTCAAACATTTTAAAGGAATTTAAGAGAAATCTACACGACCTCGTTTAGCATACAAGTTTCCTTTTTTTTTTTATTGTTCAATTATAATGTAACACACTTTTTTTAGTATTTATTTAATTGTAGGTGGGAAAATCAAAACAAATATATGCTCTAATAAGATTAAAAACCTACACGTGGCATATATTAAATACTAATATTTTTTAATTAATTCGTTTGCACATGCATTAATGGAAAAATTATTCGCACTTTAGAAATTCCTGTTTTAGTTACAAATCAATATGTTTAAATGAATGAGGTCCTAAGTTCACTGAAAATTGCCGACAATCGCACTTTACAAATGCGCCAATAAGTCGAATACTTTTCTGACCCATTAAATAGAAAGTCGACAATCATCTGTGCAGAGCCAACAATTTCAAACACTCACACACTTATATTGTTGCAACTTTCATTAATATTTTATTTTTTCGCTTGCCATAATAATAATGATAGCATGTTCAAGGCAACCAATATTAATATGTATAATGACGCAAAATTTTGCAATATATTAAATATATATATACACATTATATGTGATTTGCATAGTTTATTCTTTTATACTTTATTATTATCGTCAAGGCTGCTATCGAATTTGGTGAAATAGTAAAAAAGAATGAGAGAAAACTGTAGAGCTACGATCCACTGAAAACTAGAGAAAAAAATATTAGGAATAATACAATTGAATTGAAACGAAATTGCGTGATTGATAGCAACAATAAGATACTAGTTTTTTTTATGTTCCACATTTATAAACATTGCTATAAGGTCGACAATCCATTAAGCGAGTATTATTGCATGTACACAATTTAATTGCCATTGCTTTCACATGCATAATACGGTTATTATGGGTTCCTAAGAGCACTTTATATAGGTGCAGAGTGTAAACTCGATCTTTTTAACATACTCGACTTATTGCTTGGAATTTTCATGGAAACAAGAACTCGATCATTTTGATTGCACAATTAGCAGTAACTATGTATCAGTGCTCCAATTGAACTTGAAAATAAAAATAATCACTTATTTCAGTTCAAAATGATAACAGATAGAAATAGATTTACTGAAACCATTAACGTGCATTTCTATACACGTACTTATTTTAATTATAAAACGATAATCGCGATCGTCACAAACATAAGAAAACAATAGTTTTTTTTTTAGTATATTTCTAGTACTATTATGCGCGCACTGCGTAATAATATTTTTAGTGATCGATGATTAATTGCAATTTCTCTCGCGTGCAATATGTGATTAATTCCGACAAGTTCAAATAAACAATCTGGAGAGCAATGTATGAACTTTCTTGTAAATGCATCAACAATTTATTAGTAACAATAATCTAATTGCCACTGCATTCGCATGATTTCTAAATGCAATTTTTGAATTGCAGCCCAGATTCATTAATTAAAAAAATCAACGCAATGCAATATTTTCATAATATAAATTACAAATATTGTTACTAAAGCATGTACAAATTAATTATTTTTAGTGTATCATTGTTAACGAAGGAAAATGACATCGAACTTCTTTTTTTTTTGATAAGTAATGTTAAAAAAAAATGATAAGAATACGATTTAATTGAACATTACTATTTATATAAAGTTATTTATAATATGGAAAGTGATATTGCAAAATTATCATTAAAATATGGTTATTTTTAAATAATGATATAAAAGGTTCAAAGAACAATTCAATATTACTTTGTTAAATGACAAGGATTATGTATTTCTGTAAGCTATATCTATGTAAGTTTAGTTCAAACAATATTATGATTGATTAGATGTAACGAAACAACAAGGCAATAGAAAAATATTATCATATATGAACAATTCAGCTGAAATGTATTTGTTTCATAAATTCTATTTTTTATTATGTTATAGTTATTTTTTTTACTGATCATTTTCAATATTTGTTTACATTAAACGTTTGAACTACTTATTTATAGCAGATGCTTTTTATCACGAAATTGGTAGAAACAATATTATAGAATTTTGAATTTCATATATGGTTAGTATCAAAGCACATACTTGATTCACACTATTGAGTGTATTGATACATTTTACATTATTTTTTTACTTGCAAATACGATTGATAACTTTTGAAAGCTTTTTAACTCTTTAACTATATCAAGTATTATAGTGATATTAATAGAGGCATTAGTATATGCGTACAATTGAATCGAATGTTAATTATGATCGCATTTAGTTGAATTCTATACATTTGATAGTATGAATGTACGTGTTATGTTTGATCGTAGCAAGTGCATAAAAATAAACAATTTGGAGAGTGCGAAAGAGAGGAGACGAGGATTTCGAAGCATGCTGCGTATTGGGGTGAAACAGGTTGAATGGCGGCAAGCAGCGGCAAGGAATAACGTGCAGAGAAAGAGAGGTTGGGAGGCGGCGGCATGCCGTGAAATAGTTTTTACAATTGCGTTTCGCGATTATTTATTTTCTGCACCGTATGTTACAGCACAAGCGAAATGCGGGGAAAAATGTGGAAATACCAAGGCCATCTTTTGACAGCACATGGAGACATTTCTGTGGGTCAAAGTTTGTCGTGTGGGCACGAGAGGCGAGTGACGGAACAGTAAAAAAAAAAGAGAAGAAAAACGTGGTTCGCAGTACGCGCATTGATGGAGCGAGCGCACGTTTTTCTGGTGCGACATTTAGAAATGAGAGGATTCGATGATGTTATTTGCTCTTTTCCCTTTGTACTTGTACTGACCCTATGACGCCTTTTCCATAGTGGTAGCCTTCCCTCCGCCACGGCGTTCCCCCATACTCCTTGCACATCTCCGAATTTTTGTTCCGCACACTGGCCAGAGGATTGTTCATCTCCATTTTCCGTCTCCTCGGCATGAACACGTTGTTCTTGCCTATCTTGCCGTTCGCGTAGTGCTGGCCCTGGCCCTTGTTCACACTGTTCACTGCCTCCAATTCACTGTTATCGTCTTTCACGTTCATATTCTCGAATTCCAGTTCAGTCTGCCATAAACGAAGCCACAGATCTTTGGCTGGACCCTCTTGTTCCGGCAGAAAGCAAGAGATCAACGGATCCATTCAACAATATCCTCCACACCGTATTTCCGTTTTCTAACCGATCGACTTGCTTCACTCTATCATGTGGTTTCCAATGCGGAATCTGCGATTAAAAACTTGACAAAATCACGCTCAAGTCACACCTTGAGGACCGAGATTGATATCAGAAACTGACGTTTGACAGCCGATAGGTGTCGCCAACTGCTGCACTGCACGCTGCTACGCTTACACCATCAACCCCCACCACCAACTACCACCGGCGCCACTCCACATTTTGCAAAGCATGGTCGGATATTCAAGCTTTTCCTTTTACCAATTTCCAACCAACATTCACTGATCATCCTTCCATTTATTCGAACAATCCATTTGACAAATTTTCCATCCTTTTAAATATATTTCACCACCGGATATAGTTAGTCAATCAAATTAATGGCGGCATTTTGAAGCTCTCAAATAATACTTTCCAATTTAACTACAAACTATCAAACTCTACCATCAAAATTATAAACATAATTGAAGATATTAATTTTATTCAATACGACAATCATTCTTATACTGGAAACAAAAATTTAAAAAATAATCAAAAAAGTGGTATACCTGATTGATGGCAGAAAATTACCATAATAATAGAACACTAAATATTACATAAAATAAGAAATTAGTTACAAAATAGTAGTTCAATATATATTATTTTATTAAAAATTAAAATAATCTAATTACCGGATATAGTTCTTTTCTGTGGCGGGAATTTGAAATAAATACTAAAATTTAAATCGAAACTATATTTAATTATAAAAACTGCGGTCAATAGCCCTTTGCATGTATTTTATCAAATAAGCAATAAATTATGTTTATTAATATTTATTTACTTTAAACAAACTTTATGTTTAAAGCATTATTTATAAACCGGTTCCATTAAGTGCTCTAATTCTATGGCGGGATTTTTAAACAAATAAACTAATATTTGCGACAGGTCGATAACATTCTAGTCTAGTTAATTATTCCAGTCGTTTAAACTTTGTTGTTTATATAAATGATTTAGTTTGTAAAATCTGATTGATTCGTTGTATATATTTTCCATTGAAATATTTGGATAGAATTGTACAGTTAATCTGACATTAAAAAACCGCATTATTGAAATGAATATCATAGTTGACATTTTTACGCGAATATTAAAGTAGACAAAAAAAATATATATAGTAGCATCATCAATGTATTCTAATTATCGAAAATGAAAGTCGTTTTAGTGCTAAAACTTCTTTTTTAACGTGATTAAAAAATTATTAGCTTTGCATATTATTTTTTTTCCGTAATTATAGAAACTTAAGATTAACGACTATAACGTATTTAGTAGTACGTATAGAAAACGAACATATTGTAAAATATGAAATTTGATTGATTTAGAGAAAAAATTAATTGATTCAAAATTATTAATCTTCATATAATTTATCACTTTTATCTCAAATATAAATTATCATTATTTTCTACCAAGGTTTTATATAATGAAGAACAGGTTTGTTTTGTAAAAGGTTATATTTCTTGATTTTAGAAAACTTTTAATCTAATCTAATAATTGAATGCAATATTTTATTATGTCTCGAATAAATATTATATTTTTTTTTTTGTTATATACATTTAAATGCTTTTGTGAAAATAGTAATTTCTTATCACACAAGAAATTTGTTAGTTAAAGTTAAGTTACATATAATATAAGAAATAATAAACATTTTATATTTATTTATTTTTCACTCACAAAAGAAAAGAAAAACTTACAGCAAGTAAAATAAATAGAGTTATAATTCAGTCTTTCAGAGTTATCTAATTACAATATACAATATATATTATTTAATATTAAAAAAACAAATAAATGTATAAATATACAAATGCCGCAATGAAGAGAATATTCATAATAATAATTTAAAAGAAAAACTGTTGCGTTTCCATTTAAAAGCCAAAAAATCATTATTATTTAGTGTAAATAGTCAGAACTGAATTAAAACAAATCAATTTTCTGGAAACAGCTTCTTTATCAATTCCTTCTTGTTGATTTTGCCCATCGCATTTTTATCGATTTGCTGTACAATTTTGAGCTGCTTCGGCACGGTGTACTCAGGCATCTTGGTTTTTGCCCATTCGCGCATCTCCTCCTGGTCCATCGTCGCCTCCGGCTTCAGGACTACGATAGCGCAGATAATTTCCCCCCAGGTCTCGTCCTTCAAGCCAACAACGGCCGTATCCGCTACTTTTGGATGTCCGAGTAGATGTGTCTCGATCTCCAAGGCGCTCACTTTATATCCTCCGCATTTAATGATGTCAACACTGGTACGGCCGAGCATCTTAAACAATTCTTTGTCCATGTTGAACTTGGCTAGATCTCCAGTCTTGAACCAGCCGTCTTCGGTGAACTCTTTTTGCGTTGCTTGTGGTCTATTGAAGTATTCCTTGAAGACACTCTCGCCTTTAACGTGCAACTCGCCGACGGGGTTGCCTTCGATCAGCTTGTTCTTTTTTATGTTAATCTGACCGTTGCAATTGGTGACTTCAATTAGATTTTCGTAATCGTTGTCGGAGGATTCTTGTTTCAGAGCCAAGCGTACGGAGACTCCAGGAAGCGGCAGCCCAACGTAGCCGGGCTCTCGATTACCCTCGTAAGTGTTGGATAAACACATACCGATTTCGGTCATACCGAAACGTTCCAAAAGCTTGTGACCGCTAATCTCCAACCACTTCTCGTAAACTGGAATGGGCAACGGGGCGCTACCGCTAACCATAAGACGTACTTTGGTCTTCAAGATCTGCTTAATATGCTCGCACATCTTGCTATCTTGGCTGAACAACTTCTTGTGTTCCTCAATCAATTTCGTATAGATCGTTGGGACGGCCATGAACGTTGTGATCCTGTTGGAAGCTGTTTCATTAACGCCCAACAAATGCGACCATACGTTATCTTTGTCGAATTTGGGCAACATATTTATTTTAGCTCCTGCGTATAGGGGACACATCAAGGCATTCACTATACCATGTACGTGATGCAATGGCAAGCAATGCAAGATCGTATCGTTTTCGGTCCATCTCCATGCATCCAGCAATGTGGTAATTTGTGTTACAATATTCTTGTGAGTTAGAACCACACCTACAAACAAAATTTACATTAAATGTTACAAAAAAATATGAGAAATGTTTTAACAAAACCTTTTGGATTTCCTGTGGTCCCGCTAGTATATAAAATCATACTGTTACTGCGATTGTAGAAGTCCTTGGACAAACCGGCGTCCATATCACATTGCCGGGAAGGCACTTTTTGCGTGGCATTCTGACGAAGTTTATCATCCAATACAAGCAATTGCTTGTTGCAATTTTTGGCAACTCGGTTCATGAGCTCGGCATACTCGGGAATTGTTACGAGCAATTTGGCATTGCTATCGTTACAATAATACTCCAACAGATTTTGCGGATGCAATGAACTTAATGGCACGGCTGTAATCAAAATAAATTTACTTTATAATACCGTATATCCCACGTTACTTCGTCATATACATGATGATCATCTAATGAAACAGAAACACTTTATACAAACACACGAGACGACATTAACTAACCAATCACTGGTACCATAAGCACACTACAAATTCACACTCGCAAAACATCAAAGTTTTATCTCGCAGCCAACCGCTAATAATTTGCAGCACTTCATATAAGTTGTTAATAAAATCATTAAAAAAAAAAGCAAATACAAAGGCAAGTCTCATTTACACTTATGTATTTGACAATAAAAATAACAAGTAGCAAGTATGCACACGAATTGTCATACAAAAATTAAAGTTAAATCGAATTTAATTAAATATTTGTTTTGGGTGTCCTTCAAGGATTAGTCCTTGGACGCGTTGCGCATTCAGTACTTTCATTTTGTATTATCTTTAAGTCGAAATTTAATTCCAACTTTCCAACAATATTTATAAAATAAAAACAAGAATTCATAACTAGACTAAAATGTTGTACAGATAAAAACTTCCAAATTGTATCTTGATTATAACATATTAATAGAATGAATATTTCAACAACATTTGAATAACAAACAAATTAATTTATCATTTATAGCATAATTATGTTGATATACAATAAACTAATATTTAAACATAATTAATATAACACAATAGTTTCAACAAATACAATTTTATAAAGTACATATATAAATATACATTAATTAAATGATATAATAATGTATTTCAATGACCTTATTACCAACTTTAATTTCTTTTGTGATTTTATAGATAAATATTGTAAACTTGTATTAGAAATTTGTTAGAGCTCCTCATAAGAAGATGACATTTGACAATAGAAAAAAATGTATGTTGAACAATTGTACTATTTGAAATAGCAAGTGATGTCATATGTAAGCTTTTGTTATTGTTTGAGTAAAACTATTTGTAATGGTAATGATTACATAACATTATTAAAACTTCTTACCTATCTGTCCTGACATCCAAATGGCCCATTGGGTGAGCACATAGCTGGCATCATTTGGACACAAAAACAGCACCCTTTCACTATTCTTCCTTCCAACATTAACTGATATGTCACTGGACAATTCCTTGGCTCCCATGAACAAGTTACCATACGTATACCTGCCATAGGTGTCTTTAAGTGCAATCTTGTCAGTGTAATTCGAGGCTCTCCTAAACACAGGGACTACATCTTGCTGCGAAGTCTTGATCAATGGATGGCTGGCGGTCTGCTGAAGCCTCTTCACCACTGTGTAGGTGCTGCGGTTGACCTGTTTTCCTGTTACGCCGAAGAGCAGTCCAGACATTCTTGTACCTATGTGCAAATGTTACACTCAAATGAGAACAGTAGATTGCACTGAATGATAAAGCATAAAAATAAATAATAATCTCTTATCAGTGTATTTGTGTGTGTGTGAATGACTTTTATTTATCAAGGTTAGGCCAGAAGTCAAACCGAAAGTGTAAATGAATTGGATTATGATGATGGGGAAATGGATTTGTGCAGATAATTACCAAAGCTGTAGCCACGCGTAATTTTGATGAAGCACTTGTTGGATTTTCGCTGCCTCCTTGCTGAAAATCTGCTGAAAGCGGAACCCAATAAATGGAAAGAATGATAGAAATAATAATAATTTGCAAGCCGAACTGAAAATAAGATGTTGAAACTGCTATATCTGCTGACAGCTGATTGGTGAGGTTAATTATTATTTTCCTGGTTGTGGTGGTGGTGGGGTCGCACTTGTTTCCGAAAGGTTGCCAACCATTGCCAACTTTTTTCTACGTCTGTTCTGATTCGTAAAATAGGCGCCAGCGACATCAGATTAGGAGAGAGAATATAACGTTCAATTTACGTTAATCGCTGTTCATATTGTACAGATCTCTTCACAAATATTTATCATTCATTGCACATTATCGCTTTCCATACGTGCGCAATTCCCAATCTATTTATAGCACACTTCAAGTTTTTCATCATATTAATAAACTAACAACAATTTGTTATTACGCATTTGCAATGTGAGCACATACATTTATTTACGTAAAACAATTATTGGCACTAAACGCGCATAACATTGAATTGAAACTAAAAGCCTTGTAATGAATACATGTCTGAAACTATTTTAAAATCTTTAATACTTAACATCAAGCTAATAATCATAATTGTTGAAGTCATCAACTTTATTCTATTAATTTAATTTTAAAGTTATGACTACAAAGAAGATATCATTTGTTAATGACCTAAGATTAAAGAGTTTAATAACTAATATTAATACTGCTCAGTAATTGTATTAATAACATTATTTATTAATACAACATTCACTTGACTACTGTTTAATTTTAAATACTTATCTTACTATTACAACATTTTTATCTAGTTTTTTTTTTATTATTATAAAATGTTATATCATTTAAAAACTTTTTGTTTTTTTTTCATCTCTTAAGAATATTAAGTATTAAGATGAATGTTTTAGATATGCGGAAGTCTACAAACCATTCACAGTAATAACCTTGTATCAACTTTCAAGAACATTTTCTTAAACATCTTATAAGTAAAATATCTAATGCAGGATAGATTGAAGACTAGCACATCTGACATAGTAGCTATGAGAATTAGTCAAGATCTTACGAATTATTATTGTGAAACAAAATTTCGCAAGTTTGGAAACTTAAATCTCATCAACAAACAAAATATTTGTAGAAATTTCAATTATTTTTTTAGATAATTTATTTGTATCATAGTAAAGAGTACACTTATTACGTTCATAATCCTCTAGACTTTTAGTCAATATTATGAACTCATTTAATTACGTCTTCTTTTGGAAATAAACCCACATACTAATAACATAATCATGGGCGGCCGTAAATTTAAAGTACAAACATTGAATTTAATCTGTTTCAAGTAAATATAATTTAAACTTCTTTAAAATATACTACTCGACATTTTCGGACTATACATGATGTCAGAATTATCCAATTTATAAATCAATAATTTAGATTAATATGTATTCTATGTAATAGAAGTGCTGACTAATTGACTATGGATACAAAAAAAAAATGGTAACCCAAACCTTGGTTACCGTGGATACCTTCAAATGTTTTATCAATATATAAGTTTATATCATCTGTGTGACATTGAAATACTTTTCCGAAAACATAATGGACAGTATATTATTTCCTACGGAAATTGATTTTTATATAGATACAATTAAGTATCACAATTTAAAGGATCTGGGCAATTCAAAGTAAGTTTTCGTTTAAAATTTAACAATGTTATTCTTCAAAATTCGCTGTTTTTCAGTTGGTTGGAATGGCACGAGCGTCTTCAAAAACTCAACCAAGAAGCGGTGATCGAGGCTTCCGCTATGAAAGAGGAGTACGTGAAAGAAGCTTTCGTTACGTTGAACAAGAGCAGCGCTCTTGTTCACGAGGCGATCTTGGTGAGCATATGGAAACAAAAGTTGCTTCCGTTGCTGCTCCAAATGCGACCGGATCCCGAAAGCACATTCATAGCCTACTCGATTCTGTATCATGAAGCGGTGGCCGTCAGTCTGTTAGAACTAATCTTATTCCATCCAAATGGATGCGAAAGCTTGGGTGATGCGGCATCGGACCTTCTGGAATACGCCTACGATTGTGTCGCCCAATTACTAGTCATAGAATGCAAGGAACCGAGTACTGCCGAAAAGGGCAGGACCGAAATATTAAGACAGAAAGAGGATTTGGCGTTTTCCATCGGGATTCGCTGTTTATCCATTATAAGATATCTGGCTGAAAATATGGATAGGTTCGTTATTTTCTAACATTAAAGCTCTATTGCTGTAAAACTAAAAAAAATGTTTTAGGATTGCAATAGGAATAACTTCAAGAATTTATTCGACTTTAGACGTTCCCGTGCTTCTCGTACAAGTTATGCTGCACAAGCCTTGGATCAGTAAGGGAAAAGTGTATAGGGAAGGCAGCTGGGTTGAAAACAACTTGCCCAGTGATTTATTGATGCAATCAGAGGCTCAAGTATTTCATGTGTACATAACTTACATTATTGTATTTAAATTCCATATTTGCAGATTTGGTTAAGTCTGAGGCAATTGCTATTGGATAAAGCCTGTTTCGAGTATTATCCGATAACAGATTCGAGGCGTTCGCAATTGATGAAATTAATGCCACTTCTATCACCAACTTTATTGGATCAGCTCTCGCCACTAATGGAACTAAATCACTGGCTTTGTCAACTATCCGTTACAGAGTTACCATCGTCGAATAACAAACCATTTCTACTAGAAACTATATTGGAAATTAAAAATAATATATTGAAACAGGGAGAGAAGAAATGGAAGAAAATAGCCAAAGATCAGGTGGATGTCATTTTTTGCAGTGACAAAGAAGTATTAAAAACTACAGCTCAAAGGTAATAAATATCTGTCAATTTAAAGCAAAAACTACAATCAACAACTTGAAGGTTAATGGCAGCATACAATACTGACTTGTTGGAGAAAATGGAAACAAAGAATAAGGAACACTGCACTCTTTGTGATAAAGCTGCAATCCAAAGATGTTCCAAATGCAAGAAAACTTGGTACTGCTCAAGAAATTGCCAAGTCAGTGATTGGAATACTCACAAGGTTATGTGTATTCAATAATATTTAGATTCAATAAAACAAACTGGATTCTTAGAATATTTTTAATTTATTATTAAAAAAATGTTTACTTCTTAAGGTATTCCTTAAGAACGTCTAAGGCAGGGGATTCCTCACCATAGTCCTTAAAAGAAAATATATTAAGTTAATATATGGATTCAATATGACTTATGCAATTGTACTTACTGTGATTACGACGCACGAGCAACCAACAACTTTGCGGGCCTTGCCGGTGTTGTCAATTTTGCAGAGTCCAGCCCATTCTCCCAATTTCTTGTTGTTGTCAACCTTGATAAGGGGGATTTGATGTTCAGAGCACAAAGCAGACACCAGTTTCTTGTACATGGGTTCGTCGCAGTTTTCGGCGAGGATGCAAAGAACAGCTTGCCTTTTGTCGAGAGTTTTAGCTGCCTCGTGGAGCCCGTGGATGACACCGTCATGGATGAGAGCGGTTTTCAAGACATCTTGTAAAGCCTGGTTCACATCCATTGGGCCACCAACTGCTGGTGGGGCAGAGGGAGCATCATCACTACAGAATGAAAATAAATATTAAATCACAACAATAAATCGGATTATGCTATTAATTATTTGAAAATTAAAATAACATACTATTAGTATACTTTAGAATTATTTATAAAAACTTGTTTACTTTTTTGGTTAAGACTTTGAGGTTATAAAGTTACTTACACTTCGACGTCAGACATGTTTGCTGTATTAACTGAAAAAGAAGAAATACTGTATTAAAATACATCCTGGTATTGTTCTATTTGGATTAAATGGCTTTATTTTTGCCGATTTCTTCATTATTAGAAGATTTTCATAGATTTCTCTATAGAGTACGTTTATTTACCTTCTCTCACGAACGGTCGAACGGAAAAGGAAGCTCAACTTGAAGTTGAAAAAATAACCAGATTTTACCGAGTATTATATTTTCCTATCAGTATGACCAACTTAATTTCAAATATTTACATAAGCTTATCTGAGAACATAATATAAAGAAAATTTTATATATTGATAATGTAATATTCACTCGTCCAACATAACAATAAGGATAATAATAATTTATTGTTATAAAAATAACATGTTTTCTAGAAGTTTATAATATAAATGTTTACCAACATCAGCAATGCATATTTCCTAGTATATGCAACACATGTTGGTAAAGCAAGTTTTGTTTACAAATTTACGATTTGTCTTGTTACAACTTCACCCATAACCTAAAATCATCAATAGTTGAGGTTATCTATAAACTTTTACTTTATAAAAATGCCTGTGGATTTGAAACGAATAAATGGGCCGGAGAACACGGTCTCCTACAAATTATACACACCATCAAAAACTTTTAAGGAAGAGTTGAAATGTTTATTTAAATCTAACAACAAGAGGCAGGACGGAAGAAATTCACTTGAGCACAGAAAAATGTGTAATTATTAATTTAACTATTTAATACAAGCAGATGATTATAATTTCGTTAACTTTTTCTTTTAGTTATTAAAACAGGAATTGTCAGTCAGGCAAAGGGAAGTGCCTACTTGGAATTGGGAAACACTAAAGTTATAGTTTCAGTTTTTGATCCACGTGAAATACCAAACAAAACTGATTACAGTCAGAAGGGAGTCTTGTATTGTGAGTTTAAATATGCAACATTCAGTTGTCCACAGAGGAGAAACTTCCAACAGGATTCAGAGGAGAAGCAAAATAGTATTATTTTGAAACAGTCTTTGGAGCCAGCAGTGTGCCTCCACGAATTCCCTAATTTCCAGGTGGACATCTATGCTTTAATACTTGAAAATGATGGCTCCTCTTTAAGTGCTGCCGTAACATGTGCTTGTGTAGCTTTAGCACATGCCAGTGTCCCAATGTATGATTTAGTGACAGCTGTTACAATGGGAGTTGTTGATAATCAAATACTAATGGATCCAACATTGAAGGAACAGCAGTTATGTGAAGTCTTTGATGAGACTGATACAAAGAGTGATCATGGAATCATAGTAACATCATTCATGTCTACGCATCAGCAGATTTCACAATTTTACCAAACTGGCAATATTAATCTAGAAAACATTTCTAAAAGCATTTCAATTTCGACGGACGCTTCCGGCGATATAAAATTATTAATTGAGAAATGCATTGTAAACCACGTTTTGAAAGGCGCAAATAAAAGCAACGAAGAGTAAATAAGTTGGCAGTTCTGTTCTAACCATGTCACCTCAATCGGTTTTATAACTTTCACAACTAACTTCAGTTTGAGATCCTTACTCCTGTTACCTAACAGTCCAGTTGTAAATTCAATTGAATTTCATCAAATAATGGCTGTAAGTTTCGTGCAGAGGCGCTTCATGAGCAATGCCCTCCAAAAGTGGGCCTACAATCTATCCGGTTTCAACAAATTGGGTTTGATGAGAGATGACTGCTTGTACGAAAATGACGATGTCAAGGAAGCCCTAAGGAGACTGCCCCAAACTGTCGTGGATGAGCGTAACTATCGTCTCATTAGGGCTGTACAACTGTCCATCCAGAAGGACATCCTTCCCAAGGAACAGTGGACTAAATTGGAAGAAGACGTAATGTACCTCCAACCTTTCTTGAAAGAAGTTAAGAAAGAGCGTGAAGAAAGGGAAGCCTGGAACAAGCAATATTAAAAACGTTGCAAATAGTTCAAATATGTGTAGATCCAGTTGTAATATTTAATATAATGCTAAAATTATTTGTATTTTACTTTGTTCTATTCCTCTCTTGTATTACCTATTGCCTATATCCTATATCCATAATGTTATTGTCATATTCATAAAAAAAAAACAGTAAAAAAAGTATAAATTAACATCTGTACTTTCTTGCTATTAAATGTACAATGCCTGAGGTAATAGACTTTAATGGACTATTTAATATTAAATTATGTAATTATTATATCAAAATCATTTAGAAATTGCTAAATTCTAAATGAAATAGAATCCTATAAGAATATAATACAGAGATTTAATCCTTAAATATTGAGAGTAAGTATAAATTCAATAATATTCCAATTATTGTGAGCGTTTTTATTATGGAAATACATATTATATTAATTATTTAAATGTAGTGTTTAATGTTATTGCTGAACAAAGTACATGTTTGCGAATTAATATTTTCTAAATGTATGTTTAAAATATTATTAATTATATATATATATCAGGGTTTCCCTAAATTTTCACGGAACACTAAATAAAATTTAAAAACATTGAAAAAAAAATTCACGGAAAACCTAGTTTGGGAAACCCTGACATATTAATTGGTGTTGTTGATATTTTTTCATCTTATGTATTTTTTCCTGTGTTCGAGATTCAGTTATCTATTGGAATTTCTTAAACCACTGATTCTCAAAGTATGGTCGCAAAAAATTGATGATAGATCAATCTTGGTTGTTTTTCTACACATACCCATTCTTCGGAGTGGTGGAAGATGCCAATAGTTTCGTTGGAAAGGTGAGGTATTCAGCTTTAAATGCTGTGGTCGATGATGTAATTATCTTGAAGGGTTGTCGAGAAATACACGAAAATATGAAAGTAGTCGGAAAAACTTCTATTTCCTGTTACGTAACGAAAATTTCGAAATTTTTGTTTCATAAAAAGTTGCGTAAGATCATTTTTTTGTAATTAAGAAAAAACGTGAAATTTCAACGAATCATCGATTTTTAAGAAAATCCTATTCAATTTTTTCAAATTTCTACAGCTCGACTTTAGCACGAAGATTCTAATAGTTTCGTTGGAATGGTGAGGTATTCAGCTTTAAATGCTGTGGTCGGTGATGTAATTATCTTGAAAAACGTCTTTTCCCTGTTACGTAACGAACATTAAGTAACTTTTGTTTCATAAAAAAGTGCGTAAGAGTGTCGCCCATCTTACGCAATCATGAAATGCAACAAAAGTTATGTAATTTTCTTGTAATTAAGAAAAAACTTGAAAACTCATCGGATCTCAACGAAAAAGCAGACCAAACTGTTTGAGAATCACTGTCTTAACACGTTAAGGATAGCGCAAATCGTTTTGCATGCTGCTAAAGAAAATTTTCGTGAACGCCTTTGGACTGAGTGAAAAGTCAAATATCTTAACTTAAACTTTTTTAAACAGTTTATAAGAAATGTGTCTCGCAATGTAATTTGTAAACTATGCACAAATTGTGTCACAATATCATGTATTATTCTAAATTTCTTCAAGAATTATTATAATATGTATAAGAAATATATTGGCGCTTAAGCTTTGTAATTGACGTAAGATATTTAACTTATACTCAGTCAAAATCAGTGGCGTGCATAGCGATAAAACTATTATTTATAATTTATGACCCACCGATGGGTCATGCCATGGTCAATGTGTTAAACAATGAATTATTTTGTGTCGTCCACTAAATGTATTGAAATTGAGTTAAAAAGCGCGGGAAAATCTTTTCAAATTGACGTGTTGGTGAGTCGAGATTTGTCGGGTTGGGTCGGTGAAAATACAGTCTTATGTCGGTGTCGAGTGTGACGGTGTCGGCCATGATAGTATTTCCGTCGGGCATTTAATATATTTCCATTAGAAATTATGGAAACTAAATATGATACGACGTCGACGACAATGGGCGAGACTTGCGAAATAATTTATTCGCAGAAGGGCAATCACAAGCTAAGGATTCGCGGTTATCTGATGGTGAAGGAGAGGAACCGCAATGACATATTCTACTGGTGCTGTGTAAAGAACAAATCTATAAACTGCAAGGGCAGAGTGACTACGATCTTAATCAATCAGCAGCACTATGTTAAAAAGTTTGTGAACCATAATCACGAACCGACAGAGGACGTAAAGTTTCTAAATAGTAATATTAAAATAGAGGCAGAAACGGAAAATAATCAAGATTCTCTTCGATTTTCACCCCGATCCTCTGACGTAACCGGTGAATCGATACCTGCGTGTATGGAGTTAAAATACGTTCCGCTCTGCACAATAGAAACCAAAGAAGATTGTCCCGTAGTCACCGATGTTGGTGCACCGCAGACACCAAATTTATCTACAAACGTTACCTACATTAAATCCATATGCAACATCTTGGAGTGCGAGATGCTGCAAATGCCCGAGGATGTAGTAGAAGAGTGCAAGGATGAAATTATGGAGTTGATTATGCGAAACCGGAGAAAAGTTAAGGAACGCAAGGAGATCGACGTTAAGCGAGATTCCACTGTATATTCTACATAGCATTAAAATTTGACCGTCACCTGTATTTATTTATCTTAAAATATTGAAAGAATCTGTAAAATATTGTTTGTTCAGTATTTTCTTAAAGACTTTTATTACTAAAAAAAAATAGACAATTGTAGCTTATAATAAACAGTTAGAAATATAGTACAAATAAAATAATTAATTCTCATCCTCTTCGATTTTGGGAGCAAGGTAGTAGCGTATGTGACCAAGTTCGGGTACGGTGTATTCAACGACCAGCGGTACATTGTCGGACATCGAGAGTTGCACCTGCGGTGAGAGCGGTGTGGCTTTGGTGAAGGAATTCAAGTATTGACATGCGAATGTGAGCGCCACCGGTTCTTGCATCTCGATCGTGACGGACTCTTCCTCTTTCTCGAAATTGCTGGTCTGCGCGATCTTCACGTTCGCACTGCCGATGTCACCAGAAGCTGAGAATTTTACGCCCTCCTTGGTGCAAGCAATTCCAATGGATTCACCGAACTGGGCAAGATCGCGACAGATGCGGGCGAACTCGATGGACGGCATACGGATCACGCAAGAGAAGTCGGTGTCGGGAATACCAAGATGTTCCTGGTCCAGGTTCATAAGTTTCATTGCGTAGTCGGAGATCTTGTCCTGCTTCTTCGATTCGAACATGAATGTTACAGTGTCTGCATCGTCCTGCGCTTTTATTGTCACTGTATCATCATTGTTTGCACATTTCAAGATCTTTACCATACTGCAAAATAGAGAAGATTATTACAAATGAATGATAGTCTTTCTATTAAAAAATAATTGTTATAAAGATGATATTAATCAAGTTCAATATTATACCAAGAATATTTGTGTTAATATAAACATTTTTAATGTACTTCTCTTATAAGTAAATAAAGAATATGACAATATATTGTAAATTACTGACAACAACTGTTAATAACAGTGAACTTATAAGACTTCTTAGTAGAATATGTTTCTACAAATATAGTTTTAAATAACAATAAGAAATTACTCATATTGCACTAAACATGTAAACAAAAATCAACATAATGTTGATTAGTATTTATAATTGCCATGGTCTTAAATGTTGAGTGCATCTAGTGACACTAATTTTTTAATATTTTTTTTTATACCAGTATATTTATTAGAATTATGACAATTCTTGAAGAATCTTTGAAATAGTTTGAACTAAGATAATGAAGAAGGAAACATTAATAATGTAAATGAATCTGTAATTTTGGCGCCAAAAAGTCGTCGTAGGTTAACAAAGGAAGTATGGAGTTGAAGACTCACCTTGCCAAATTCATTCCCATCGTGATATTTCTGTCGCATCTGTATTTATCGAATCCATCGGATTTCAGTGTGAGGGAAACGAGCGATACGTGAGAATTGTCCATGGCTTGCAATTGGATGCCGGTGTCGGAGCAATCGAAGGAGGCATCGTTGAGAAGATCTTTGATAGCCTCTAATACCTTTTTCAGCGTAACACTGCTATCGAGACGAGCTTCGAACATGTTTATCTGTTTGTGATTTTACTTAGTTTGCAAACAAAAAAAAATCGGATACCGACAAGATACTGAACACTTCTATCTGCAGCTCAACCATTAATGGCGTGTCGATGGCGCACTCGCAAATAACGAACTTGTTCCATTCCCGCCTAAAACTAGGGAATTTAGAAGTCGCGTGCGACCTTCGAAAACTTTATAAAAATATATTATTCTCACAGCAATATTTACTTAATCTTTTGCGAAAACATTACCAATAATAATGCGATCCAAAACATGAGAAATTATTAGCCAAATTTTGCATAAAATTACAATTTAAAAAAACCTCTATTTAATTACTTTCAATTGGTAAGACTGCGAAGTAATTTTGTATTTTCATTGTTGGTGTCATTTGGACACGACACAAAATTGTATTTATTAAATCGATTCAATGATGATGAGTTTTGTTATATTTTCATTTATAATATAAAAGACACGCACTTGACTGAGAGAGAGTAGAAACAATTGTCTGGATAATTTATTAATATTCCTTAGTTAAGAAGCACAAGAAGGTTGGTTGAATTTAATAAGTGTGGGAAAGGTTATCTTTAATTTGTTTTTGTTTTTCAGAATGTCAGATTTCTCAGATTGGTTCAGGTCAGTACCTTTTTTCACAAGGTACTGGCTTGCCCTGACGGTGGGTTTTACCTTAATTGGCCGGTTTGGTATAGTGCATCCAGCTTATTTAACATTGATGTATACACCCTTAATGAAATTCCAAATATGGAGGTTAGCAACTTGTGTTTTCTATTATCCACTCAGCCCAGCAACAGGTTTCCATTACTTGATAAATTTATATTTTCTGCATACATACTCAAAAAGACTGGAAAATGAAGTATATGCAGGCAAACCAGCCGATTACTTTTATATGTTGTTATTTAATTGGTTGGTTTGTATTATTTTGGGATTAGTGCTTAATGTTCAGGTAATTATTATTTTTTATAATATATTTTTACATTGTATTTATATCATGATTTAATTTACAGTTGTTAATGGACCCAATGGTACTGTCAGTTCTATACATTTGGTGTCAATTGAACAAGGATGTTACTGTGAACTTTTGGTTTGGAACCCAGTTCAAGGCAATTTACCTGCCATGGGTTCTGCTGGCCTTTAACATGATTATCAATGGAGGTGGTTTAGTTGAACTGATGGGAATTATAATTGGGCATTTGTACTTCTTCATGAAATTCAAGTTCCCACAGGAGTTAGGAGGACCGGTACTATTGGAAACGCCATCAATTATTAAAGAATGGTTTCCCAGCAACTCTGGAGGAGTCTATGGGTTTGGTGTTCCACCAGAAAGACCCGCACAACCAGCTCCAAATGGTGGTAGCCGGTTCGGACGTCATATTTGGGGTAGAGGCCAAGTCTTGGGAAACAATTAATTAAGATAGTTAAAATGAAAACTTTTATTTGTAAAAAGAAAGCGATAAAGTAATTTAAAAACTAATAAATCATTATGGTGAAGATCGTGGTTTCAATTCATCGTAGCAGGATCGCAAAAATATGTAATTCTTTTTAGAGGTGTTGTAGAATTCGTGGCCTTTGCTCCAGTCGTAGCTCACAGCGTATGCGAATATCTGGCCGCTGTTGTTGAATGCGCATCTGGTGATAGGTTGTTCCATCGCTTCCGACGGTTTCAACTTGGTGCGAGCATCCTTATCCCAAAAGCTGAAGGTGCCGTCCGAACCGACTGTTGCCAATGTACCATGAACTGAGTGGAATGCGATGTCGTTCACCGCGTAAATATCTTGGAATCCATTTAGGGCACCGGTGGATCGGTGGCATTTGAATGTGAAATTATCTTTGGGACTCGTTGGGTTTACGTACTGAATTGCTACACGACCCTCCACTGAACCAAGCGCATATCCAGTGGGAACTTTCTTTTTATCCCTAAAATATTAAAAAAAATATGATTAATTATAACGTAATATTAAAAATATATTTTTTTGAAGAACAGCTATGAAATTTAATTCTAATTCTGCAAGTAAAATGAATAATGCTGAGAACTTACTTAAAAATTGCAACACATCTATGTTGATACTTCAGTGGACTCTCTGTCCTTTTATATTCTTCAGGTTTTCCTTCCAACTGATAAATAATAATTTGTCTTCCTGCAGTCCCAACGACAGCCATTGGATAATCAACATCAGCACAATAACACCTATCTGGTAGATTAAGACTTAAAATTGGATTTGGTGAACGTGTGTCCCAGAATTTCAGAGTTTTGTCCCATGATCCAGTCATCAGACAACTGTAATTTGGAGCTTTGATCCAATGGCATGTCTTAATTGGAGCATCATGTGCTGCTACTTGGACAACCTGATTACTGCCCAAATCCCAGGCCTTGGCTTGTTTATCACAACCAGCCATGAAAACCTATATAAATTCAAATTATTTATTGAGCGAATGATGGTAAGAAGATTTAAACCTTTGTGCCATCATCACTCCAGCAGACATCTAATACTGGTCCTCCACAGGTTTGCATGGATTTGGGAATGGTCCTTCCAGTCTGTTCCACTTCCCAGCAACGTACATGGTTGTCCCAACTTCCAGCGATCAAGAAGTTTTGCGGAATTGTTGCGGGCGAAAAAGATAAACAACTTATTGAATCGTCCGGCGGTGATGTTACCTCGTAATCCTTCATCGGATTCGGGACACTCTGCGCGGCCGTCTGGCCAAATGGGCTTTGATTGAACATGCTTTTGTTTTTTTTTTTATGGTAAACGAAAACAAAAACACTTAGAACAAATGCATCGGTGTTTATTGCAATCAATAAACGAGCGCTTTTTGCACATACAATTTGAGGTTATAACCGGAGGTTTTACAAGTACATTAATACCAACTACGTAAAACATAAACATTAATTTAGACTTTAATGTCCATGCTTTTAGTCACATATTTTTGAAGATATATTTTGTAAAAAGCTTAGGTTTTAATGTAAATCATTCTAAGATATTTACATTCGAACAAAAGTTTGATTTACATATTTATTACTTTAATTAATATGAATTAAGTGACAAGTTAATGATTTTACTGTACTAAAACATTAATTTTAAATAATTTATTACATCATAAAATCTCAGGAAATGTATTTCTTTAAAAATTGAATGAAACACGAATAATAGTAGTTCAAATATACTACATGCGATGGTTACCATAGCAACCAATGATGTGATTTGTCAGAGTTGGAAACAAATTTATTTAATTTTATTTCGTTTTTAATGATTTAACAATTCCTTCGACCGTTAACCGTTCATTCGTATCGATGGACTGATGAGTTTGTGTTCATTCGTTTCGTAGATATCGCCGTGACCGTCCAACTGAAGACATCAAAATATCAATTGTTATTAATAATTAAACGCGCCGCATCAAGGATTCCATTAAATAATTCATTTGTTTCTGCATTACACTTTTGGTGTCACCTTAATTTTTATATGTATTGATCTTTTTGAGATACATATTGACAAAAAAAAAACTTATATAAATCATGCATCACAATTAATTAATTGGTTTTGGGTAAAAAAAAATTCCATTTGTAAATTCGGTCGAGAAAATGCCGCAGGCAAAGGATAAGATGTGCGAAATTGATGAACATATTTCAAAGAGGTTTGACATCCACAAGAGATTGGGAAAGGGGGCTTATGGGATTGTGTGGAAAGCAGTGGATAGGAAGACCAAGGAAGTTGTAGCTGTTAAGAAGATCTTTGATGCATTTCGTAACCAAACAGATGCCCAGCGGACTTTCAGAGAAATCATGTTCTTGCAGTCTTTCAAGAACCATCCAAATATTATTAAGCTGCATAGCATACACAGGTATTGTATTAAGGAAGAGTAAAAACATAAATTAAATTTAAAAAATATTTCTTATAGGGCAGCAAACAACAGAGATATTTATTTAGGATTTGAATATATGGAAACTGATTTACATAATGTTATTAAGAGAGGTAATGTACTGAAAGATGTCCATAAGAGATATATCATGTATCAACTGCTGAAGGCTACAAAATACATACATTCAGGAAATGTTATACACAGAGATCAGAAACCAAGCAATATTTTGCTGGACACTCTATGTCGGTTTGTGTTAGTTAAATCTTGGTATTGATAAATTATATTAATTTCATATTTATTTTAGGTGTAAAATTGCTGATTTTGGTCTAGCCAGATCTTTGACTCAGATGTTGGATGGCAATGATACTGATCCCACTTTAACAGATTATGTTGCAACAAGGTGGTACAGAGCACCAGAAATTCTTATTGCAAATAGAAGATATACCAAGGGCATAGACATGTGGAGTTTGGGATGCATTTTGGGTGAGATGATTGCAGGGAAACCAATCTTTCCAGGAAGTTCAACTGTGAACCAGATTGAAAAGATCATGGCAACTATACCTACACCTTCACAAGATGGTATTATCTACTATAGAAATGTTTATAGATAATATAATATTTTTTTTTTAGATATTAGCAATGTTTGTGTATCTGGTATAGGGACATCTATGATAAAGAACGCGTCAAATGTTCATAAAGTGCCTTTGAAAGCTATGCTAGGACCTGATGTTCCCTTCGATGGATTAGATCTTATACATAAATTACTGTTTTTTAATCCTTCGAAAAGATTAACCGCTCAGCAAGCGCTGAAACATCCGTACGTGAGTAAATTTCACGATCCGGACCAAGAGATCGATATGCCGTGCACCGTCACAATCCCATTCAACGACGATATCCGACTATCCGTTGACGACTATCGCAATAAATTATATGAAATCATGGCGGAGCACACCAAATTGAAACCTCTGAAGGTTCAAAGGAATTTGGTGAAAGTGCAACCAGATTTCAAATACGACGTGAAACCTAGAGTGGCCAAAGATACAGAGCGATTCCTAAAATCGCGCTGCAATTCGACATACGTTACACAATCCGAACCGAAACTGCACCAGACGAAACCGAAGAACCCGGTCTACATCAAATCGGAGCCAAAGATACCCGCCAGACAGGCTGTTCCCCCTAACCACCAAATCAAAAGTGAGACCAAGAAGTATGGGCAGCCTTTACACTCGAAGACTTCGAGTCACCTGAAGAGACGCTCACTGGAACCGAAGGCGAACAACATTTACATGTCTTTTAACAGTTTTAATCAAACGCACGGGATCATCACCCAGAGCGCTCTAATGGAACTGCGTGCCTCGGGAATGCGATAAATTTCTATATTTTATCTTCTTTATTTATAGTTTTAAGTTATTTTTTTTTCTCTTTATGATTTTATCAAATTTTTACAATATACAAAATATTATTATCGTTTATTTTACTTGCATTGTAACAATAGGAGAGAAACTGTGATGTTTAGCGCAGATCACTGTGAGATCACTGACTGGATCATTTACAGTATTAATATTGGGCACGTGTGATATAAATAAAAATTCTTGACAAATTTAAAATGATCTGTTATAAAACCGATAGACGGAAAATAAATGACAATAATCAATATTGGCATATTCAAGGACTCTTTTATATTTCTCCCTAATTTTCAGATTTTCGAAGAACTAACTTTGCGTAAGTATTTGGTATGAAAAGTCGAACGAAAATTGACCTTTTTAATATAAATTTTATTAATTATATATTTATTGAGTACAAAATGTAAATGTGATCATGGCATATTTAAAATACCATCTGTGGAGCAGCTACCTTGATGCTGCCTGCACCACTCTGGCTGTAAGCTGTCCGCATTGACTTTAAACTTCAATAGCCTTTCTCTGTGTATCATAAATCTGTCTTCCGCATCTTTCCACGTCGATTTCGGTTCGGCCCAAAGTCTTTCAGCCAATGCAGCGGCTCTAGGCCAGATTCGACCATCCACAGAAGCATCGTCAGATTGTTCAGTCCACAAAGCAGCTTCGGCCCCCATCATCAGATGGCTGTATTTACCTATAATAATATTAAAAGTAATTATTTTCATTTCAGTTGGATCATTGCAATCATATTAAAATTTAAAATATTGTTAAGAAAAGTTGAAATTACCTGCAATTTTGGCAGGGCTATTTTCATACACTTTTTGCCACCCGATGTAGGGTGAACACCAGTTGTTACCATCCGCAACCCAACTGCCGAATCCGCAATCGAAATATAAAGCATCGTAGTTACTGAGAATTGTCCTATAACCATTCTCGAGCAGCACTCTGATTTGCTTGTCGCTGCCCGTCGTCCAGATTTGAATGATGTAAGTGCTGTTTGGCAAGTATTTCATCAAATACTTTTCGTCAGTAAGCGTGCTTGTCCAGAGGATTATAGGTACATCGTAACCCCTCTGCTTGGTGAACCTCTTCAGCGCTTCTCTTTGGAATTTATCCCAAAGTTTTATGAAACCGGCTTCGTTGAGGGTATAATTGTTATCTGTCATCCATTCGGCAATTTTTCTTTCGGAATCCCAACAGCCTTCGTGCACTTCATCGCCGCCCATGTGGAATATGTCCGGATCGAACTGTTCAATCATATCTTTGTAGATCACTAGCAAAGAAAACAGAAAAATAATTTAAAAACTTGAATCGACGTACATCGCATCGAAATAATTACATTCTAACACGTCGTACATTCCGTCCTGTGTGGGATCTAGCTGACCGCATGGAGGTTCCACGCAATATTTCTGCCATGGCTTCTTATCGAAGCAAGCCAAATAACCGGTATCCTGCCAACCTTCACCTACGTGAGCGGGAGCATCAAACTCTGGCAAAACTTTAACGCCTCGCACCTTGCCGAAAGCAATGATCTCGTCCACATCCTGCGAGGAGTAGACCTTGCTTGGCGTGTAGGCTCCGAGCTTCGTCAGGTACGGTGCAGATTTGGAGGTATAGGGAAAGCTTTGACTGTCGGTGATGTGCCAATGGAAGATGTTCAGCTTGGACGCCCCCATCGCTTCTATCGTCCTCTTGATGGAATCGGTAGAGATGAAGTTTCGAGCCGTATCCAACAATATACCACGATGCGGGTAGACAGGACCATCCTTCAGATAGACGGAATCCAACATTTGGTACTCGCTTCGAATATCATCCCAGATAATAAGTTGGCTTAAAGATTCGAGACCGTTACGTGCGCCGTAAAAGTTCTCAGCTTCAATATCACTGATTATCCTGCCATCGGTGTGCACGGACACATTAAGACTGTAGGTTTCGTCTTGCTGGTAAACAACTTTATCGCTTCCAGTCTTCTTCAGGTGCAAATTGACTACCAGACTTCTGCCGCCCGGTTTTCTGCCATTTTCCGGTGCAAGAAGATCAATGTTCTTTTTGAAACGCTGCGCTGCTGCTGAGACCAACCTCTTCACCGGCGTATCTTCGCCCGGCATCAACACGTCAATACTGTTCACATTCAATTGTATGAGTGATTTCTTGAACTCCATTTTACCAGTCGGTTTCGGCCATAAAGACGCATAGCTGCTGCACATCAGGCGGCAAGCTCCCAAGCTTATGGCAGACTCCTTCTGCTCGGCTCGCACTTTCAAGCAGTTACCTTTTTGACAAATGTAACTCCATTCCGATGAACTATAATATATAATTTTGTATTAATAAAATATGAATGAATGAATATTGTTTTCGCTTTAAAAATACAAGTATTAAACTAATAACTAGTCAGTTCACTCAACAAATCAAACTCAATACATACAAAGAACAAAATAAATTGGAAACATAATTGTGAACTTTGGCTATTAACAATCATTATAGATAACAACAGCATCATCATCCATCAGAAAAGTTCCATAGGGAAAACCTTATGGTATTAATTTGTCCATTATCTTAAACATATACAACATTTAAGTTTAAAGCTAATACTAAATGAAATTGTACCTCGTTCTTTTGAATGCGTAAAATGAAACGGCGACCAGAGCCGAGGGAACAATCAACAGAAAAAACAATGAATATATCGAGCTCAATTTGCAATAGGCCATGCCGAACATTCACAAAACATTTTATTTTTATCACTTTTTTTTTGACAAACTGCCAAAAAATGACACAATTAAACTCACCTTGCAACTTGTTGCACCAGGAATATCGAAGCCAGACACAGCAACAAGCATATTCGAGACATTTCCTGGAAAGAAGCAAATGTTGTTATCCCGTTTATACGTACATACATTCAATCAATCAAAGTTGACCACAAATACGAAAGAAATTGAACAAATATGCCAACAATAAATTGATTACATATTTCAACAACTATGACATTAATCAATTGATTTATTATGTTATTCGTTTCTTAGGTTGTTAATAACATAAAATTCTGGTTGCATACTTCGGCAATTTATCGATACAGAAAAAATATAATAAGCGTTTTCCATTGCTAACTGAAAACCATGTTGCTCATATTAAAATAAATCGAACAAAATACTGTTCGATTTGGATATTACACATATGAAAAATACCTCTAGATTAGCTAATTTGTAGATATGATAACTCGAGTAAATATTATTTAAATTTAAGTGATAAAATATAATAAATATAATGCTTATAACACTTGATTACTAAATAAATTTGTTACAATGAACAAAATAGTATAAGTAAATATATAATTATTAATTTCGTGTTTGTTTTTTTAATTTTAAAATTTTAAATGGTTGAAAGTCAATAAGATTCTAACAGTTTTTTTTTTCATATACATCTAGAATGGAGCGGATCAAATGCTTACGTGTTACTGACCTCTAATCAACTAATTGCACTACTAATTGTTGTATTAACCCGTTTCTATTATGTCAATTCTGAAAATTTTCCTAGTCATCAGAGACGATATTGCAGCAACAAAGAACGGGAAAAGAAAAAGTTGCAACTAAAATCGTACGGTTTCTCGTTGAGAGTTTCAAGGAAATCAATTCGTAGCTTATTATTCGCAGCATATCGAATCTCGGGTTTCGTTTCTCTTCAATCATCACGTGCGATATTAATCAATAAAACGAAACACTTTATCGGCCGTTTGTTGATCGTACAAAACAATTTTATTAAACCGTGCCATGGAAATATTGACGCGTATTGACTTTCTTTTCGGTTACAACCTTCTTAACTCAATGTTTATTTGGACTTACCGTTTCGGAATTGGTTCTACACAATGCGAGTGAAAGTCTCGGACTGAATCATTTCGTTCTTGTCAAGTTAATATAACAATAATCCCCAAGACAAGTATGCAAATTATACTGCACATATATGTATGTATATATATACACATTAGTTGTCCATTTCAATAAATACAGAATACATTCCGGTTTTGGCGCATTCAAAGAGCATACTCGGTCGTTAATTTTATTTTTGAACAGATTTTACGGTGTTATAATTCATCGTCTTTACGATGATCCTGTTTCGTTGGACCCCTATTAAAATTTGTCCCCCCATTAAACCAGATAAAGTAATGTATGTTTACGTTCAATATTTGTTAGTTTTTGAAAAAAAAAAATGTGATAACGATGAGTGATAAAACGTTAAAATTATTTTCATCCAAACCGATGAAAAATACAATCATTATCATCTATATTTACAGACGTTACGGTTTATTCGCACCTGTCATCTGTTGAAATCTAGACTTTAACGAAATTCGAATCATATTTCTTCGGGAATTTCATGAAATCATCATATTTAGCAAGAGATGTGTTAATTTCATTTTTATGAAATGCGAAACTAATCGCTGTCATAATTAGATATGAGTTTATCGTGGTTTTATTAATTACACAATAAGTTTTGCAAACGAAGTGATTTACACTGATAATGATTTTTTTGCTACAACAATCAGATATATCAAATGCTAGTATACATTATATAATATGTGTTACTTAATTGAAAAAAATAATAATTTCAAAATAATAAAGTGACAAGGACTTTCAGTTTCAGACTTTTCCACTGGAATTTGGGTTATTTTTATTGATTGACTTATTTTTGTTTTCTTGACAATTTTCATTTGATATATTTACAGAATTAATATTTGTACAAACTTGTCTTCATTAATATATTGAATACTCAAAATTAGGTTTCTACAAATAATTGTATTTACTGTACTCTGCAACTATTATAAATAAGAAATTTCCATTTTCGCGGAACCGAAGAAGAATTTGGTTCAGGAACCAATGTTCGATTACATAATAAAACCGTTGATACAGTAATACTTCACATTGTGCATTTAATCGGATTGTTTGGAACCGGACTAATCGAGGAACTAAATTCAAGAAGCATACAGAAAGAGTCTTGACGTACGAGTTCAATGACATTATGAATAATTTAAAAATATACTGTTGAAATTGTGGAAATGCATTTAGATTAAAGATATATATATATATAACTATATGTAATTTGATTCGTTGCAAAGGTAATTGTTTTAAAATTGAGCATGAATCCCCTACTACAAGGAATTCACGGAAAACCACCCCGAACGACATCTACGGTCTCGGCGGCAGCGCGCAATCAATAGCAGTTGTTTGTTGTGCCCCGAAGGCTCTGATCCTTATTTCATTGCAAAATAGAATCCGTTAGAACAACAATCCTCAAACATATGCATTATCAAATGCATATAAAACGCTAAATAAAAGAACAAATATTAAATAAATGTGCAGTGAAGATTAATTGTAACCATGAAGCAGATAACTCTGATAACAATAATAATAACAATGATATGTCACATAGACTGCATATTTTCTTATGTAAGTAATATTATTGAGGAATAATGCTTTAAAAGGCGAGAATCCAATTGAAATCTGGATACAAAAAAAAGGGGGTTAATGCACTTATTGATTGCGCTAAAAAATTAATGGACATGAAGGATATGTTCGGAAAACACGAACTATTATTTACTCTTTATTTTTTTTATTTGTTGTTGCTTTAATTCAGGGATCTTATCGAGCGGCCGTCGTTGAATACTCGACGACTCGTGAGCCCTTCTACCAGCCCGAAGATATTTTGCGCACCAATGCAGAAGAGTACGTGAAATTAATTAAGAAGGCTGCGAGTAAGGTGAGATTACGCATCGATTGATAGATCTAGGGTCTTCTACGTGTTCTTTATGCTTCAGCTGGCTTCGATTGTGCTCTTCCCTGAGCACGGGCTGACCTCTGCAGATATCACAACGAAGAGCAAAAATCAGATCCTCGCGTACAGCATAGAGATCCCGGATCTCATCCATAAACCTAATCCGTGCATCAACGAATCCCTGCATAAGGTACATTTCGATATACGTTTTGAATAGAGCGATTTTAATACGCTTTTAATTTCGTTATTCCTTCGCAGATCCTAAGACTGCTCTCCTGCGCCGCTCAGGAATCGAGTATCTACGTTGTGGTCAATATTTTGGAGCGGCAGGATCACAAAGACGATTACCACATGTTCAGCACGAACGTGGTTTTCGATCGCATGGGAACTATTATAGCAAAGTACGTAACTCTTGATTATTAAGTAATATGCTAATGTAACAACGTATGGCGTGTTTGGTCTAAACAATGTAAGCTAAACTTCTTGAATTACGTAAAATTTAGGGAATCCCATTAAGATAGTTTTCTAATATCTTATTCGAAAGTGACGCGTTCAAATTGCATTTATAGAGGTCGATAGATAGATTTTATTTGTTTCAATAATAAATACGTGTAGACGTAATTAAGAAAGAGATATGGTAATCATTGAACTTGTTGTGGTTTCAGATATCGAAAAATTAATGTTATTGATGAATCGAATCTACAGACAGGCAACGACTTATTGACCTTCACAACGGATTTCGGCGTTACTTTCGCGGTGCTAATAGGCTACGATATTTTCTACAAGCGACCATCCCTGGAGGCAATCCAAGAGAAGAACGTCACCAACGTGCTGTACTCGACAGCTTGGATTAGCGAAACGCCCTTCCTTCAAGGTTATTGCTCTGCTAATTTCTTCAACAAAAAATAAATGTTGTACGTTTCAGCGTTGAGTATTCAGGCAGGATATGCAAGAACGACGGGCGTCAATTTGCTCGCGGCAGGTTTGAACGATCCCAACGAGAAGTACGGCGGCAGCGGCATTTATTTGTACGATGGTAAAGTCGCAGAACTCTACATATCTCCGTCGAAATCCAGCAAGCTGTTGGTGCAGGAAGTGCCGAAGATCCACATTAAGATCTCTGCGATCAAATGCAACAATAATTCGCAGGTTCGTTGCGTTTTGTCCTTAATATTGTAATGGTTCATTGCAAATGGGTTTTGTTTGGTTTCAGGTGATGCCAAGATTCAGATTGGGAGGTAACTTGAACGTTGGCTCTTTTTCAACGTTGACGGATAACTTGAAGCACCACACTTTAATGCCATTAAATCAGCACGGTCTTGAGACGAAGGCCACCATCTGCAACCATAACGGTGTCTACTGTTGCAAATTCCACGTGATCGTGCAAAGAAAACCGACTGAACATAATTATAGGTGAGGAATTATACTGTACAATCATTGACATTTGTTTATCATGACACTATTGACATTGACATTAAGTCACTATTGATATGATAAATATCATAAGTTACATTAATTCAATTCAATGTTGAGTTATTTCCAAGTCAGAATTTGTTGTTATTGAATAACTCGAAATTTTTGTTTGTAGATTGTCAATGTTTTACGGAATTCGTAACATAGGCTCGAAAACTATCGGTGTTCGTTCCTGCGGCGTAATCTCCTGTTCCAACGGCACCGATGATCACTCCTGCGGCGAGAGGACCTATCGCAGCTCAACGGTTTTTTCCAACATTTCTATTATCGGTACGTTTCGTAGAAGCGACGAAACCAACGATTTCCCAATTACATTGACATACGATTTGACACCTATCACCGAGTACACATATTGCGAGACCATGAACGATGACAAGCAAACCATCACGGCCGAGATGATCTCCACGCAAAGTCTGACCAATATCCTCAGTTTCGGTATCTATGGGAGGATGTTCGAGTACGACGGAGGTCATCCAGGACCAATCACCAGCAACGCAACTCCTCTCCCGTTGCCCGATGGATTGATCTTCGTAATTCTCACTATTCTTCTCGTCGTTTTAGCAATTTAAAATAACGAAAAGATTATGCAGTTTGCGCTCGCTTAACATTCGTTCGATAATACGTACATTATTATTAACGGCCTTATAACCAGATTTACGTACAAATCCGTACAATGATGTCAATCGAATCATTTTTACGTACGTACATACGAATGAAAAGACACGTGTATATCAAAAAAATAATTAAATGCATTCATTTATAAGTGAATTCACCATACGATTAACGCTTTGCGTACAGCTATTTGGATATGCATTGTGTACGTTAATCGAGCGCTCGCTGTATCTTTATTCTAATGTCCACACTCGAGCTCTCCAATGGAATTGCTTGAACGTCAAAAACAAAACAAATTTCAAACTAACAAAAACCTAAACAAATCTAAATACAATTAGCATTATTTATTTTGATATTAACAATATTTTCTTAAGAAAAAAAAAAGCATACGGTATTTAGAAAAAAAAAAAATAATTGCGTAAACGTAGATTAAATATAGAATTTCAGCAGTTCGGTTTCGTATAAAATATGTTGAGTTCAAGAAGAAGAAAAAAAAATTAATGTGATAAAAGACTTAGACGAAAATGTTGTACTTTCATTTGGGAACTGAGTTAATATGCAATTGTGCCTTCGCTTGATGCCTTGACGGAAAATGAGAAGAGAAAAGATATAAAAGCACGAGGAATATATTATATATTGTATCTTGATATTTTATTGGTAATTGTATGGTGGCTCTGATGCGCGTTCGATGTTGGAAATTACGATGTATTTATTTAATTACAGAAATAAAATTATTATTGTCCATTCATTCACCAAAAATTATAATACTAGATTGATTCGTGTATACTCCTAACTAACGAAGATTCATCGATCAATTCTTGGAAAGAAGTTGCTAAGAAATGCGTGTATTGCGTTTGGCTCAAAATATGCACAACAATTCTACTAGAAGAAAACAAGTACAAAAAGAAAACAAATATCCGGTGAGTTATCCAAATAGATTTCTAAAATGTCGATAAAGCGAATGTTTGCAATTTATTGAATGCAGACTACAAATTTACAAGGAGGATTTAGAAAAAAAAAGTATTGTTACATGAAAGAGAAATAAAAGCAGAAACAATCAACTTTAGACTCGTATTTTAAAATGAATTCACATAAGAACTTTTATAGCATCTGAAAACGAAGTTATGATCGTATTAGATTTGAAATTTGCATAATATAATTATGTAATTTGTTTGTAAAGTTTCTATAAACGCTAATAAAATTGGTATATGCGATTATTAGATTATTTTTCACTCATGTTTTAATAGATTGCGAAGCTCAATTTTCATTTAACATTGTACCGTCTTATTAATTTATTTCCATTTGACAGTTTAAAAATAGGTAACTTATATGTAAAGTCGAATAATTTACGGGTGACATCATGCAAATATTTATGTTTGTTTCACAAAGTATATCACGTTCTATACGATTACGACTTACGATTAGTCGTCTCTTGGTGTAAACTATTTGTCCTTATTTCAATATATTAATAGGTAATGAAATCGTATTTTTTTCCAACTATTATTATCTATATTCAGAATTTGATGAGTGACGGTGTCAACATTTTCAAGAGTGAATCAATGTAAATCATTTTATCGCTGAACGTATGAATCACCTGGTGGGAGGGGTAGATCAACGGCTTATCTTAGATAAAAAAAAATGTATAAGTGTTTCCATAGGTATTTAGCGTTCAGTATCGATTTCAGTCTCTTCCGTAGAACAATATAAAATTATTACCTGTAGTTAAAAAAAAAAGTTTAAGCAACATGAAGAGTTTTTTGGTTGCGGTGCTTCTAGTTCAGATAGCCGGGATTTTGTCTTTAGTGAGTTTACCGATCGATTGTGGTTTATCAATTTAATGTTGATTTTTTGGGTGTGGCGATTACCCAACATGCAATTGATATCGAAAAAGAATAATGTAATTGGTTCTGATTTGCGTGTTTTCTTTTAGGATTACTACGATGTTCTCCTTTATGATTACTCATCGAAATCGGGGGAAAACGCCAAAGATATAATGCATCACAATTTGGAAAATATACACAGCCTTCTAGAAACGACCAAAGTACGTTATACGGACCGGCCATCTTGTATAAGTTATGATTGAATTATTGTTTGTTTGTTTTAAATTGCAGAAACTGGATATCGTCGTTTTCCCAGAATACGGACTGACTTCCATCAATATCACCAAAGAGAATGTAGCGGAATTCGCCATAGAAGTGCCATTCGCGGAAGCCCAACCCTACGGGGATAACTTTGATAGCGACGTAAGAACATATTATTGGTTTTAGTAGATGAACAGGTTGTCTGATCGTTGATTTGTAGTATCTGAATAGGCTGTCAGTGATAGCGAAAGAGAAAATCATCAATTTGGTGGTGAACGTGTTGGAAAAGGACACGAAGAGCGGAAAGTACTACAACACGAATCTATTCTTCAGCAACGAAGGTCAGCTGATTTACAGGTGAGATAGATAGGTGGTGTTGTGCAACAACTCAAGTTAATCACTGTACTTGTGACTCAGGTATCGCAAGATCAATTTGAGTGAATGGGAGAAGAGATTTTTAACGGCCGGCACCGAATTGGGAATTTTCAAGTTCCCGAAAATCGACATCAAATTCGCAACTCTTATAGGGGAAGACATTTTGCACTATAACCCGGCGATCGACTCGATTGCAGAACGCGACGTGACCAACGTCATCCACACATCAGCAATGCAATCGGTCCTTCCCTTCATGGGCTGTAAGCACTTTCAAGCAACATTAATTCAATTTTCTAAACTGAAAATGAATTTCCAGCTCTACCCCTCTTCAGCGGCTTTGCAAAGAAGTACGGATTGAACTTGTTGACCTCCAGCTACAACAACCCAAGAACCGGACGCGGAGGAAGCGGCATGTTCTACCCTGAGGGGAATCATTTCAAGCACATATCAACCGGGCCGAGCACGACCCCGCTGCTGCGTACCGTTCGCAATTTGAATGTGAAAGTTCCTGAAAAAGTCTGCGACTCTAAGGTGAATCCGAGGTCATTGGAAACTGTCAACGGTACGGTGAGCAGAGGATTGGTTGGTGGAAAGCCGTCGTTGGACAAGTACGAGTATATCGCCGATATCGAGAAAAACCAGAATTTGTATAAACTCACGAAGATCGTGGAGGGCGTCAACAACGTGACCGTTTGCACGAACGACATCTGCTGCAAGATCGATGTTGACCTGCAGAAGACCTCTCCCACGGATGCTGTATACGTGTATGTTGATCATAGAGAACGCCTCAAATTTTATAAATACTCATCATCTCAATACTCATTTTAGGGCTGCTGCTTATTACAACAAGAACACTGACTTGTACGGATGCGGATTCCTATCTTGTGCCGACAACAATTTGAGTAACTGCGGCCAGAGGATCGACGATGCCGAAAAGTTAACATTCAAGGACGTTACCATCTCCGCCAAAAATAAGTACACCAAGATCAACGCGTACAATATCCCTGTGGCTATGCTCTCCAATTACTTGGACTTCGACCATTACACCTATTGCGTCGATGAGACCAACGGAATTGTCATGAAGTCTGATGTCGCGAAAGATGTTATCGTCTACGGATTCATCGGACACATCACAAGCGGTGCTTCCATTCTTACCTCCAACATCTTCCTCCTCACACTTATCTTTGCTTATTTATATAAATTATTTTAATGAGTTGAGGTTGTAGACACTTATTTATAGTAATAAACAAAAATTTTATTATCAACCCATAAGAAAATATTTCTACAGAAAATTAAGTACATAAACTAAACTTGTATACAATTGTTAATAAAACGAGAGAAAAAAGAGAAGATATTACTATTATTAATTTAATGTTACTGTTTTTTTAAATTTATAATGTGCTTAATAACATTAGTAGTTTTTGCTAAATTAATTAAAAATTAAGAAAAAACTTATCTAATTTTATTTTTATTATCGTTAGATTTTCCTATCAAGTTTTATGTAAAAAAACCTCCACAGAATTTCTAAATGTAAACTTTGTGAGGAAGTTCTTTTCTTCATTGATATTAGCAAATTTGTTATTAAATTACACTTAATTATTTATCAATTTAATCCTACAATCATAAAATTCTGTATGCAATTAATATTTGTACTAAATAAATGTACTAAATTATATATTTTTTTTTAAAGTCGCACCAATATTCCACGTAAATCGCAGTAACGATGTTTTCTTTTGCGTCAATTGTTTCGTTTATGCAGTCACTGGATTGTGAATCATAACTAAAACACATATTAGATTTATCATTGAAAACAGGAAACATGTTGCAACATAGAATGAACAATCCTCAATACTTTGGCAAACCTCTTTTTTCATTTCATATCGCACTCATTTTTAATAGATATGTGGTGATGATAAGATTAGAACATAATTTTGTTATGGTATATGGAAAATACTGTTATGTGAGCACTGGCGAACGTGCGAAATAAAATGATTAAAATATTCATGGTGATTGCTGCGGTGCTGCGATTTTCAGCGATTGCGGTAAGTAAATTGAAAAGATCATCTCACACATATTAGTACATTTATCATCCAAAGATTAGTTTCTATTTTACGGAAATACACAGCGCCGCAGTATTCTGAGTTTTCTTGAGGAAAGAGGGCGCAAACATTTGGCACCTTTCAATTGTTGAGACATGGTCGCAAATTAGATATTTTGCTACAGGTTTAAACTTCCCTTATTGCAGCCTTGGAATTACGGTTTTGATTTGTGATTCATTATTATTATCGATAAAGCTTATTGCATAAATATTCAATGTAATATTTCGCGATTAATAGGGAGAACAGTTTCAGTCAAATTTTGTATCGATTGAATTCCTAAATTTAAAATATACTATTGGTGAGTCTAAACAAGAAAATAAATAAGACTTTGATATCCTTAGAGATTTTTCATCGACTGCTGAAATAATTTCGTCTCGAAAAGATTGAAACAGAAAATGGAAAAATATAAAACTTATTTTAAACTTTATTAAATCGATAAATTGATGATTAACTTTGATAATTAATGCTTACTACTGAAGACTAATTGGAATTTATTAGTTTACCACTAACACAGTTTAGATCTTTATAGTTTGCAGGCTCAGACAATTTACGAACACTTCTTGGTTCTATCGGTGTGTATATCAATGTTGTTGATGTAAATGGACATTAACAACATTGTCTTAGTATTAGTCATCATCAAAAAACAATACTAAACGTGCAGAAGTCATTAGACAAACTTGTGTTTTGCATCATCATTAAATTAACACCTCGAATCATTTTGGTGATTTACGGTGATTCTTGCACTAGGAAAACCATGATTAACAAGTGGCAAAGTTTCAAGCAACAAAAAGTGTTGAATGATTTACGTATGGTGGAATGGTAGAAATGTCCACCTTCACCAGTGATTGAAATAATTGTACTAAATGAAAATGTTTACACCATTTCTAAGACAAATTTTCATCTCTGCTTGGTGTAAATCATTTCGCATATGAAGTTAGATTATCGAATTTTTGCTTTTATAACATCTCATTAAGATTTCAATTAACCGATATGTAAATATAATTACTGATAATAAAAATTTCAATTTCTGCATATTAACTATTGCGAAACAAACGATTTATTCTAATACAAATTTGTGGTAAGATGTATTAAAATTAAGTAAAGAAAACTTTTACTTAATTCCTGCAATAGAAACAATTTTTATTAATTTAAAGAACGTTGAAACAATCACATATATTAATTAGAATATTTTATGTTTATAGATGCGATACGATGCGATCCTCGTGGAATACAGTCCAGTCATTAGAGATGATGCACGTATAACGATGCACACAAATATTCAAAATTACTTTAGCATAGCAAAAAATTACGCGGTGAGTGATCGACTTAACGAGCATTGAATTAAGTGTTTTGCATAGATTTTGTGATTTGTTTTTGCAGAATTACGATCTGATCGTTTTCCCCGAGTACGGAATCACGTCGGTGCGAGTCAACAAAGGCAATCACGAAGCGTACGCCGTGGAAATAACGCAGAATTTCTCTCGGATGGGCGACGATGAGGATAATGTAATGTATTTATATTCTGTCTTTTAAATGTATGAAGTAATTACCATGGTTTTGCAGTACATTAGAAGATTATCGGAAATCGCATCCTCCAGAGGTTTCTATCTTGTTGCGAATTTGCTGGAGAAGGATAATGGAAAGTATTATAATACCAACGTGGTTTTCGATAGGAGAGGCGCACTCATTTATAAGTGAGTACACTTTAATGTTTATATACTGTTATACCTCGTTTAATGATCTACGAAATTACTTCGTTAAGCAAATCTTTGTTTTCGAAGGTAAAAAGTACTATGAAAGAATGAGCTAATTAGTAAAGAAAGTTAACAATAACACTTCTTTCTAAATTAGAATTATTTTCACTAACAAAAAATTAAGATTATTTCAATATCCAATTCTTTGGTTGTTAAGATTTTCTAAATCTTCCACTGAAAAACAACGTTTTCGTCTTTTAGTACAACTTCTGGCCATATTATGTTTACTATGAGCCAAAGTATGACTGTATGATTGTGTGGTCATAAATTGCTTTACAATCCATCATCTTCTAAAAATTTCCTGATTATTTCTTCTTCCTTCAAGTACAACTTTTGGTTACAATTTGATCAATCTGTACTCTCTAGTATTACTTCACTTTTGGACAAAAATTGTTAACAGACTAATCAGTAAATAACTCCTAGATAATACTCTATTCTTCTATATTTTGACTGTGTCTTAATATGCACGAATTTGGTAATGTTCCGAGCAGATGAAATTTAACTGTAATTTCTTTCAGGTACCGAAAAATCAACCTGAATGAGGAAGAACGGACCTTCCTGACGGCCGGCGAAACCCTCGGCCAATTTCACATTTCCGACTTCAACACAAAGTTCGCTATGTTCATCGGTGAAGACATCCTCGCCGGGTTTCCAGTCCTCGAGGCCATCAATCTAGGCATAACGGACATCATCCACACGAACGCGATGAAGTCTTCGATGCCATTTTTAGCACGTTAGTGAACGCCGAAATTAAAATGTAATTTTTGCTATATTTAAATATTTCATATTTTTAGCGCTTGCTATACAAGAGGGTTTCGCTCACATCAACAAACTGAATGTACTTGTGTCCTCTTACAAAGAAGTGACAACCTCCCGTGGGGGTTACGGATTTCTATTGAAGGCAGACAATAATATTGCGAGTAGAACAAGTCTCAATTCCTTAGAAGTAACCTCGCAACTGATGACTCCGTCAAGCAACGTCGATGAGTCAAGTTTTGAAGCAAGAAGTAAACTTTCTGCTTTTAGAAGTTCGTTCGATTTGGAGAAGCACAGCGAATTTTACAGTTTCAAAATGACCGTTTCTGGCCGTGTCTGCTCAAAGGACAACAAAATCTGCTGCACTTTCACCGTTCACGATAAAAACGTTGACGACTATGCGTATGTATATTTATTTTCTTAATTCATTGATCATCAGTCTATATTGTAGTATTCACACATGATAAGACTTCTGGATTAGGCAAGATTTTACTTTTGCCTTCAGCAATTTATCAATCAACAAAATGATTTTGCTTTACTTTTCTTACAGAATTGTCACATATTCCGACGGAAACAACTATGGATGTGCGCTGGTCGCATGCGATAAAGGTGGACAAAATTGTGGCAGATCCACGACAGAGAACTGTGCGGATTTCAGTTCAATTGAGATAACGTCGGAAATAGCCAACAGTTCTTACATTGTGCCCATTGCGTTCGACGGTAATCTGAAGAGCTTCCATAATTATGAATTTAAAAGAGAAAGCGATGGTTTAACTATATTAAATGGAAAAAAGGTGAAAAACCTTTCAACGTTCGGGATTTTCGGAAACGGCGCAAACGGAATATCCTCAAATAGAATCCAACTATCGCTTTCATTTTTACTAATAAAAATTGTACTTTGTACGTGGATTTAGTTGGAAAACGAACAAATGATCGTAATTTAATATTTATTATGAAAAACATTCACAGATTTCAAATATAAACTATTTTGAACATTGATTATTTTCAAAATTAATTATATAGAATTCAATGTTGACATTTCTTCAGCACCAAATATTTTTGACAAACTTAAGTGGTAAAACTCATTATTTTAATTAACTAAATTTCAAATTACTTACAATGTGATAACAACTTGGTTTGAATCAAATTACCCTAATTTTACATAGAATATGTACTTAAAACTAATGTTAAATACTACGAATATACTTTTATCTGTTTAATTAATTTCATCTTTCTTACTTTCTTACAAATAAATGATTATAGTTGATGAGAAAAATCAATTAAACTGCTTTCTCGAACATTAATATTTGATTACTTCATTTTTAAATACGAATTACAGCCAAATTAAAGAGACTACAGCAATCGGTGATACATGTTACATTTCCCAAACATCCAACTTTCACATGCATCTATTAAATCCATTCTATCTCTTATAGTTTCTGAGAAAATCACTAAGATGTAAAGCACTGCTTTTTGGAACGTCAATTTTTCATTAATTCGTTCGTGATTCCCCAAATATCCAACATTCATATGCATCTTTATTATCTATTACAGTTACATGCATATTATTAGATTAAAATTTCATATAAATCCCATATAAATCGTATGGAAATCTAATAAAAAAAATCCTTAGAAATGTCTTATGTCTGCCTTGTGTATTGTTAATAAACTTTTATTTATATAATATGCAATTCAGAGAAAGCTTGTCGCTCATTTAGCCAGAAATACAATATATACAATATTTACACTTAGTTATTATGGGTTATACTTATATGCTAATTGCTGATGAACAGTGGTGATAAGTAGCATAAATGCAATGAGGAACACTTTGCAGGGTTTGGTTGGGGGAGGTTTGGATCTGGGTCATTTCTGGGGTTAAGGAACATGCGTTTGATGGTGTTTAGGACTTCTGTTATTTCTGGGTCGTCGTCAGGTGAGTTATAGGCGAGGATTGCCGGGAGGAAAGGGATTTTGTTTTTGGGTCTCCACCCGCAAGGAGATTGGAGAACAGACGTTGAGGGTGCGAGTGTGGTAGTTCCGGGAAAAGGTTTTGGCGGCCTTGGAGTTTATTAATAAATTCTGCTATTTTGGGAAGTGAGGCGAGGTCGGGATGTTGAGCGCTGTGGTGTAAGTAATGGAGTTTTAGTACTTTTCGTATTACGTTTCTCTAAAAGCTATAGATTCGCTGATGGCTAGGTGGAGGAATAGGTGAGGACGGGTCGGATGAAGGTTTTGTAGGTGTGGAACAGGGTTTTGGGGAAGCAGCTGTCTAGGGATGTGCGGAGACGGATGATTTGGATGATTGTAGGGAGTGGGTTGAGCGTGTGAGAGTGTTGGATGCCCAGGTATGTTATGCAGCGGTGGCAATCGCAAGCCCGACAACCGAAATACCGTCAATCAAATTCCCGACAACCGAAATGTCGACTGTATTGAAATCCCGACAACCATAATTCCGACTGTATCAAAATCTCAACTATATCGAAAATGTCTACAATAACATTTCTAAATTATTCCAAAGCGTAGTGACTTTTAAATTGTTATTAATAATAAATAATAACAATTAATAATCTAATTGTATTTGAGATTATTTCATAATGTTAAGGTTTATTATGAATAATTCAACAAAATCAAATAACTTAATAATAATTTATTGTTATTAATAATAAAAGTGTAGTACAAGGTGGCTACGCTCCGAAATAATTTTAAAATGTTATTGTAAAAATTTTCGATATAGTCGAGATTTTGATACAGTCGGGTTTTGATATAGTTGGGATTAGGTTTGTCGGGATTATGGTTGTCGAGATTCTGATACAGTCGGGATTTCAAGAGACGGTCTTTCGCTTGTAGGGCTTGCGATATAGACCCTTTATGCAACGTGTTTCAGCCACATTCACATTCCAGAGCCTGATGGAGAGGGGTGTGTGGCCTTATGTATAAGCCATAGAGCTTTTGGGCTTTTAGCTTTCTAACGCGCCCTCGAGGGAGATTTCTCATCTACTTAAGATATATTAAAAGCTTTTATTTTTGTTTTCAGGTGTTTTTAAAAAAATCACAAATTGTTATAAGATGCAAATAACGGTTTGTACGCACTGCATACCACTACTATTTATTACGATAATCGTTAGAACTATTTTCAGCATTTTCTAACAGCTAATAAATCTACTTGATGTTGCTTGGAAATGCCGCAATCATGAAAAATAAAATTAGTTTGTATTATCACATCCGTTGCGATGTTTACTAAGATTATGTCATTTCCATTTTTCAACATGTTTTAGTCATTTGTTTGGAGAAAACGAATGCAAACATGATTTAGTACGTTCAATTCTATCGTGACAATCTGATCAGAACAATAAAATTTTATATAATTCGTATGTATATATAAATTTTATCGCATCTACATAAAATATAATCTTATCAGCAAACATACTATCTTGAATTTGGTTGTAAAACATTTAGTTTCACAGAAACACACGGGTCGTTATGAGGACTACCGTTATAATTTTAAGTTTCTTCTGCGTTTTGGTCGCTTCTAGAAGGGTAAATATCTTTGATCAAATGTGGTAATAATATATTAATTGCAATATTCGGTATCAGACCTACAAAGCAGCTGTTGTCAACTATGTCCCGCACCATAAGTACGTCAACAATGACTCCGAAATAATAAAGGAGAATACTTCTAAATTCAGTTACTACATCGAGGAATGCATTGTGAGTAGGGCGGATTGAGACGTTTATGAACGATTAATATAGGTTTTTTTTGTTTCTTGCAGAAATGCGACATCGTCATCTTTCCTGAGTACAGTCTTTTTTCCAAAGATTTCAATCGTGCGTTTGTTAGAGAGTTGGCCATCAAGGTACCAACGCCTCCAGCAGTAGGGATCTGTTCGCAGGGTAGCAACAATGTGATTATGTCTGGGACTAAGGAATACATGATTTATTAACAAAAACTCGTTTCAGTTCATCACCCGGATGTCTTGCATATCGAAGCAATTTGAAAAGTATGTCGTCGTTAATATTCTGGAAATTGATGATGGCAATTTGTACAACACGAATATCGTCTTCGACAGAGAGGGAACGCTGATAAGCAAGTAATAATAACTGTGCAATTTTGCAAATAGCAAACACTAAGATTGTTATTTGTTTGAACGAACTAGGTATAGGAAGAGGCATTTGTCGGTGGGCGAGCAGCAATTCCTGACGCCCGGTCAGGATTCTGTCATCTTCTACACGGACTTTGAAGGTGCATTCAGTCTGCTCATCGGCGAAGACGTGTTGTACGCGGGATCGGACGGGCTTGCGCCCAACGTAATATTGACCACTTCCTTGAAATCAAAATTACCATTCTTCGGAGGTGAGTGTTATTTGCAATGGAGGATTTGGCACAATACAATTTTGAGGGTCATATGTATTATTAAATTCTAATTCAAATATTTTTTATGAGCCTTAAGCACCAGTAAAAAAAAAATGATGGCGGTCGATCCGCATTAAGTGCGCGCCTCCTTTGAATGTACCGAAATCCGCAAAAAATATCCAACTTTGATATGAGATGGATTCCCCAAATATCCAACTTTCATATATATCTTTTGGAGCCATTCTATCAATTAAAATTTCTGACAAATTTTTCATTACTACCTTCTGACTTTTGTTTGTACAAAGAAAATATCGTCACAAACAGTGTTTTTAATCAACAGTTTATGTGATGATGATCGTCTTGTTTCATCTACCTTATATTTCGGAATCTTTAGTTTCTGGGAACTCTAGAATCGAATAAAAAAAGTTTATAAAACAATTTTTACTAACAAAGTATATCGTTAAAGTTAATTCTGTAATAATTATGTTTTTTTTTGTTTAGCTCTTTCCATCTATGACGGTTTTTCCAAACATTACGGCGTCAATTTGCTCGTAGCCGATTATAACGCACAGCCAGAGCAGAACGGAGCCAGCGGCTTCTACCTGGCTTCAAACTCAACGAAATCAGAAATCACAACATCGCAAGAAACATCGAAGCCTATAGAGTCCATAATAGAAACACATCCAAAGTTTTTAGATATATGCCACAGAGAAGTATAGAAATTCAATCAAATAATCGAAACGTTCTCAAACTCCACGAATTCTCCTGCAGGAGCAATCGCCGAAGGGAATCTTTGCGTACAAACCCAACACCATAGAGAAAGATAGCAGCGTTAAGGAGGATTTCAAAAATTACAGATTTCAACCGCTGAAGAACGGAGCTAACGAACTGAAGCTGGTTTCTTCAGATGGAAAACTGCTGTGCGAATTCAAAGTTAACATCATCCTAGTACCTGACATGATATACGTGTAAGTAAAATAAAGTGGATCATTGAATGAGAGAAAACCATTTGATTACTTGTGCAGAGCGGCTGTGTATTCCGATAAGGAGTCTCAGGGATATGGATGCGCTGTCCTAGTCTGCGAAGGTTCCGATCTGAATACGTGCGGTGGAAGACACCTTCAGTCCAAGTCTGTTCAAATTACTTCCATCGAAATTAAGGCTGATAATAAAAATGTGGATTTTAAAAATCCCAATATTCCCATCACCTTAACGTACGATTTGAAACCCATCGGCATGTACACCTATTGCGCCGACGATGATGGCATTACGATGAAGTCCAGTCAACATTTATCAGATATCATCACATTCGGTTTCTTCGGCAGAAACCCCATAGGCTTCAATGATCCGAGCAAACCGAACTCCGCCCATCTGAACGGTGTTTCACTTGCTCTCTCCTTATTAGCAGCTACACTTTATTTACTTCATTAATTATTATATAACATAATTATTGTAAGTTCATTTCAATTCATCTTTGTATACTAAAATAAAATCGACTAAAATAGCTGCTCTACCATTTAATTGTACTGTATTTTATAAATATTTGTGGATGTTCATTAGCAGTGATTCTCAAAGTGGATCCTTTAAGTGCAAAAGGAGGTCGTGGACCAAAAAGTTTGAGAAACACTGGGTTAGTCTATTCATCTGTAGGCTATTATAACGTCTAATACACTAGGAGAAAATATTTACATCTTTTTACGTTCCCACGAATATTTGTTAATATTTTTTTTCAAAAATCGCAGTAAATAATATTTGGTATTGTGTAATAATTTTTAAAGGCATGTTTCAGAAAAAATAAATAGATAATCACTAAATCTAACTTCAACTGAAGTCAAATGCACAATATGAATGTACTGCCGACACAACCGCCTACTAATAAATTAACATCTTTGTACGTTCGCTCCGATATTTGTACGTTGATTTAAAATGTTGTACGTAATTTAAAATGATGTACGTTAAGTGAACTTACTGTTAGGAGTACTAATATTTTTCAAACTTAGCACTATGCAATCTAAATTTAATTGTAATTTTTATTCTTAAAGATGTTTTAGAAATAAAAAAAAAAGTAGTACGTACATTTCGGTCTTTAAAAATTGACTGTTTTAAAAACAAAATATACACATATTTATGTTTTTTTTGGTATTGTTTATGGTATTAATCAGTTATAATTATCTTTTGATCAAGAGCAAGACGTTATCATTTGTTTTTCTGATAATAATATGACTAATATCAAAAAAATCAAAACGTGTAGTTGTTTTTTTTTTTTCAAAAATAAAAATAATATTTCAATAACATTGTATGATACAAAAATCATTTGCATAACATTTAGGTAAAAAGCACATAAAATGGTTATAATTAAAAGATTGTCTATCTCCAATTCTTGTAAGATGTCACATTTTTTTTTAAATTTATATAATAAATAGTGTGTTTTTTTTAATCGTCCTATCTATGTCTGTCTATAATAAAAACATTCAGTAAATGATTAGACATCGCCCATTGGCAATTATCCTTTACTTATTGATTATTTGTTAAATCTCAATGGTAGATTCAGTGGTTTGTGTCGCTTCAGTCGTTGTGTCATTAGGCTATTGTCCAGAATATTGACAACTAGTACGTTTAGATGTCTGGCTTGTCTATTTCGGCATCGGCTACTGTTTTTCATAATTCTTTCCTCTACTGTTTCCATTTGAAGGTCCTCGTGAATTCCCCTGTTCATAATATACCATGGAGCACCAATTATCCTTCTTAGGCTCTTCGACTGGAATCTTTATATGGTGGCAATATTAGATCTGCTCCTGACTCCCCATAGCTGTATGTCCAGACAGGTTTTAAAATTACTTTATAGATCAGCAATTTGTTTTCTTTCGAAATTGGCGAGTCTTCTCGTAATAGCCAGTAGAGTTTCCTGAACTTAATTTCGAGTTATTTTCTTTTGGCATCCTTCCAGGTCAATCTTCTATCCAGATGCATAACCAGATATTTAACTTTATTAGCCGCCAGTATTATTTTTCCTTTAAGAGTCACTAGTAGGCAAGAGTCCTTTCTTATTTTCTCATGGTAAACTGATATGTACTGATTTCGATTCATTGACCTTCATTCTCCATTTAGGTTTACTTGCAGGTGATGTGATGCAACTACTGGGTCTGCATCAGATGATAATAATGCAATATCATCGGCAAACGTTACAGCCGTTGTTTTGTTCGTTAAGGCCATATCTGCGGTATATAGTATATAGAGGATAGGTCCTAGCACTCTACCTTGCAGTACAACTGACTTGATTGGATACAAATTTATCACTGAATCGAACACTTTCACTTGAAATAATCTTCCAGTCAAATATGAATGTATTATTTTATAAAAGTTATATGGTAGAATCTTCTTTAATTTATAGTGCAGTCCCGTGTACCACACTTTGTCAAATGCCTACAATACATCTAAGAATGCCCCTGAGCAATAGCGCTTCTCTTCCAGATCCTTGCTTATTTTATCTACCATTCTATTAACTTGGTACCGTGTTGACAACGAAATCGAAATTGGTGATTTGGTATTAGCTCATTGTTTTTCATGACTATTTTGAGCCTATTCATTAGTAATTTTTAAAAAACTTTTGATATTATTGGAAGTAGACTTATAGCTCTATAAGATTGTATGTTTTCGGGAGACTTTCCTGGTTTGGGTATTAGGATTTTTTGAGCATATTCAATTGAGAGGGAAAGTGTCCAGTTCTTAGGATTGCATTGAATATAATTGTCAGGGAAATTATCCTCTTCCTTGGTATTTTTTTTTTCTCTGATTAGATCATATCCAGAAGTCTTTTTTGGTTTTAATGAGTGTAACAGCTTCCTTTGATGTTATTAAATAATGTATTTAAACTAAAATAGATCTTTCGAGAAAGATCGCAATTTTGTAATCAGTAAAAATTATCGCATCAGATAACTCCCAATCGTTCTCTATACTTTATCTATAAATGGAAATGAAAGAATCAGTGTTCAATGTAATACAGCAACAAACATACATCAACTATGAACATATTCTTGCTCCTGTTATTTCTCAACTACGAGATACTTGAATCGAACGTTAGTTTAGTTAAAGTACTTAATTTCGTTATATTAAATCACATTTCTTTCAGGCATACAAAGCGTCGATTATCAATTGGGAACCAGTACCAGCGTATACTGTGGATGCTGCTATGATGAAAAGCAGTGAGAAGATATTGAAGACATTTAACTTAAACGAGGAAGTACGAAATATTAATTAAACTTATTTCTCGTGCATCATTTCTGTTTATTTGCAGAAGAGCGACATTTACATTTTTCCAGAATACACCTACACTAACAAAAATTACTTCGACTTGATTTATAGGCCATGGAATTTCGGGTTTGATGTGCCGGAGGAGTCGGAAAAATCGCTATGTGATGACTCATTTGAGGGAAATAAGTATTTGAAGGAACTTTCGTGCGCGGCTAAGAAGGAAGAGATTTACGTGGTCGTCCACGTGATAGAGAATGGTCCGGATACGTTGTATAACACAATTCTTGTTTTCAATCGAGAAGGGTCGCTGCAAAAAAAGTAAACATACTGAATAATACAATGAGTTAGAAGGCATGAAAAGGGTTGCGTCGTTTTGTTAGTTTTCTGCAAGAAATATTTCCTTTATTTTATAACAATCAATCAGCATGCCTTCTAAGTTGCTGCATTGCGTTATTCGCGCTCTAAAGTCTGTTGCATAAATGATGAATGAGACTGTTTCAGACATCGAAAAATTAACCTGAGCAACTACGAAAAAAGGTACTTCACTCCGGGCAATACATTCACCACTTTTACCACAGATTTCAACGTGGAGTTCTCCTTGTTAACATCCGAGGACATCTTTCTATACAACGAAGAAAACCATCCGTCAAAAACCGACGTTATATTGTGCTCGTCGATGTACGCATGGATGCCATTCTTAAACCGTAAGGCACGACCGAATCGAATTCAATCGAATTAACCAATTATTGTTTTCAGTCGTTTCCCTTTTCGACGGGTTTTCGAAGAAATATCAACGAAATCTATTGGCGGCTACAACGAATTCGAAAACGTACGACTATCCCGGAGCCAGTGGATTTTACGGAATGAACAACGACAAAGTTCAGTATTACACTGAACAGTATTATATTATCCATAACAAAATCGAAACACACATCCCCAAAGATCAATGCGAAAATGCAGTAAAAAATAAATCATATTAATTGAAATTCGCAGTAACATGAATAATATTTTTCAGGAAAAACCGCTGACCGGAATCCTTGCTATAAAACCTACAGTTGACGTAAGAACGGAATTTGATAGTTCCGAATATTGGAATTATCAATTACATCAACTTAAAAACGGCAAAAATAATTTCCAATTGACTACAGATGACAAGAAAATCGTTTGCGAGTTTAAAGTAACACTGAATGAAAAGCAAGAAAATTACAATGCGTTAGTTATAAAATAGTTATTCTTTACGTATTACTAATACAAATGTTTCTATTTTCAGCGCTCTGGCTTATTCGAGTGGTAAATATTACGGCTGTGCGATCGTGGCTTGCAAAACGGGCGAAATGAAAAGTTGCGGAGGAATAGTGAAAAGCAATGCAAATGAGATGAGCGATGTCGAGATTCACACTAAATTCGCGGACATAGACATCGAGCGCTTCAACTATCCCGTATCACTGAACACAGAATTGGAACCGATCGGAGAGTATACGTATTGCACGAACAAAAATGGGATAACTTTAAAGTCGAAAGGACCTCTGACCGAAATGCTGACTTTGGGCTACTACGGCAATGGTCCGCAGGGGAAAAATTCCGGTTCTTATGTTAAAGCCTCGCTGCTTACCGCCACGTTCATTGTTCTAAACCTATTTAAATTTTTATGTTATGAATCATAATCTTATAAAATTATTATATCTATATGATGTTTATCTATTTATATAACTATCATTGTATTACACTTCAAAACAACAATATGTACATTGATCGTAAAGAAATAATATATCCGAGAAATAAATTTTTTGCAGAAACAGTCAACAAAAATCAACGTTATCTTAAAACAAAAGAAAATATTCTTATTATTATAAATATGCGATAAGTGATCATTCTACAGAAGGAAATTGTTGATTTGCAACGGAGGCAACGACTGGTAATTCTTTAAATTCGACGTTTCTTAGGACAATATTTGATGTGTTAAATAAAAGATTCTTGGAAAGAAACTTCTGTTGAAACAGGAGCGAACTTTAGGCACCCCAAGCTTACATTATTTGAGGGCACTTCGTTTGAATGCGCCCCTGAGTCTAAAACAACATTTTTACAATAAATAAACAATTACACCATATCTGGCTTTGAACCATTTATTTTTATCATATGATTACGAACGACCGAAATTATAGACGAACAAATTAAGTTAGTTTTAAAAAATGTCTAAGGCTGGTAAAATAATTAAAAAAAAAAAACTTAAAATCGTTCAATTTTCGATTTTCCATTTTAAGCGACATCTATCGTTACAAAAAAGATACAATTTGGAATAAAATAAAATACTTTGTTAGGAACGCAGAAAATGTGCATATTCATGATACAAAACGATATATACACTTAATATAATGATTATATCTTTTATTATTTTGAGCTCTGTTATGCAATTCTTCATGTTGGTTTCTTAATTAAAAAATTCAATAGAATTGTTTCCAATTTGCTCTGACAAAATTGAATCTGGGTAATTTATGCCTTAAAATGTAAATTGTATTAAAATAAATTACTTACAGATGTTAATGAAGCTTACAGATTTATCACGGAGTGCATAGTAAAACATTCGTTGTAATTATCGAAACATAACCTTTAAGTAATTACAAAGAATATATTTGTATTGCGGTTGTTCGTTCAAATGTTTATTTTAGACAAGCCTCCGTTTATTTATTTTGCATTAATCATCGAGAATGCACGATGTTATTTGCGTTGCATTATCCGAATAGTGCAACATAATATAAATTGCTGTACAAGATTAGTTGAATACATTTTTACGGTTTTATTAAGAAATGTTCTAAATATGGATACGTCTATATAAAATACGTTTTGTAACATTATTACTAAATATGTATATATATTATTTTGTTATATACAGAAAGAAACACATTAGACATTAACCACATTGACATTTATATAATAAAAAAAAAAGAGAAACAAATGGAACATCGATAAAATCTATAAATTATATAAACAACGAATGTTAGCGAACAGAAAACCAAGTTATTTAAACAAATATCTCGCCTCGTGCGTGTATATTCTTCGGCCACTGAACACTTATATACATGTAAATTACAGTATATCGTAAGGGTAAAAATATGATGTGTTAACCTTGTACTATATAATAATATATAACAATCAGTCAAAATCTAAGTAGTGGAGGTGCGCGACACGGCAGGCAGATTCAACGAATCCGACATAAAATCCTGAGCTTTTCCATATCGCGCATTTAAACTGGGCTAACAAACTGCGTTCAGAATGGTGGAGCCCTCTCCGTTCCAATGTATACTCGACTGTTGATTGACTAATGCCCATACGTAGGGAACGAAAAACTCCTCCGGTTGCTCCTCCTCCACATACTTGAACTTCAAGTCAGGGAATTTCTGAAACAGCAAGATTTCAGCATACTCGCACACGTCTTTTAACAAAGTAATACCGTTAACCGGTCCTTCGGCCAGTGCTTCGCGCCTTGAACGATCACGTTCAGCACCAGATGTGCATCGACCTCGTGCTGCTGCGTCTTCGTCGATAGCAAATTCGAAAAATAATCGATTATGATTTCAATGTTGTGAATGATATCTTGGAAGGCACTGTTACTCTTGAACGACGTGAAAATGTCTTTCTTGTACAGCAAAGTGTACACCAAATTTGGGTTGTTCGTTAGTTGGCTGGTGAGTGCCGAATTGAATATTTCCAAGACCATGCGCAAGACCTCTTCAAGAACGGTAAGATACTGCTCGGTTTCGGCAGCGTCCTGCGTCAGACTCACGTGAACCTCTTCCGTTTCCGGGATTGCGGTTTCCAATTTGTACTTCTGGTATCTCCTTGCGAGTGTCTCGAACAGCGACACCAATCTTTGGCTCACGTAGGGATGCAGTTCCCTGAATTGCGCGGACATATTCGCCAGGGCGGCCAGGCAATTCGTGTGAAGATACTTATCCTTCATTTTCAGCATATTATATTGAATAGTTCTAATCACAACTAAAATTAATAATCCGCCCAATGACACTTCCGACAAGATCCTCTCAGTGTACCAAGTTACAGTTTTCAACTTCTACAAAAACGCCAATAAAGATAACTGTATACTATCACGAATCAACACTTACCGTCTCGTGGATACTTCGGTTGAACAAATCATCTTCGCTTAAGATAAGTAGAATTATCAGAGACATGTAGATATGATGCGAATTACTGTTTGGCGCATGATATAAAGTCTTTAATATTGGAATCACCTAGTTTATACAAACAAGTTACGTTATGCTACATCGATGATAATAATAGGAAACATACCAATTGATCCAAATCCATTCGCGCTAATAGATGAGTCTTAAATAATGGATTCCTGTGGAGCAACAGATATAGCAATAAGGTGGCCGCATCTCCAGTCGCCCTTTTACATAATACGCTGTACAACTGCTCGTAGTCAATTTTAAAAATACCGGGCGCTTCAGTCGGCACTAAATTGTCATCTGCAATTACAATCAATGAAATCAATGGAAATTGTTAACAAACAAAAATTTACCTCTACTGTTAGCGCAAGAAAATAAACACTGTCTAAAGGGGTTCGGTTGAATACTGCAGTTATTAGTTAATACTAATATAAGAAGCAAACTGTTCGTTGCCAACGGGCTGTCGCCTCCATCGGCCGTTTCCAATACGTGTTCGGTATTTTTCCTATTGAAACTCAGCATAGACCAAAGCTCTGAAGCGATACCTAAAACAATGCTAGTTCCTTGATTGGATCCAAAGCCTGGTGGGGCTTTCTTCTGGTCCATAAAGTTCTGTAGGAGATTTTTTATAAACAGTGGCGCATGTATTGCATGTCTTCCCTTCATGATCAGCCTGAATATACTCAACTGATCAGGCCGTCGATTTGTGTGCACCTGAACTGATAACAATGATAGCAATGTTGTGACAGCTTCCAAATGCACTGCATAGGTTATGTCTTTAAGTGGAACATCAACAATAATTCCAAAAAGAGATTCAATTAAAGCCTCCAACTTTGATTCTGGCCCACTTTCGATGTGCTCCATCAGTTGCTCCTCTGACAGTAACTCTGCGAGGTATTTGATTATGCATCTTATCACAAAGAGAGCATTGAATGCTTGCCAGCTATATAATGTACTAGAAAAGTAAACAGTTGGATCATTGATGAGATGACTCAAGTTTAGAACTTACTCATTTGTATCATTGGCAGATATTAATTCTGTCGCCCTAATTAGAAATACTTGCAACAAAGCACCCAAATTCGCTGAATGCAAATTGTGGTTCAATAATTGTTGGAGATATGGTTCAATTCTTGATTCTAAAGCCAACTGTTCATTGCTGCAATAGATATATTAATATTAGTAAGTGCAGGGTGTATAAGAGTAAGTTTATTACCTGTTTGATGGCAATGTTATATTGAATGAGAGGAAGGTGTTCCAGAAAGGATCATTCCTGGATATATGCTCCTTCCCAATAAATCTTAAAATGTATTCATTTGTGGACAAGTCTATTTGTTTACTAATTGCGATCCCCATTCTACGGAACGTATAAGAACGAACAATGAAGCGGAAACAAACAAATCTAGATACATACCTGAATGTGTGCGTATTTAAGTAACATTTAGAATTTAATGGTACAAATCTGCAAATATTTTCATAACCTTACACGTCATTGGATTTATGTTTCAAAAATATTGCGAACTGTCAAAAGTTCGGAATGAAGCTAGCCGAGAATCAAAGCTCGTCCATGACATCATCCATATTGCACCATCGACGTAAGCGGATCATGAATGAAACAACTTCCACAGCATATTTTTTTTTAGAAGCTTTTTATTATTTGATAATATCTTCACCGTTTGTAAACATAAATAATGTAATTAATCTTAGGTATCTTATAAAGTAAACTACTAAATAATGTTACCTATGATAGAAAAGCGATGTTACACGATCGTGAAAACATTCAAATATTCAAGATAAAGAAAACTTTATTTCGTACATTTTTAAATTTCATACAAAAAAAAAAGTTTTAAAAAAATCTATGAAAAGTAATGTAGTAGTAGTAGCAGTAGTAGTTGTAGTAATCATAGTAGTAACTTTACCACGTTCACTAGCCGGTGAATAAAATTTCATGTTTTTAAAAATATATTTTTCAAAAACTAAAATTACAACAGAATATACAAATTTAACAAGTAAAAAAATGTTTGTTTTTTTTTATTATTATTTACAATTAATTATTAATTCCTTCACATGTTCCAATATATTTTGTTAATTTTTCTTTTTGTTTGTTTATTGTGTGTATAATAGTATTTGTTGTTTGGCAGTAAACGTGTAAGTCCATAAACTAAAACAATTGATTTGTATTTTTTTTTTTAAAAAAAAGAACAAAAATAATAATAATAACATATGATGATGCACAGACTATTTTTTTTTCTCGTCGAATTGATGCAGAAAAAAAAATAAAAACAAAATACATAATCGTTAATTACATATGTTCTAGCCAGCACGAAATCGTTCCACGTCATTTACAATCTGCAAAAATAAACTACCCGCTGTTTTATTAGATTACAAACATCTTTGCGTGGAACAAAATAATTTGAACTAGTGCAAAAAAATTAAAAATTAGAAGAAAACAAAAGAAAAAGAAAAGAAAAAATAAACCTGAGATTTATGTAATACAAAAAGGTTCAAATTACTTTGTTCGCTTTGTGTATATAAAAAAAATATATATATAATAAAAAATAATAAACTAATACATTATATAAATATTTAATATTACAATAATAAAAGTTAGTAGACACTACTTTCTTCCATTTCCTCTTTGATATTACGTAAATAATAAATATTTTCTACATAAAAAAAGAAAGATAAATTTAATGCATCTAACACTCTTTTTTTAGTAACCTTTTGCGTTTTGAATCATTTTTTTTTTCTTAAACGTTTTTTTTTCTCCATATATATATTTATATAAGTTTGTAATTTTATATATATATATTATTATTTTTTTTTGTTTTGTTTTAAATATATCAATAATGTCGGTTACATTTTGGAATTTCATATCTAAACTACCTAACTAGAAGTGAGCTTAGTCACAAAAATAGATTATATTATTTATAAATATAGTAAATATATGAAACATATTTACAAACTCTGTTAAGGTGAATACAGTAGTATATTCCACTTTCACGTTACACAACAAAAAAAAAAACAAATTAGCTATCTACCCAAGTTCCAAAAGTAAATATCTCTCAGTCGATGAAAACCAAAATTAATAGAGCTTTTCTTTTCGTTTTTGATTTCCTGGCGAGAAAATTAAGGTTAGTTTCGAAAACGAAGTTCAATAAAAAATAATAATTATATCAAAAAAAAAAACAAATTATAATAAGCGCACGACAGAAAGCCTCGTTAATAATTAAAGAAAAAAAATAATAATAATAAAATTAAACAAAAATAAATAAATAATTAAAGCCCACATGGAATTCTAAAGCATAAAGAATAAATCAAACGAAAATTAGCTTTGTTCATCTTCTTCATAACTTTATATAGTTGGCGTAAATTTATATATTGCTCCGAGTTTTCATATCATAAAAAAATAGAATCTCTCTGTTATTTTCTCTCTCTCTCTCTCTTTCTCCCTTTCTTTCTAAAACTGATTGGCAACACTCGAAATAAAATAAAAAAGTGTATGCCTAATTTGTACAAAATACCTAATATGCAATTTGTAACACATTATCTATATATGTATATATATATATATAATTTTTTTCCTTTAATTATACAAACATTTTGTTTCTTATTAAAATAATAATTAAATAAAAAAATGTTTCTAATCATTCATACAAATTGAATAAATCCTATAATAATATTAGCGACATGCATCTGCGATCATCGGGTTGTAAGAAGTCTTCTCTGAATTAAAAAAGTTAAGAAAAGCGAAACATTCTTTCTTTTTCTTTTTTGATTAGATTTTGGGGGGCGGGGTTGAAAACTTGTGAGGGCGGAGCTTTGTTGAGTCGCCAACGCGCAGATAGATTTGAACGTGTGGGGGGGAGGAGGAGGTGTTACAATCGTCCAATCACAACCTACGTCGAGGACCCTTTGTTGGTGTATTTAGATTCAGCCAACCTATGAATGGACGAGTCTCCATCACCCATTTGCGCCACCTGCAAAGCACCAAACACCGTAATCATGATAAGAGCAAAAAAACAACGCCACTAAAAACAGGGAAAAAAAAACAACAAAAAGTTTTCTACTTTCATGCTACATAGGTTTGTTAGTTCAATTCAAGTGAAGCATGCCAGATCTCGATACTCAAGTACAGTAAAATATATATATATATATAAAAAAAAATAGGTGAAATAAAATAAAAGCAATCAAAACTTAATTAAAAATAATTAATAATTTATTTCAGACAAAAAAAAAAGAACGAAAAATCCGGATGTTTGCGTAACATGATGTTTCTGTTTTCGTTCCACTTCCATAACTCACGTAATCCCATGCAACATAAAATTGTTTTTTTTTTTTTTGGAAAACTATATTTTATATATAGTGAAAATATTAAATTAAAAATCTTGGTTTTGTCCTCCAACCAAAGTAAATATACAGAAATAATAATCGATGATTACAAATAAATTATGAAAAGTTAACAAACAAAAATAAAATTGTTCTACAGTTACAATAAAAAATATGAAACTATTTACAAACATTATTATGGTTACAAAAAAAAATAATAAATTAAAATTTAACAACAAAAAATAATATAAATCTAATGATTCATTGTTAATGCTTTCTCTCACTACACAAATAAAAACAGATATATTTTACAGACGTTGTTAACCATTACATAAGAAATAAAAACTGCTAACTGATTTGCGTACTTTATAAAAATTCAATATATTTACAACACACATAAAAGAAAAAACAACAAAATTAACTCTAAAATCTACATAACTTGCACCATTCAAAGTTAATTAAAAATCAATTGTCTAATTTGAATTATTTTAAGTACTCTACTCAAATATATGGGTGTAAATATATGTATATATATATTTTTGTTAGATCCTTAATTCTAAGTCTTGGTCCATTCTGAATTCCTAAAGTAACTAACTAGATTATCTACGAGCTGCCATACACAAATTGGATATGCACCACAGAATTTTAATTGTCCCATTCACGAAAATTTCTTTACAGATGGCGCATTTAATATTTGATTATTCTGGTAACCTTGAATCTTCAATTAAATATTATTTTCCATTTATTCAAGATTCATTAATAGTAATATTAGTTAAAAATAATGGCTGAAGAGAACCACAAAAATAATAGCCTCTATGACTTATTTATGGAACTTTTTTTTAACTACCATTTGAGCATGTTTTTGTGTGTGTGTGTGTTGTTGAGTTAAAGATAATACTAATATAGCAGTCAATGTTAATTTAATAAATTCATATGTTTATTCCTTAAGCATAGATTACGAAAACTTTAATAATCGTTAAAATTAAAACTATGTATGCCGCATTGAGTTCTCTTTTTTTTGTTGTAAATTTATGTTTGCTCTTCAACATACATGAATCAAGTTAAAAAAAAATATTAAATTTAACTTATGTACATAATCTGTTGATCATAAAATATATCTATATATATATTGCATATGTAATAAATACATTAGACTAGATTTAAGACATAATATAATTATAATTAATTTGTCCAATTGCAAAAATTTTTATTTAAATTCTGAAAAGGAACATTATCATTCCAATCTCGTTTTCTGAATAAAATAACAACGATAATAATTTTTTAATTGTTAACTTTTGATATATATATATATATAGACTCAAATAAAATATAATTCCAAGACATACCATATGATGAGATAAAAGGTGTATGAATTGATTCGATTAAAAAAAAAGTATTTACAATATATACAAGGAGACTCTGTTCAAAAGATTAACGAGTTCATTTTGTTTAAAGATTACGTTAAATTGATTGTATATTGGCGCCATCTGAGAAGAGACTAATTCTTGTGAATTTATTCTGGAGGTGGTGGTGGTCGGTGATCCGGTGGTGCATCGTCCGGTAATGGGGGCGGCGCGCTGGCGGGCACTAAATGCTGATTGGCTGGATACATGCCATGCGAGTACATTGCATACTGCGAGTAGTACACGTTGGGGTCGTAGGTCAAAAATGGGGGCGGCATGCCCATAGTATGCATGGCGTGCGGCGGGGGTTGCGCCATGTTTGGAGGTGGATAATTATAATAAAAGTTCTGTGACATCGCTGGCGGAGGCGGGCCGTTACCGAACGTGTTGTTAGACACGTTGTTATTAAAATGGGAGCGGGAGTTATTTGAGTAGTTGCTTACCTTGTTATAGGAACTGCGGCCGTTTTGCTTGTCGCCGTGATGGGGTTTGTTATAATTCGATTTCTTCACCGGCGGCGTGTCTATCGGTGAGCTGTGGTCACGCTCACGTTTTTTACTAGGCACCAAACCCTCCCCGTGCGGCCCTTTGGTGATGTCTTTCGATATCTTATTTCCCTGCGACAATTCGCCAATCATGTCACTTTTGATTCGATCTTTCGAAATCGTTATTTTCAATCCACCGGTCTTGGGAGGTGGTGCGATCGAATTGGAGGTGTGCATAGAGGACGCCTCCGGCGGCTGGATCTTTGATAACGTAATCTTAATTGGTTGAACAGTCTCTTCAATTTTATCCTTATTCCTGTGCTTATCCTTATGTTTTTTCTTCTTCTCCTTCTCGTCTTTGCTCTTATCTTTGTGCTTGTGCTTCTCCTTGTTCTTCTTCTTTCTATCTTTGTGGTGGTGCTCTTTGTCCTTCACCACTTCCGGGACGACGGCTGTGGCGGACTGCTCCTCGGAGACAGCGGCGGCTATCGTATTAGTAATAGCTGGTAGATGAGGCACTGTCGGTGCTTCTTTCAGCAGATTGCTAATGAGTGTCGGATTCGTTTCAATCCCATTAACGATGGGCTGAGACAGAGGCACAGAGGAACTAGAGCTAAACGGGGCCAGCAGATCCGGGGCCTTCATTTCTTTTAAGATTGTGTATGGCTGAATGGAGTGACCATCGTCAACATTATTGCTCTCCTTGATGGTGGATTCACGCAGAATGTTCTCGAAACCTTCCGCCTGCTGTTCGATCTTCTTAATTGCCAACTTTTGCTCTGGGTCGGAGCTGCTACTGCTCGCAGTTCGACTTCGCTTCGATGAACTACTATCCAGCGGAGAAATCGGGGCAGGCAGATGAATTGTATCCGACAAGCGTTTGTTCGATGAGTTGGGAGGTTGAGTTTTTCTTGGGGGCGTCTTCTCGGGCGAGAACATGCTCGGCTTCTTGGCGAGCGGCGGCGCTTGATACTGCGGAGACTCGTCTTTGAGTGTATCATCTAGCAAGTGCATTCCGTAGCCTCCATTGCTATTGCCATTGTGGGGTTCGGACTTATTACTACTACTTTTGGGGACGGATTTCGATGTGTTGTCAGGAGCGAAAGGCGATTTAGTTTTTTGCGAGGTAGAATTAGTCATTGGTTGTTTCATGTGGATATTGTTCTTGTTATCGTACATGGCTTTGTTATCATACCAACCGGAAGCCATTTGTTTCTTAGGGTCTTCGGGCTTTAGATGCACGGACTTCGCATCTTCATGTCGTCGGCTGGGGGGTTGGTGCAACTTTATATCTGATGAGGAACTTTGTCTAGATCTCGAGGAGTCTTGTCTTTTATCACTTGAGTAATTAGCGATTTCGCTTGAGGATTGTGAATTGTTCATATCAGTCACAGGTTTCATAGAGTACGCGCGTTTATCAACATTTTCACTACTACGCACTAGCATGTCCTTCTCTTTCTTCATGTCTAAGTTTGTTTCACTATTGTTTATTCGCGTCGGATCGCGAACTGCCGCAGCTTCGGGCCGCATGTGTGTCATGGATTGTGGGTGTCTCGAGTGCGGCTTCAACTTCGGATCCACTGACGATGGTCTGTGGTGACTGCTTGCGCTATACGGCACACCAGTGACTTTCGTCGCCGAGCCTGACGTCGACGAGGAGGACGTTGATGCAGATAACTGTCCAGACGAGCTTAACGAATTAGAAGGACCTGGCAATTTGCCGCTCGAATGGGCCATTCGTTCTCTGTCTTTTTTCTCTCTATATTCTCTTTCTCTTTGTTGCTGGCTACTTGAACTGCCTTCATGCGGTCTAGATCTATGTTTATATGGATCTTCAGCACCTAAAAAATACATTACAATTTATAAATACTGTTCATTTAGAAGGATATAATAGATATATGTAAGCTTTACCTGATTTATCATGGTGATTTCTGTGGTGCGGATCTTTGCCGTCCGCAGCTGCGTGCAATTTCCGCTCCGCATCCTGGTTTGAACCCAAGAATTTATTGACCAAAAAATTGGGCATATTGGGTTTATTAGCACTTACCAAAGGCGAGGCGTGATTATTACGGGACATACTATTCCCTTCGCCGAATGCCATTATCTTCTCCTTTAAACGCGAAGGGCAGCGTTCAAAAATTACGAGGAATTCGTCGGTAAGGAGCTGAAGCAATTCAGCAGTTACAGTCGAATCTACGTAAGAAAACCATTCCTTCTTTTCGTTGGACAATGGAATTTCCCAATTGGACCACTTACACGCTAAGTGTATGCAGAAGCATGCCACTACGGTCGGCTTAAATTGCAGACACATCGTAGTCACGTGCAAACTAAAAATGGCCAAAGAAATACAAATTTTTTTGTCGTTTCACAAAAAACATTTCTACACCCACCTAGTGCTTGCCATAAAATAAGACGTCTGTGCCAGGTCTTTACACGCTTTTACTAGATGACAACAGCGCACCACGTGCGCATGAGGATGGTCTATGGCAACATCAAACCCCAGAGTTTGCAGCAGGACGTTTTCGTTGAAAACCAAATCTTGCGATTGTTGCTGGTATCTATAATGAATATTTTATATATATATATATATCGGTTGGTTTTTGGATCTATTCAAAATTTGCAATTTTAAAATTCACAAAGCCAAGCAATAATCAATCAGTAAAGCAAAAGCAAAACATGTAATTAATAAACAGGAAAGTCTTCTTACCTCTCGGAAGTAACGTCAAACTGCGCCTCTCGGGGATTCTTGCACAGATTGTGTACCCTGATGACATGTTCCAACTTTCGGGGCTGCTCTTCCACCTTCGCTGAAAGGAAGATTGCAGCCGCCGCCATCGAATGCCATGGGAATTGGGTAAAAGAGTGGAACACGTAGAAACGATGCATATACACAGTCGCCGTATTTATACATAATTGTGATCTAATAATTGCTATTAAGGAAATATTCGAAAAAATAAAAATAAACAAAATAATAATAAGCAAAAAAATAAATAAAATCTGTGGAGAAGGACATTGAAATAAAAATAAATTCATATAGAAGGTGGATAAAATAATAAAAAAAAATAGAGGAAGGAATGCTATGAAATGAAAGGACGATGGATTAATAAAAGGCCTGACCGACCTTATTTTTTCGTTCTGCAAACAATCAATACAATTTGTTTAAAAGTGCATGCACTAAAGTATGGCACACTTAAAACGTCGTCTTGTTGCGTATATATGTGCTCGCATGATACTTCATCAGCTACCAATAAAACAACAATACTCAAAATAGTACATTCTGTACAAGTATAGTAAAATACTTCAATGAAATGCATGCAACAGAAAATAAACAAAAAAGAAACACTTATCTTAAGTTTATGAAAGAAAAGAAAAAACATTAATTGAAAAATTGATTGTGCTACTTACTTCTACTAATTATAAAGTTTTTTTTATAATAGTATTATTATTATTTGAATTAAGACTTTCAAGTTTTCACTAGTTTATAATAAACTTATATATATATTTAGACAATATATATTTAAATAACGTTGGAAAATGTAACTTTAAGAGTTTTATGTAAATCTACTTCAATTAGGGTATGAAAAATTAAAACCAAAGATTTAAAATAAATGAAAATGATAAAATGTGAGAGAAAAAAAATATCGAAAAAGAATAAAAAGGAAAAAAAAATCGAGATAGAATAAATGATTAAATAAATAAACAGTTAAGAAATATAAACCTTATATGCTGTTTGAAAATAATTACATTTATTACTTTTTCGTTTTGTCTTTAACAAATGTTATAATTTACATTGAGTTTGTATTATTTGTTTGCTTTTCTGATGCTAAGAAGAAGTGATCTATAACAAATCATTCGGTGAAAATAAAAATACAAATAAAATTATTCTTTTTAATCAACTCTTAGATCTTTTAAGTGAAAAAAAAAATATATATAATGTCCTGCAAAAAAAAGAGCATAACAAAAATAATGGGAGTAAAGTATCGATGAAAATTTAAGACCTGAAAAATAAAATCAAAACTAGAAGATCTTATATAGCTGAACAAAGTAAGGACATTTAAGATGTGGCAATGCCATTTCTATAATTTAATGAAAATATATCATTTAGTTTTGATGAATCTATGGTACGAGTTAAAATGAAGCAACAAAAAAAAAACAAACAATAATGTAGAAGAGATGCAGAAAAGGAAAAACGTCACAACAAAGGTTAGAAGAATGACATTTATCAAGTTTTTGTTTTGATTGAATTTCTGTAGAGAAATGTTTTCGGAAAATTTGCTGATACAAAGTACATTTTATTTTAGATTGCATGTGTTGCACTATCTCTTACTGCACAGAAAATATACTGATGTTTTGTAAATAAGTTTGCATAGGCTTTTGATAACAAGTTGCTTTTCCATAATGTACTTTAAAATGCAGGAATTTCATGTAATAGAATTGTTTCTCAAAAAGAATAAAATAATTATAGAATGATCAATGTGTTTTATCAAATCAGCAGTAGCAGGTAGCAGAATGCATTTAATTATTAAAATTAACAATATTTGTAATTAGGGCAGAAAAGAACTTTGGTTTTATAATTAAATGAATAATAGTATGATTTACTAGTTAATTAAATTGAATAGTTCCTCAAAGAATTGTTAAACAAAATGATATGTTCTGAAGATAAATTTATGTCACCTGCAGTAGGTAATCAGAATATATGATTATCGAGCATTGATTTACTTTAAATTATTGTTCACTGTCTGTTTTGTTATTTGTTATTAATCGCTGCTAGTATCATAGTTTCAGACAATTGCATGTATTGATTAATTTGCAGAATTCTATTTTGTATATTTTATAGGAAAGGATTGGTCCGAAGAGCTAAAATAAATAATTTGTGGCCAGTCTGGATGTAGAAGAATCTAGGATGCAAGATATTTTGTGGGTAGATAATGGGCATGCTTAATACCTGCAAAGAGGTGTTTATAATAGTTGTAAAAAAGGATACACTCTAAGCCTTTGGCCCATGTCCTGTATGAAATTGGCAGCCTGTTGTCTATAGTACAACTCTTTGTATGCGTCGATTCCACATTGCCTGGATGGCGAATTATTCAGGTGTTCTTTGGTAAAATACCATTTTTCCTCAGTAGCCATTTACGAACGTCACGACACGAGATGAACGATACTGTGCAGATGTCGCTACGTATTATTATACACAAGTTAGCGGAGCGCATTTATTCACTCGAGAATTGAGCAAAAATCTCAATCTCAGCAAAATGATATGAATAGCATAATAATAGAACGACGTCGAATTAACGGTAAGGGGTGCAACGAGCTCTCTTCCACGATACTCGCGATTTCTCTTGGTAAAAGAACTGGACGAGAAAAAAAAAATAGGGTCTCTTGCGTCACTAACGAACTAGGTTTTTAACAAGTCACTTGAGCGCTGCGTAATTTCGATGTTTCGTCGCTCTTCCTTAAGTTTAGTCCATAAATAACTAGCAACAGAAAGCTCGGCGGTATCTCGAGTGTTTGATGCAGTATTTGCAAAACCAGTGAGGTAGTTTTCAAATAATAATATTATACATACAGAAAAGTCGTAGAAATTGATGTTATTCACTCATTGATGGCCGACCAACCACACTGTTCAACACAACGATATCACAGATCAATTGCTTATTATACGAAGCACACTATCACAAATTGTTTATTCTAAAATTAATATAAATAATTAACACCCGTAAATTGTCCGCCGAAAAGCCCGCTGTTTTACCTTTTTCCCCCCAAGTCCTCCAACAATAAACACTCAACTGACTAAAGATGGCCGCTTCCGCTTCAGACAACAAGCAAACATCAACTGGAAATTCCCCTAACTTTTACACTGCACTCTCACCAGTACTACCACACGAAACTTGCACAAATATTTTAAAACGATCGCAAAACTAATTGCCGAAAATGCAGATGAAATGTTCAAGATGTGTCTTGATGTTCCACTGCATATGCTGATGACTGATGACCGACAGCTACAAGATATCAGCAAGATATGATTTGAAAAACATCGGTTGGCAACCTACTAGCAACTGAAATTCCCCTACCACCAAGCAAAGGATTCGGAGAATTCAGATGGATGCAGGTATTCGTACCGCACGGTTGTTGTTATTGTTTTCGTCGCACTGTAGTTCCGCGACACGTCTAAGATACTGAGTACATTTCACCGATGCTGAAGATGTTCTTGTGAGTTATATTTTCTAAATATCTCGGACTGTTTGCAAATTTTTATGACCGTCTGAATCCTGTGTCCCCATTGGCCAGTCAAAAAATCTCTTTTTCGAATGGTTAACTTGACCATTGTTATTGTTTGTACTGCAGGTACAAGATTCCACGACCGTGCGGTATTTTCCTTTCCTTAAAAAGGAAATTTCCTTTCAAAATCTTTACCTGACCTTTCCACTTATTTCACTACGCTTTTTTTAAATATTCATCTGCAGTGCAAATTTTTTACCTACATTCATAATAATTATTCTAATGTTATTTTGTGATTAATGTCAACTTGATTATTAGTGCATATTTAAAAACAAATATTTATTTTGTATACTCAATGTAAACATAATCAAATACAGTGGAACCTCGCTTAACGAGTTTAATTTGTTCCAAAATTATTACATTTGTTTATAAGACTTGTATCAATTCGGGGACTCTTTATACTTTTAATGTTTGTTTATATAAAAAAGCGTACATTGTGTGTATATATATTATAATAATGATGGACACAATACATTTGTGTTTTGCATTTACAGAAAACACAAATTATAGTTTGCTTTTAACTGACTTCTCATAGTCACTCGTTATGCGAAACGTGATAAAGAAAATCGAAGATTAATATGTACACAAGTTATAAAAATGATGTAGAAGGCGCGCAATCCGGGACTTTTCTTCTCATAGTCACTCGTTATGCGAAACGTCGCATGTTAAGCAAGTCATTTTCTTATAATTTAGTTAAGCGAGGTTCCACTGTATAATTAAAAAGTAGTTATTTATTTTGTGTTTATATAAGATAATGTAAACATAAGCTTATATGTTAATTGACGAGTATTTAATTACATAATTTACATTCAATTGCAAATTATTATTTAATAATAGTAAAGAAATTATAAAGATGTTATTTATTTTGTATTTAAATGAGCAGGAGCAGATGTAAACATTTATTGTAGTATATAGTATATTTATCAATGTTGACCAAATTGTTTATTTACTTTTCATCCAGTGATTTACAACATAATTAACGAACCAAGTGAATTGTAAGAAAAATGACTCTTAACGAGCGACGTTTTGCATTCCGAATTGCGCGCATAAAACTTGTGTGTACATATTATGTGTACTTTTGAATGTGTTTCACTATACGAGTAAAAATCTGGAAATTTTGGAATGGATTAAACTCGCTATGCGAGGTTCCACTATATTTAAATTAAATACTAATAAATTTAAAACAATTTTTTTTTGAGCAGAAAGACGAATGCTTAACAAAAACAAACTAAGCTATAGTAATATAAATAAACAATATTAATTATTTAACTTATTGAATATAATATTCCAAGATTACGGATTAAACTCGTTAAGCGAGGTTCCACTGTATATGTAAATTGAAAAGAATTTATTTAGAAATTTTACTTTCTGCAAAGAATTTAGAAGTTATTATACTTAATATACTAATTATTATTAATTTTAATATATTTTAATGATTAACAATTCTTGTATTAATCTCAACTTAATATACAGTGTAACCTTGCTTAACGAGTTTAATCCGTTCCCAAATTGTTCCACTGTATTTAAATAGATTATTTGCATTTATCTGTAAGAATGTGTCAAGTCTTATTTTACATTAACATTTAAGGCATTCAAAATTATTAATTATTTTTAAATAATATAAAGATTATTGAAAATATTTGTATTTTGTCTACTAATTAATTTAAAACAATATTTTTTTTTGAGCAGAAAGACGTATGGTCAATAGAGTTTTTGCTTAATAAACACAAACTAAGCTCTAGTAATATAAATAAACAATATTAATTGTTTAACTTATTATTGAATATAATATTCCAGGATTACGGACAAATGCAATTCAATATTTGTAGAAACACGTGTTCTGAGAACGTGTGCAAAGATTCTTTCGGAACGTGTTCATAGAAAGGACAAAATGTACCTCGTTGTCAGTCTTTACAGCTGACCATAATAGTGGCAACGAGGAAAATTTTGACCTTTCTATGAACCCATTCCGAAAGAATCTTCTCTCACAACACGTGTTTCTACAAATATTGAAAGGAATCGTCAATTTTGAAGCTTTTCAGATTTTCGTTTACAGATGATATTTTTGTTAAAGGAGTTTCATTTTAATTATAAACAAATTTTCATTGGTCCGAAGTATTTCTGTCTTTAGATTTCTTTTATTTTAACTGAAGTGTTTTCTGTAAAAATTAAAATTTTGTTTCAATCATAACGGCCCTATTTCTGTATATCGATCCCATAAAAAAGATAACAATTTTGTACTGTATGTATCTTTCATACTTGTACTCAGTGATTTTGGATTTCAAAGTTTTTGTGTTCCTCTTTGTTATACAGCTAACAACGATTCTATTGTGCTTATTTCTGCTTCCAGAATGCAAACGCAGACAGACAAGCCTCCAGGATCGGCGGCAGCAGCGAAAGCCGCCGCGGTCTTAAGAGCAGAGATAAAGATGGAATTGCAAAACAAAAAGCAGTGTTCATACAAGCCCTTTGCCTGCACGCAATTAACATTGGACGGATATAGTTATTGTTTGAGACACATTCTCTGTGATAAGAGTGCTCCCTTCAAACAATGCTCATTTGTCTATCCGAGTAACGGTAAACGCTGCTTCCTGCCCGCTAAGGTCGACAAGAAAGATGTTGGGTATGCTTTATAAAAATAGATAATTGTCATTATGATGTTAATTAATTATTGTTTTTTTTTTATAGATATTGCAGCGAGCATGCATTAAAAGCGCATCTGCTGAGAAGTAAGCAAGGTTGCAGGCCAGCTCCGCCGAGGACGGCTGAAGCACTGCTAGGCTCGTTATCCCACTACGTGAAGAGGCCAAGATCAAGAAACGTATCATCAAGTACACAGCATTCTGATGAAGGACGCATAAGCCCAGACGAAGGAGATCCGAAGGTCACGAGGTCTCTGGATCCTTTCGGTAAGATAATTATTAATTTTAGTCCGCAACAACTAAGTATAATTTAATATATTTCAGTTGAAATTGATGCTTCACATATTAACGCTTCTTGCAGCGATGTCCTGGACATGTGCAGCGAGTCGGAAAGTGATGTGGAACCAGCAACATACACTTCTGTATGGCAAGATGCACAGGCCGACAGTTCCGATGATGAAAGTATTGACTCGGAACAGGAGGATATTTTAAAGTAACAACCGAAATACTGAAATCGGTTAACCCAATTTTAATCTATTCATTTTCTAGACATGCCAACGTATATTCAGCCGAAGAAATAACGATGATTACAAGAGATAAATTAAGTAGGTTACAAAATCTCTACATCGATCAATACCGCCACCTGCAACATATGCTTAAAGAGAAAAGACGGAAGTATCTGATTGCCTTGAAACGCGAGAAAGAAACATGCTGTTAGTATACATTAAATAGTGGTTGACTTCAAAATAATTATAGAATTTGTAGGTAGCATTAGTAATCAATCTAAAGATAATCCCAAAGAACAACGGATGTATAGGAAGTTGAAAGATCTTAATCATTATCACAAGAAGGTCGGAACTGATGCTATTTTGAGAAAGCGTTTGAACGAATTGAGGATGAAGGTTGTTATAGGTTTTTTTTTTAATTATAAAAATTGATCTGTAATTGCTTATGTTTTAGATTACTGATGGAGCCCAACACAAACCGCAAAATTACAATACTAAGTGCGCTTATATCGAAGGCGGAGTCAAATGCACGGAAAAATCACTACCGGTTGCTAGACACTGCAGAAAACACATTTTAGAGGTAATTACTTTACTACCTGACCTATGTCCTATCAATATGTAATGTTAATTAATAGCTATGTAATATGGCATAACTATGACTAAACTTGCAAATGTTTCGAAACTAGGTTTCTGTAAGTAGGTTTTATTGTCTATTTTTTTAGGATCCAAATCAAGTGCTATTCCGAGCGTGTGGAAGAAAACGTGCCGACATTGAATGTCCAACTCCAGTGGAAGCAATATTCGACGACCAAACGTGTATTTTGCATAGGGATATTCCACCGCTTCGCTCATATTCTCAAGTCAGAGTAAGTATTTTCTCACAGCAACTTTTAGAGAAAATTAATTTCGTAATGACCATTTCCAGAAGGATTCCGAATCCGATTACGATGACATGACCGATTTACATGCGAATAACCCGAACGTGAAAACGGAACTAATAGATTATTCCAATATTGTTATACCCACAAACTTGCTAGACAGTCTGATCAATAATGAGTCGACGACAAGTATGGACAGCGAGGTGGATCTGTCTTTGATGAATAGTATGAAATGTGATATGGATGAAGTGGTGAAGGAGGAAGAAATTCTTAATACAGATGATGATATGTCTATTATAAGAATGCAGGATGATTTGGATCAGAACGAGTAATATAATTGTATATTTATGACAACATTGTCATAAGAGGAAATACAAACATTTAATATTTATTATTTTTTTATTTAATACAAAATAAAACAAATGAAGTATTAATTGTATAAAAGAAAGAAAACAAATAACTTAGTTTTTCTTGATATTGATTAAAATATTTTTATGTAACGTAAAATACTATTAACTTATATTTTTGTTGTTGTTGTAAATAGTATACTATAGTTAAATTTGTACAAAAGTAAAACAAAATAATCAACAAAAACCTAAAACTTACTATCCGTACGATTTCCGGAAGAGGAACATAGAATCATGTGTTGATTTTAAAATGTACATTGAGGAGACGCAGATTTTCTGTCCGTAATAAAACGTCCATATTACGATCACGCGCGTCCATAAAAAACAATAAACAAAACAAAATTACCGCTAATTACTGTGCTAAAAGAAAACGAATCTGTCCCAGAGCAAGAAAATATGTCACACGTTTTGCTAAACTCCGTGCCGTATAATATATTTATATTAATAAATATAAAAAAAAGGTTATGCAAAAAAATAACTTCCCCACATTAACGACCAGTAATACATACAATTATCTTCGTTAGCGTATTATCCTTATTATTAATGTTAATTTGGACATAATTAAATTATACCGTTCATATCAGCACCCTGCATGAATAATGATTGACCGAATACATGACCCTAATCGTATGCCCTCGTGTTTGTTCGGTTGCATAGTGTTAAAGAGCGCAGCGCAAAGGAAATCCTACCGCGTTTTCAAATTAATATAAAAAATAAACTATTAGAATATATTAATTACTACTTAGGTCATGATAAAACTGCAAACTTAACTTGAATATGTATATATGTATATCTAAATTTAACTTGGCACAAAGCACTACTGTTATGAAGAAACGATGATTTGTGTTCCATTAAATGAGAAGCCTCAATTCAGTTCATTTAAGTTGTTTTTTTTAAGTATGTACTATATGTATATATAAATATATGTTTTTTTTTCAGAGTTCAAATATTCTTTTTAGGTCATGCTCATACACGGCAATCAGAGCCATAATACCGAACCCAAGCAACAGACCGCCCAGATGCAACACACTCTGCGTGAAAGTACCTTCTCCTTCGTGTCCGGAAATTAATTCGGGAATCATATCGACAAGCGCAATGTACAAAAACATGCCAGCTGCTATGGCAAATATCCAAGAACTTGCATGCTCAGTGTTACCCAACCAAAGACCAAACATGTTGCCGAAGAGGCAGAGCACACTGGAGAGTAAATTATATAAGAGAGCTTGCTTCATGCTCATTCCAGCCTTGAGGAGCATCGCGAAATCGCCCAACTCGTGTGGTAACTCGTGACAGAATACGGCAACGGCCGTAGAGAATCCGCCGGTATAGCTGCTCGCAAATGCCGCACCAATCGCCATGCCATCGGTGAAGTTGTGTAACCCATCACCCATGATCACCATCCAAGCAACTGAGGACATCGTCTTTGGGGCGGCGTGCACGTGTCCGTGGGTATGACTATGTCCGTGGTGCCTGTTCTCGTGCTCTCTGAGTATCACAGTATATTCAATGCTATCCGTATCATCCTTCGAGGTGACTCCCACTAAATCATTTGAAAACATATTATTTATTTCAAAATTATTTGATTTATTTGTTTCATTCGAGTTGCCGTTGGTCTGATTCGGAGTCTCCAATTTACTATTCACCTCCTGAACCATCGGCAGAGCGGCTTCTTCTCCGCCAGCAGCCACTAAAACAAATTCCAATTATTACATATTGTCTTAATTATTTCATTTTTTCTTTATATATCACTCACAACCTCCATCGACATCCGCATTTATTTCGTCATAGCAATAGGGGAACGAGCTGTATTTATGCTTGCACTGCTTTTCCGAAGCGTTTGTCAATTGCGTGCTAACCTCTGGTTTGATTACTTTCAACCTGGAGGGCAACTGAAACTCAAATGCACGTTAATCTTCATCAAGTACATCGGTTATAATGAATACGTACTTTGTCTTTCAACTGTTGCTTTTTCCTCCACTTATCTGCGAGCATTAGGATGCGCTCCATCAGGAAGAAGAATATCATAGCCAGCATAGCGACGACTCCTTTGTGAATTTTGTTCATGTGGGAGGCATCTGCCTTTGGATCGTGATGACCGTGGTGATCCTCTTCGATGTGGTCCATCATCGAGTGCGGCAGCAGATGTAGCAAAGCGTCACCTGCCAAGGTGCCCACGGCCAGCGCAATCAAAAACTGGAGCAAAGGCTCATAAAAAGTTTTCTTCATTAACGGAATAACTCCCAAACCGAGAATCCCGCAAGCACTAATCAATAATACAGCAATCATCGAATAGAGCCAAGACAAGTTGCTATTCGATTGCTCCTCATCTGTATCGTTGATGTGATTGTGCGCAGATGTATCATGATTGCAATTACCTATTATCAGATTATACAAAATAACCGGACACGCTTCCTTGAACGTGTAATTGTCTATGCGATCCGCATTGTTCATGTTATTTTTCAGCGAATCGTACAGCTTGTCTCTATCCACACACTAAAAATCAACCATTAAAGTTATTAGTTCGTACACATCGTGTTCCGTCATTTGGATTTACCTTCGTTGCTAGACTGGACTCATTGCTGGAACCCTGCTTGATAGCAGCTTCGTCTCTGCTGTCATTCGATTTGAAACTACGGACGAGATCGAGATGCTGCATCATCTGCTTAAATGCATCCAGACTAATGCTATTCCCATCTCCGTATTTCTTGAACAATAGGCCGAGATACTCGTCGGAGCTATCATTCGTTGCAGTCCGTTCGATGATATCCCGCTTCGCTTGCGAGCCCTCTTCACCTGGTATCGTTGGCCAATCATTCGGATCCTTGAAGGGTTTGCTGTCATCATACCGATGTCCACTGCCGGTCACGATTTCTGCATGTGAAGCACATGGCGAGTGGGTGGCACATAGGAAGCAGAATATACAAACTGACACAAAGTGCTGCGCCATATCGATCTGAAACGTATTGCATATTAATCATGGATGTATTAATCTGGCAAATTGCATAACCATTCCACTTGATTATGCATTCATTTAACATTGATCCCATCGCAACAGCAAGATCATATTAAATTGACATTTAAAAAGAGGTAATAGCCAGGAAATATGAATAATGTCATGACTATGCTCATATCACATCGGTTTGGGCTCTATAGATTTTAATTGGCAAGAGGACTGATGACCTGCCTGAACGTACGTTATGTGTTTTAAATCGCAGGTCAATAAACTTACTGACGACGCGGGTACGTTTACAATTTTTCCGAGTAAACAGTAAAAGAACTATGGTGGAATGCATTTATAACAGTGTTTTTCAAATCGCCTTTCATCATAGCATTGATTGCAAGGAAATTCCTCAAACATTCATTTAATTAATATATTTACTCGTCCGTGTTTCAGGAAAGCTTTATTACATATTATTACTGGTTTACCAATATCTTTTTATATGACAATAAATAATTCAGTTTCTAATTTCACACAACGAATGCAAGAAACTAAAAAGTTTCTCATTATTAAAATAACGTTAGATTGCAACAACAATTGATTAATCAAATTTTAAATGATTATTTAATAACTTCAACCTCCACCCTTTATGAATACGTCATGCGAGTTTCTCCAGAAGATGTCCCAATATTTTTTTTACTAGACAATAATTATATAATAAAACAGATGATAACAATAAATAAGGTTAATAATCCAAGACTGAAATTTCATTGCCATCAATTGATATTTTACAACCTTGGACCGAGCAGACGTCAGGTGTTAGATTAAAGCATGTTCGAACACGTCTTTCATTTAATCCAGAACTCGAGTTGGCGAGTTGTTTACACTGTTTCCGAGTTGGAAAAGTGATTTCGGAAAATCAATAATGCAAATAAACCGGCGAGCTCGAATTATGACCACGTCTGAATCGTGATTCCCAATTGGCCATCGATCTCTGTGCAAAACGTATATGTTTTTTTTTTCAGCATTCCCATTGTTTGCAGCACATCGACGATTGACGTGGCCTAACAGGTAGTTTCATTATAACAAAACCAGTCTGCAATTAGCCATGGGAAAATTGAACGCAAGTGCGGATCAATAAAGTATTCAACGATTTAAATACTGCAGTAAATGAAAATTTAAAAAAACAAGTCTTATTTTTTTGCAAATGTAGTTAATTTGAGAACCTCCGAAAGAAAAGCGAATAAAATTAGTTAGTTATGTATCATTCTAATTAATAGTTCATAAAATGTACATTTTCTAAATAAAATAGACTTAAATTCCTTAAATTTTCAAATATCAATCAGGATTCATCTATCATTTCTTAAAATATATTAAAGATAAAAGAAGTTATAAACTAACTTTCAATTTAAATAATGAATATTTTGCACATCCGGCGAACTGTACATAACTGAGAAACTATGTTAATTAAAAACGGTACATCAATAACTAAAAGATGAATTGCCAACTTTGTTGACAAAACATATTTTAAGAATACATATTTTGCACACTTAAGGACGTAGCCTTACATAAAAAAAAGCGAACAATGCATTTGATAAAAATTGCAATTATTAACATCCATATAGAAAATAGACGTTATCAGTATGATCCCTATTTAGTAACCTTATTATATTCTATTATTTCATTTGAAAAAACAGTTGGAATTTAGAAATCTTTACCCTTGGAATAAAACACTGCAATTTTCTGTATTAAACACTAAAAATAAATTCAATGCCTACTGTACTGTACAATGACATAAGATAAGCGCTTAGAATGATAGGAATTATAATCAAACACTATTTACGGTTCGATGATTCTCTGAATTATTGTAATTTATGGAATCAGTGCGATGTCAACGACTAGAAAACTTTTGCCCTCTTTTAATTTATTTTTTTTAAAATATATATTTTAAAATGACCGCAATTGCAGTGCAATTCACTAATCTTTCAATTGGATCGAAGTTCAATTAATACACTTGAAAACTTTCACTTCGGCGAAAAAAAGAATGAAAGAATTTCTTAAGCGTTGCAAGAAGCGATACGCTATGGACAATGAATATTAAAAACTTTCATTACGAAAAAAAGAATTCGTGTGCGCTGGTTCGTTCGAATATATGTAACACAGGAAATTCCCATACATTCTTTATAATTTCGTCATACTGCATTGCATACAGATATTAGTAATATGTTATCTTTTGTCACAAAATTTTAATAAGTATATTTTATGTTTAAGTCATTACTTACAGTAACTAATTGATAAAATTAGTTTTGTCATTATCCTTACAAGTAGCGTTGTTTTTAAAGTTAATAGCTTACGAAACGTGGAAGGTGGGCGATCAACAAGTCTTTAAATATATATACGAATCATTATACAATATGCATACCTTGTAAAGAAACCTTCTAAAATTTCAAAGATATTACTATTTTTAGAAATTGCAAATTTATGCAAGTGGAAATTTTTTATTGATTTTCATGATTTTCCACATTTAGGATACTAAAGTAATTACTATTGAAATCGTGATAGCAATTATGCAAAATTAATACTTAAGATTTTCAACTTATTTCAATTTTGTCAACTAGTCAATCTTTCAAATTATTTATATAATTTATGGTGTTATATATTAATTGAAAGCAAACATTCTGCTGAGGTTGATAAACTATTTATCTATGGTATCACTAAGCACATACACTGAATTAATCAATTGGATGATTTGGTATTTGATCAATTGCAAAAAAAAAAAACTTTAAAAGTTTATTTCAATGCTTTATAATTATTTTCAAAATGAAAAATTTCACTTTAAAGCATAGTAATTGTGATAATAGACTCATTAGTTTATTAAAACATAAATTATATTTAAAAAAAATAGGATTTAATTAGTTTTTCACTCAAATTTATAAAGAAATTAATAATATTAATGAAGACATTTTAGTATTTCAAATAATTATAATTAAATTATTTTAAAACTTTTATAAAATAAGGTGTAAATGAAACAAGGACTCACCATTGTGGAACTAGTATTAATGAGAATGTTAGCAAGACTAGAATCAAATGATATCTGCGATAGGTGACCCCCCACAAAGTTCTATTTAAAAGCACTGAATGAATACTAAAAATATATGTCCAATGGCAGGATTTTGAAATGCAATTACTATAATCTGAATGCATGCACAGAATAAATTGACTGTAAATATGTAATAGAATGAAAAATTACAAAATGCATGGGAATTGCTTTTGATTGTTTGTGTGTATGTGTGTGTGTGTGTGTATGCATGTGTGTCGATTGTGAATTATGGTATTCATTCAATCGGCATTGAGTTGGGTAATTGATCCAATCAAGTTTCAATTGAGACCAGCATTTTGGAAATACAATCTTATTTGTTATTTGCACCAGACAAATTAATTTTAATTTTTTTTTTTAAATATATTTGTTATTAATTATATCAATTAAGTTCATAAACTAATATGATTGTTGGTAAGGAATCTGTTTGTTTTTCGCGGGTAGATGGAAAAGTTCAAAACAATTGAAAGCATTGTCAGAATATACGAATTTTTGGCAGCGGAACCAAAAAAGGTAATAAAAACGTAAACAACCTACATACCATATAAAAGCCGAAAAATGAAAATCCTCTACATTTATCATCAAATCCTAGCAAAAGTATGCGTGTGTCTGCGACGCTTCTTCAATGTCGCCGTTCAAACTCTGTACATAATCCTTCCTCCTCAATGAAAACACAATACTCGTACTTTTCGTTAACACATTTGATCCTAATAGTGGGGGTCAGAACTCGTGAATCAACTTTTCCGACAGAAAACCCGTCAGTCCGGCAAGGGAAAAACGATGCTTCCAACCAACCAACTGCTTCCAACTTCACGTTTTCCGACAAAAATGAATCGTATTGAAAACAGAGCTGACAACATAAGGAACTTAAATATTTGAAAAACTAAAAAGACGCGCTTCTTGCCGCTCTTTCATTCAAAATATAAATATGTTCAAAATTTATTGTTCATTGCGCGCATATTTCAACATACTAAAAGGAATAAGTGGATATAAATTACAAATTTAGTAACAGGTGGATAAGGAAACAACTTACTTAACAATATTTAAATAATTTTAATTTTTTATATACTATAATACTAATTGTGAATGTACTAAAATTTTAACGTAGTTTAGTTTATAAATATAATAATGTTGCTGGTTGTTGATTGTTTGTTATTAACTTTGTAAAAATAATAAGTTAGTTAGTGTAGTGTGCATTTAAGAGCAAATTGTAAATATTTGTAAATTATTGCTACTTTGTTAATCTTATTTAAAACATGGAATTAATTAGTTAATTACGTTAATTTCAGGCAGTTTAAAACATAAAATCGATTGATTTTCCCGCCATTCGTGACAGCCGACTCAGCCAAAGTAGGTTTCTGGAAAGCTCTTAACAAAAATATATAAAATGAGGTTATAACAGGTTATAATAATAAGTGTAATAAGAATAGAAAGTAATTTATTATATTTATGAGCGTGTTCGTTCGCCTGGAGAGGTGTGGTGTATAGATGAATTAGATGTATGGAAGAGCATTAAGACAAGAGAAATTAACATCTTAGTACATGGAAATTGGATATAAAGAATTTAATTGCAGCCTGTGTTATTATGTCTGGCAAAGGTAGGGGTAGGGGGTGGCTGCAGTTGAATAAATCCCAAGAAGCTAAGATAGGTTCAAGCACATTGCACAGTCCCACAATTTTGGCAAGTCCCATGAATGGTGAACTCAGCAGCACCATGAATCTGCAAACCAACCCTCAGTATGACACCATAATTCAGACCCTAGCAAAGTTTAATGAAAATGATGATGGTATTGTCATTAACCAGAAGTACAAATATCTCACAGATTGCATGATTGAGGAGTGTAAAACACAGGAGCAAGTAAAGTGAGTTGATATTTCTTTTCTTCATGCAATGTACACAGTTTAATTGTTTTGATTCAATTACAGGGATTGCTTCCAGTATATTTATGATCAAGTGTTAAATGATGAAACACTTATAAACAAGTTTTTGATGCTGGTAACATTAAATTCGTTTCGTGATTTTGTTGTATGTGATGTAAAGATAAGGGCTTTGCTATTGAACAATATGCAAACAAGTTTTAAAGGTAAGCTGATTAAATAATCTGTTGAAAATTTAATGTTTTTTGTTTTAAATTTTAGATGCAGCTACACTCATGGCCACCAACAAAGAGGTTTTCATAAATGCTGTGAAGTTGTTAGGTGGTTTTTACGATATAGCGAGAATGTCTTATAATAGTCGATACTTTGTGCTGACGGTACCCCTAATCAAATACCTAGAAATGCTTCTGGATTCAGGTACCCCGGAGCATCTCGAGTTATTCACGATATTAATTTACAAAACCGGAATGGGGTTCATCGAGCACGACGCCGAAAGGAAGACGAAGTACTTCGTAACTATGCTGATAAAAATGAGGAACATACTGTTGACGAGGACCGATTTGGAAGAAATCTCGCGGACGTGGCTGCTCCTATCTATGGATCTGTGCAACAACCGCGTTTTACCATTGGACCTCCTGAAATATTACCAAAAAATGTTGGGAAAGGCGACTATACATAATTTCCAAATGTTGAATGCGCATCAAAACCAAACAACCACATCCAATCCATCTGGGAATAGTAATACTATCAAGCCACAGCAGCAGCAACAACAACAACAGCAACTCACTCCTCCGAAAACTGGTAGACCCATATTGGGCGCGGGTGCTCGTAACAATAAAATAGAAGAAAATCACATGCGGGGCGGCGAAGAGAGGAAAGAAAATTCGGGATCTGCCGACGTGAAACACAAGTCGGGCGGAGGTTACAATTGGGCGGATGAGAAACCTCAGCAAAGGAAATCGCAGAAGAATAAAGGATGGCAACACGACGATCGTTTCGATACTGAATATTAATTAATGTTTCGTTTCTGCTGGTTTCGATTCGTTTAATATTTTACATAGCAGAATAGGTCGCTACAGTGGCGTGTGTAGTTGAACTGTGCTTCGTAAATAATGTTTATAAAAACTGAAAAAAATAATTATAGAAAACAATATCGAGCACAATTCTCATAATTTTTTTGTAATGAAATCGCCACGCGTCACTGTTTTCCAACAAAACCTTTATCACTTGGAGACGTAAAGTATATTTGTGCACAGTAAATAAATTTTAATCTCCATCTTCATTATTTTTTTTTATTATGATTTGGTTACCGATTTTTCATGATTAAATTGATTTTTATTTTAAATTATTATTCCATAGAACAAATTATATACATATATATATATATATATATTAAAATTCTTTATTATTTGCCGAATAAATATTTTATTTATAATTATTTCTGCTGTTCTTTAATAGATTTAGTTAATAATATTATTATTTATATGTAGACACGATGTTTCTAACATTGTGAAGAACTGTAGTTTTAACGAACGTAAGTGAGATTGAATATTAGGTTTTAAATTGGAAAAAAAAAATCAAAGTTCTTAGTTGCAACAACAGAAACGTGTCGCATCAGAAAACTATTGTAAAAGATGAAGGATTTACTAAAACATAACAATTATATCCAACAACAATCTAATTCAGTTTCTGAATAATTACAAAGTATAGGAAACATAATTACGACTTTCATCACTACTATTACTTAAAGTAATAAATATTTAAAGATATCTTGTCCTCATCCTTGTATTATATTAAAGCATAAAATGCACTCATGTTTCATTCATCAAATATTGTACTAGTTTCTTTTAACTAATTAAACATTTTTAAAAATTATGCTAAAAAACAATAGATTTCTTCCTTTCATATAAATTTATCATATACGATGTTTTTTTTTTGTATTGAAATGTATATGTTTTTTAATGAAATTTCTTAACTTTGTCAGAAGTATACAAAGCGAATGTTTCAGTAAACTATTTTTACCATAATGCAGACCATTGATATGAATCCGCTTTATGCGAATGTGTTCAACACGTTCATGGTATTACATCAGCAAAAAAACTTCGAATACTTCGTGCAGCTGATTCAAGGAACACTAACGACGACGGATGAAGCTGTGTAATTATCTTCCAGTTAACTTATAATTTCTTGTTTAAAGTAAAAGGATTTTGTAGGAGATGCTTCGACTGCATTTTCAGTATAGCCTTAGAGAATAAGGTTTTCAAGAACAGTTTTGTGTGGTTGGCTGAAGCGCTTCAAGGAGCGAACATTAAGATTGGGGAATTCGTAATGAAGGGTACGGTCGGACGATCGCAAGAAAACTGTGCACTTATAGGTGAATCATTTTGTTTGTTATTTAACTTAAAAATATAAGTGAAATTTAAAAAAAAATATTAACTTCCAGATGCGAAAATCACTTACACAATTTGCCAAAACTCGTATTCGCATACCCTGAGATTGCAAAGTGGAGATGTCGTAGGAGGCTTCGTTACAATGCCCTAAAATTGTATTTATATATGATTTTAACGTTTTTTTTTTTCAGTGTAATTTTAATTGTAATGTTCAATTTAATGTTTCGATCTTCAGCAATGCATTCGGTTAGGATTGAATAATTGAAGACTTGCTTTTATTTCGTAATCAAGTCACTTATTTGCTATTTTTCATATGTTTTTCAATGTTAAATTACCGTTTCCATTATGTTCGGTATAAGAAACACGAGTATTTACGATAAATATGAGAATCCAGAGATCACAATTAGACATTCATTATTATTTTAAATACAATGTGTAGATTCTAAGATTGTTTTTTTTTTATATATGTAATCAATATTTTATACAAGTATGCAAACTTGATATTATCTACCTCAATTTATATATATAAACATGTGTATGTATAATATTGATCTTTGGCAATATATAGGCAAATCAAGTAGGCCGTTGCGAGTCTAGTTAGCAACCGTTGGAATTGGACGAGCATCTAAATTTTGTGTATGTACAATGTTCGAGATGTTAATAAACTTTGAGGTATATATATATATAGAAAATATTCAAATATTTCGCCCTTGTTTATTAAGCCATATATGCAACAACCTATATAGTATTTTCACGATTTCCAGTTGAATACGTACTAATAATCGAATATATTTATATATATTTATGTAAAACACTTTTCGTTTACGTTCAAACGTAATAATAACAAATAAGAGGGCGGTACGACCAGAAATATCCGTTCATAAATTAGATTAAAAAAAATCTATTGACGAAAGATAAATAGTAATTTTGAAAATAATAGAAAATAAACATGTATTTCAACCTTAGCAATTAAGATTGTTACAATTAATATTAAATATAGTTTTTCTTTTTTGTACAAGATATAAGTAAGTATACGTTGACGAATAGTTATTTATCTTAGCCTTAAGAATAATTTTAAAATATTGTAATGTAATAAAGGAAGCTGATTAATTGGCGCCTAATCGATGAACCTAACAGTATATAATACACAAAGAGCTTTAAATAATGTTGTGTTGCTTTTTGTTTATACCAACTGATTTAAATATATACATAAATATGTATATGTAAATATATTTTTATATATACACACACATACTTATAGGTATATAAACATTTCAATCAGAGCTATAGTCCGAACTGTACACGGAAGGTCTCGAGTACCAACTTTTGCACTCAATGCCCACGACTGGTTTGCTTCCACTTGGACCTGGATTTTCGTAAGCACTTGCGATCGTTCCAATGACTTTATTCTCGCCAGAGACCGAAGGTTGGTTAATATCACACATTTCCTCTTTCTTGTGAACGACGCCGCTGTAATCAACTGGTGGTAGATTATTATAACTAGCCATAGCGGTTTGGTAACCCGACACTGAAGGTTGATTGATGTCGCCATGCTCCTGCTTGTGCGAGTTGGGGAATACCATCGACGAATTGTAAGTAGGTTCGTAGTCGCATACTTCTAGTTTAAAGCCGTTCTGCATATTGTGGTCCGTCGAGGGTGGGTACATCGTTTCGAGTTTCCTCAGGAACTCGCCCTCGTTGTTCTTGATATCCCGTTTCCTCTGCTCATTGACTTTCTTCAAACGTGACAGAATGGGTTCGTCGTCTGACGAATCTTCAGTAGAACCAAACGGTGGCCGATATATTTTTTGACTATATTTACGCCTGCGAGCACTATTGAACTCCGAATCCGAAGAAGAAGTTGTAGAGGTACTGGAATCGGTGCTAGTGTAGTCTTGCGCCTTCTTATTTCGTTTCTCCCTGCATTGGCGCTTGTGTTTCAATCTAATTTTCAATGGTAGTACAGGCTTTGTTGTAGGAGCATCTGACGCTGAAGTGTTTATCAAGTCCACCACCACTGGCGGGGTGGGCTCTCTAATGATGACATCGGAATCTCGACTGGAATCGGAAGGAATTTCTATCACTACAGATTCCGACCTATCCGGTATGGAGACGAATACAACGTCGTCACTGGAATCTTCATCATCGTCAATGTAGACAACGGACACGTCCGGTCGCGATGTCTGATAATAAGCGTACCTATCGTAGCCAATCATGTCGAACGGTGATCTCATGAAATTGTAAAACTCGTGTATAAAGTGTTCCGTTCTGTTGCCGAGGTATTCGTGTAAAAGGTTTTTGAAAAACCTGCTTCTTATGTGATGCCTGGTCATTTGGGTCAGGATCACATCAACTACGTACATTACATGTTGAGTGTTTTCGTTCAATAAAGCATTCAATTCTCGATTGAGCCATGGCACCAACTGATTCCTAGCTGCTGGATTTTCGCTGAAAAATTGGGGCGAAATATCACGAAATCTGCCTGTCACATCCGGCAGTGCTTGAACCCACATATTATCTTCATAAATGGATCTTCTGTAATTTGAAGTGGATACATCCCTATGTGATCTTCTTTGCCTAAAATTTGAATAATCAATATTTTTGTATTAAGTTACCTCAAATAATTTACCTGTAGTAATTTTGATTGTGATAACCACATACATTAGTTAAGGGATGTGTGGATAGTAATTGTTGGATAGCCAACTCTCCACGGGGATCCACTGTGAATGTAGTCCTAAAATACAAGCACTCATTATATTTTATGTTTAAAACAAGATAAAAAAAAATATTTAAGTACCTGAACTGGAAATGCCTTGGTGGGGTTGGGAAAGGACTTGGTAAATAGAATCCATGTCGGTCCACATTTCTGTCCAAAGTTAAAAAATTCTCAAGAAGGTCATCTGCGTTTGGTGCCCTCTCATCATTTGTGATGAAATGCTCATCATACTCATTGTTAGATTTAACATTGTGTATAATTGAAGTAAATGGCTGTTTGCATAGAGGACATACAGCTTTCACCTATGTAACAAATAACAATATGATATTAGAGTTGTGCAAAGATGTTATATTATAACTACTCTTTAATACCTTTGACCATTCCAGAAGACAATTAAAGCAAAACTGGTGCATACATGAATCCGAAAAGCATTTATTTATGCAGTTACCCAGGCAAATTGCACAGTTCGGTGGAGGGCTCTGGCAACTTGGAGCAGTTGAGCTCTGTGGCTGTGGACTTGTCTCAGCCATTGTCAACAGATCATTCAATCAATACAACTGCAAAATATAAACAAACAATTATAAAACAAAACAAAAAATATACTTTTAACTATTTGTGCAATTGATTGACACTTTCCATCTGATCTACTATTAGTATTTAAAGGCACACAAAAACATGCAATGCAGCCTTTCTATTACACATTGAATGTACATGTATTGTTTCAGTTGAACTTCTTTACTTGCTATTTGCATTTGTAAGCATTTGTTCAATTGCTTACAAATAACATCGCTATGAACAGAAATAAAAATCGGTAATATCTCATTTCCCATTTTTATCGCTATGGTAACAAAATCTGCAAGGTGATTATTTGTCACTTTTTTTTTCCGGATTCCATTCATCTTTATTATGATCGGAGCAGCATCGTGTATGTAAAATTAATGACCTTACCTTGCATTTAGGTTAATACATTTTGATAGAACAATGTTTATCACTATTTTTACTATTTTTTTACACCCGATGTGGAGCACTTATTCCTGAATAGGTGATGAAAATCCACTAACTTGAACAGCTAGAACCATTGGAAGCACCATTTTGCTTCTGTTCAACACCATATGACAGTTTATAGATTACAAATGGACGTTTCGCTGTACCAGTGTGTATATGTCTGCATATTGGTGCATACGCTTGACGACTTGAGCCTGTATCAGCTTTGTTGAGCCCCCTCTTGTGTTGCTTGATAGCTTCTTGGTTGGCCCAGGAGCGCATTAAAAATACAAGACTTGGTTAACACAAATGTAACATAGATCGCGCTCAATCATCTATCCAGTTTATGCAACGCAACATACAACTCTGTATTTACTGAAACATACATTAGATATCTATAACTAAATTATTTCAAAACATTATTGTTATAAGGATGTTCATATTACAGAATTATGGAAATTAAAAAAATACGAATGATGTAATAACAACTCTTTATGCAACACAACATACAACCCAGCATTTACTGAAAGTAAAATATCTATAACTAACATTGTTTTCCTGAACATTACAGGATTATGCAAATTATAGAGACATTGAAATTAAGTAATAGAACAAATACTGAGGCTGAATGTTTCACCTCGGATTGAATATTATATACGACAATAAAATAGAAAAAAAAAACTTCAAAACAATTCAATGGTGGGCAGCATAGAAATGTAATTTGGACATCAAAAGAGTCATCTCTTTTCATAATATGTAATCTAGGAAGTGAAAAGACCGTGAGAATCAACAAATTAAGAAATGAATTAAAAAGTTATTATTAGTATCTAAGCAGATGAAAGTTATCACAAAATACTTTCAAGGATTTTAACTCTCAAATGTACGCGAATTTGAACAAGGTCGATAAATATTGCTTGACCATCCAATTAAATAAAATTGAAGTACAAAAAACTATTGCATTTATTAACACATAAAAAAATGTATGAGTTGAATCTATTATTTTGTAATTTATATATTTATTTCAATAATTATTAATTTTTGTGTAAGATATTTTACACAAAAAGTACTTACAAATGAACGAGATGGAAGTATTTGGAAGTTTTCTGTATTGATTGTTAGAAAAATGTTTGAATAAGTGTCAATAAACAAATTCAACTTTGAAATTTCAAATTAATTAGTTTTATTTTAGATATAATAATATAAATAAATTAAACAAAAATTTAATATATTTTTTTTAATAAATGTCGGAAATTGTAGATAATCTTTAGCTGCAGATTAATAACGGCAATAAATTTTTATTGGAATAAAATTTACTAAACATCCGTCCCCAATTTTTCGAAACGAAATTAATTGACACGGATCTCACGCTTAAATAAACCTTTTAAGAGTTTGCATTATTTAGAGTAGAGTAGTCATTGCGCAGAGACGTTCTCGTTGCCTTACCATTCTCGTTCTTATACATATTGTGTTTGCTCTCTAACTTTTCAGAGAAAGTTTCGCGTGCAGATTGAATATTTTCAGGTTGCTGACTCGCCGCGACAGTTCGTAAATATTTATAACATAATTGATTTGGGAAGCGGACGCCACACATATATATAATCAATTTGGAATTTGCCGGTCTGGATCGAAGCAATCATCAATTGTTGACCCATGCTGATTGCAGCTAATTAGCGCACAACGCAGGCTGCATTATATAAGCGATGAAGGCCAATGTCAGTGAACTAGTTTAGTAGTTATGATTCGTTTCTGTACAACCTTCGTCATCCAATAAAATATGGTAATTTAATGTCCAATCAAAAATGGATATTTGTAACTATTACGTATAAATAATTTATTAAAACTGTCGAAATTATAATTGAAAATGGAAGAAGCACAAGAAAGAAGCATTATTAAAGTGTATATAACAAATATTAACATAAAATACAATCATGTACTTCTATGGTAATGACTAAAATCGGTTGTTCTCTGTTTTTTTTTTGGTTGTATTTCTCTTATGTTTTGATGCAGATTATAAATGTCAATGTTACGAAAATGTAATGTTAGTTTGGAAATAGGATATTGTTTAATTCGATTCATGGAACGGGAGAAAAATTTTTGGTTGTGAAATGGAACATGAACGTTTTAATTTAAATCGGTCTCGCGATTTCGCAAGAAGGAAAGAAAGAATGCAACTGACTGGAATAGGTTCGTTCGCTCGCATTCGCGAATCGCGCACATTTCGTTTAACTCGTTTTATTATTATTAGTTCGTTGCTTAAACTACGCGGCTCGGAAATTGACGTTCAAAAATGGATAGAAGAGATCTGTCATAAATTGGTTAATTTGTGCAATGGATTTCAAGAAATGTGATTCTAATGAAACAACTTTTGTAATTATCTACAAGAATAATTAATGATATGAAAATTATGTCGTATGATGAAATAATGGTTAAATTAAGTAGTTCAAATTGTTTTAAGGCAATATCCTGCAAAAGAATAACATTTATAAACTGATCATAGATATCTTACTTGTTATAGTCATGTGTCAACTGTTTAACATTTTCAAATTATTCATAGATATCTTATTTGTCTTAGCCATGAGTCAAAGAACTTTTTAATATTTTCAAATTGATCAAACATATATTTATTATATGTGTCAAATAATTATTTGACATTTTAAAACTAATCGTAGATATCATAACTTAAAGCCATATGTCAATATATATATATTATATGTCATAAATATGTCAAACAATTATTTAACATTTTCTAATGAATAGTAGACAATATGTCAAAATAATCGTATATATATTATATGTCATAATATATCAAACAATTATTTAACATTTTCAAATGAATAGTGAACAATATGTTAAAATCATCGTATATATATTATATGTCATAAATATGTCAAACAATCATTTAACATTTTCAAATGAATAGTAGACAATATATCAAAATGATGGTATACATATTATATGTCATAGTTAATATTAAACATATTTTATGTCAAAATCATGTGTGAAACAAAATAAAAATTTCAAAATGTTCGTTGAAAAAGGAACTAAAAATTGTCCTGAATTTAAACATTCCTTCATGAAATTCTTTAACACTAATGAAATATGCATTATTTGTAAATCGGAAAAACCTAATAAAATAAATATAAGTTAACACGTGTATTGCAAAATGTAACATGTGACCAAAGACAAGTTTGAATTATATTTTACAGTATTTTGTGTATATTTAAAAGTAATTTTTATCCGAAGACGAAGACAATTCCATCATCCATTGTTTTTGGATTGGATCGAATAAAAGTAAAAAAGTTGATTCATGACAACAATATATGCTTAAGTTGTTAAGTATACCACGCCAACGTTATATCGTGAAATGATTGAGTGACATAACAAGTTCGGACGCATTCCGTTTTTTTAGAAAAAGGGCGCTGTAATCACATGTTATCAACTACATTATCAGAATGAACTAATTAAAATAAAACAATATATTTATCTCATTAACTGATTAATTAAACAAATAAAAAATAAGCTTTTAAATTACTCGGATTATTTATTGCGACAGTACCGACCAAATTAACGTTACGTCAAACTAAATAAGACTTATTATTATGTTGTAAATGCAAATAAGAAATTGCTTATAGTGCAGATCGATTTGCAATAGTTTGCTTCGAATAAACGGAGCAAATTGTTACAGCCCAGAGCCGTCTCCGCCTTCTGAAATGCGCAATTCCCAAGTCCAGCAGTTATCTAATACAAAGAAAAATCACAAATTTATTAATATTTATACAAACGAAAGTCGACAATTTCGTGTCATCTAAAAAGATAGTTTTTTTATATATATATATATTGAGACGTTATGCAAGCATATACGAAATCGATCGAAGCACCATTGGGTATTTATTGATTGATTTCGACACGAATTTGGAGAGTCGTATTTGTAACATATCGAGTCTTCTTTGGTCATTAGGGACAGCGAGTGCCGTCTATCATTTGCACGGTTTTTGTGCGAAGTGAATGCGCGTCCGATGCGAACTGAAATTCTTCCCACAGAAGAAAAAAAACCGGTCCACGAATTATTTCGTAAACTCCCTGCACAAAAACGAAGCGCTTCCTAGTGCCACTTATCCGCATTTCATTTAGACAATTATCGTTTAAAATGCACTTTAGAGATTTACAAGATGCAACAATAAACAGCAGCAAACAGCATTTCACATTCTATTACTTTGGGAACAACTGCATTATTGTTAATGTTAGAAGAAAGTTTGCAACTGTTAAACACTTAGGCGATGTTTTTGCTAGATTACATCGCATTTATAAATATCTTAAGATATTATATTTTCGTTTTTCTTTAAATTAAAAAAATAACGTGTATGTTTTGTTTTGCGGAAAAGTCTGCAAAGAAATGAAGTGAATTATTTCCTTTCTGTTTAGAGTTGTACGTTGCTATTTCCGACAAATATTTTCATATTGTGTGGCGAGATGGTGTGAAGTGGAACGGCTTTTGTTTTCCTTTTAATGATGGTAGATTTTCCAGAAGATGACTTATGGAGTCTCGGAGCATGACTGTTATTAATTGAACCACGAAATAATGTTACATAAATTAAATTTACTTAGACAGTCATCATTTTATTAGCTTTACTTCAACGAAGCCTTAATATAAATAATAACAAAACAATGTAAAGTCACATTAATACTAAAAAGAATGCAATTTGAAAACATTTACAGATCTTAGAAAGAAGTAATTCAGAAATACTTAAATATATTTACCTCTAAGTTTGTTAAAAACAGATATATTGCCTGTCATTGCCATATGTCAAATAATGATTTGACATTTTCTAACTAATCGTAATTAACTTATCTGTCATAGTCATGTGTCAAAAAAATACATTTTTAAACAGATCTATGATGTCATAACCAATGTGTCATAGTCATATGTCAAACAACATTTTTAAAATGATCATAGAAAAAAAGAACTAAAAATTGTGTTGTATTTAAACATTCCTTCATGAAATACAAAACGATAACAAATACATTTCGTGGAATTCATTCTATTTGTTAATGTATTTGATATTGCTACTGTATTTTGACCTCTCAGTTTAAAAAAAATACATAAATTGCTTATCATATTCATGTGTCAAATATTTGACATTTTAAAAATAATTGTAGAAAAAAAGTACTAAAAATTGAGTTGAATTTAAACATTCCTTCATGAAATTCTTAAAAACTAAAAGAATATAATAAAGAAAAGTCTCTTA